AAGTTGATTTATATAGTTGCTGTTATCATTTTTAAGAAAATTGGCAGTTACAAGAGACAGTTTCATGCAGGATTGTTGAAACTCCTCAAAACAGACTGAACAATATTCTGCCAACCTATAACAATTTTATAAAGAAGTATATTCAACTTTACCATGACCTGGAAACAGATAATCAAAAATGCCCATCATTTCTAGACATATCAGATGAGCCCAAAAAGTTACTCAAAACATTTACAAGCAGTTGAAAAACTGAAGTTTTATCACAAAAAGTACAAAACAATTCTTAAGGTGTACAAAAGAAAAAGTAATCAACTACAAAAGCAGACTTACTAACTTTTGAGGCAAGCTGAAATTTTGTTTGATCTCAGTAAATACATGTGCTTTTACATGGTGTTAAAAAGCTAATGCGCAAAAAAACACAAATTAATTGCAAAAGAACTTTTATGCATTAGAATACTTTGGCTTAATTAACTTTGGAACCTCCAGTTTATAGCTGATGTCGACATTCAAATTGAAATATGGTTTCTCCTAATTTACCTTATAAGGGATCATCCATAAAGTATGTATGCCAATAATTTAGAAATTCGACCTCTTGTCAAGTTTTTTTTTTTTTTTTAATTATTCTAATGATTAGTTAGGGTTGGGAATACCAGACTAAAAATCAAATACCGTTATTTCAGTATTGAGAATTTCTAACCCTGGGATTCCGGTATTAATTCCAGTATTATTATTTTTCCTATAATTATCCGAATGAATAAATAATATAATTAAAAAATGGTTTGGCAATTAAAAAAACTATATTAACTTATTTAAAGAAAAAAAAAAGATAAACAAAGTTCATTAAATTGTTAGTTATATATTAATCATAAAAAAAGAAAGAAAAAATTTTTAAGATTCTACTTTTTCTGCAGTTGGTTGTTGATATAAGACCTCAAAAAACATAGATTGTTAAGCAAATTATCTCCCATCCTTGACCGAATTCTGGTGCAGATTAAGCCTGCTACCGAAAAAGCTCTCTCTGATTCTACACTGGTTGGTTGAATACTTAGCAAATAATTATATATTTAAGTTAAGTATTTGCCCCATATGCCCTTAGTCTCAAAAAATAACATTTTTTTATTGAGCGTGTGAGATCTTTTTTTATTTCCGTCGGTTCCACTCTCAGGTAATCTCGTGCAAATTTTTTTTTAAATCTCTAACTTTTCTTTTAAAGTCAGAGAAATTTCATTTCTTTGATCAACTTCATCATCATCAACATTGAATATTATATTTGTGTCTGAATTAGAAATGTTGGCTGAAGTAGATGTTGTTGCCACAGATGCAGCTTCATAATGCAAGTTGACACCCAGGCATTGTGTCTGTAAAACAATAACTTTTGCAATTGCAGCTAGATCGGAAATAATTCATAATCTCTGTCGGTTTCATCATCACTTGGATTTTCATTGGAGTCTGCACTGTGAAAATATTGTAAAACACTTGAATTTTCTGTTTGTCTTTCAAGAATACGTACTTTTAAAACTGCTTTCAATTCATAACTTAAGTAACATGGATGGTCAGTTATTGATTTCATCATAAATTGAATAGCAGCATCTGCGGATAACAAAGTTGATCTTGTCGGCAGATTGCTTTAACTGTAAGCTTAATAGGATCTAAAACTGAAAGGATATTTGACAACATTTCAAACTTTACATCTGAAAACAAAATAGGTGATTTTAAATCTATTAGACTCTTTTTGATGCAATTTTTTTATTTGACAAAACCAAACTATTCCATCGTGTTTTTGAGTCTAAAACCAGAGACAATTTTTTACTGAACTTTTCTTTTACATATTTTTGTAGAATTTTGTCATTTTATGAAGGCAAAGAACAAATATTTTGACCACTTTTCAAATTTTTTAAATTAATGGTAACGTAATTCTTCTTTTCTGGTACATCAGCAAACGCTACCATTAATTTAAAAAATTATAATTTGTCATCATCTGTGGAATTCTACTCTTTTTCAAATCTGGGTGAAGGAACTGATGTAATGTTGGCATCTTCTTTATTATGCAGACTATCCTCATTATATGCTTCAATTAACCTGCCTACCTTTGTCATAACTGCAGCGCCATCAGTGGTAATACCTACAATATTCTTGATCAAAAGCTTAAAGTTATCTAACCTATCATTAACAAGCTCAATGCATTTTTCTGCAGGAATTGTTCCAAAAGCATGAATTGATCTTAGATTCCAAAATTCTTTTTCAAAGTGGACATTAATATTTAAATAACATTTAATTCTTATCGATGTCCAGTAATCGAAAGTTAGAGAAAATCTGTTTTCATTAGCAATTCTGCTCAATAATTCTTTAATTACTTTGTCTTGTATATTTTTACTGTAATTCAAGACTGATATCATATGATGTGCAGATAATGTTGAATGATAAACCATCACACGCAGTCATCCTAGCTAAAATAGCTGGTAATGAATCATCCATTTTATCACTTTTAAAAAAGATGTTTATAGTTACAGAAGGTTTTGATGTCTGTTCAAATTCTGAAGAATTTAAAACAGTGGGGCTCTCTATATCTCTTTTTAATAAATTGATTTTATGAATTATTTTTAAATGGGTATGAAGACTGCTTGTAGAACCTAAATGTGTTTTTATTATTCTCTTACACAATTTGCATTTAGCACACTGACCTGCTTTTTCTCTTACAAAATGAAACCATGGCAAAATTTTATCATTTGCTTTGGAATACTTCTCAAAATCTTAAATATTTATATTGGTGTAAAATACAAATTTTCTAAAAGTTCAAAACGCAATAATAAAATGCATAATTTATAATATATAATTTAACTTACTGTTTAGAATTTTATATAATATTTTAATTTAACTAAAAATAACCAATATCATATACCCACATTTAATTTTATATGATGAATTTTGTTTCCACTTATAAGATCGATTAAAATTTTAAATTTTTAAGCTTTTGAATGGTGAAATTATTTCTAATACCGAAATAATGGTATTCGACTTTTTTAATACCAGTATTTTGGCAACTATAAGTTATTCCAGATACTGGTATTCCTAACCCTATGATGAATCAAATAAATATAAACTTTACTTAGGGCGGACATTTTTTTTCAGGCACCCTTCTTTAGTAAGTCCATAAAGAACAAGTCTTATGTGAGATCAGTGTAAGTCCAAAAAGAACCAGTCTTATGCAAGATCAGATCTTTTTTGAGTCCGCAAAAAACAAGTTTCAGCGCTGCTAAAACCTGTTTTTTGCGGACTCAAAAAAGGGGTTGCCTGAAATACAAGTCCACCTTACTCAGGGCTGGCATATAAAGGGTGACATGTGTGTGCATGGTAGGGCGCTATACCCTTGACTCCCATATACCACACATCGCTTTATGTTGGCAAATTAGGGCTTTAGTCAGAATTTGCCAACATGTTTTTATTGGTTAACTGGTTAATTATAATAAATTAGAAAAACGAAGTATGTACCTTTAAATTACAACAACCCTCCCAACAACAAACTTATTTATAAAATGTTTATAAATAATATTATAGTTTTGTATTTTTTTTTAATGACAACTGTTTTATCTAGTGGAAAATGATATTGAAGAGATGAAAAAGTATATGGAAGATGTAGTGTCCAGTCTAAATCGAACATTTCTACGACAGAAAAATTTACTAAAAAAGGTAGTTATTAAAATTTAATAAACATTGTGCTGTTAACAATGCTGTTAATAAATTTTGTACAATATTGTGCATTGAATTGTTTTTTAATTTATTATATTTACTAAATTAATATAATAGATATTTCTATATTTTGTAGGAAATTCGGACTATGAAAGTTGTTGATTTCTTGAGTAGGAAATTTTGTATTATTTATTAATATTGTTATTTGTATTTCTTTTTTTTGTGTTTGTAAGAAAATTAAAACCTTGGAGTCATTAGAAATCAATAGATAGTTGTTTTATTATTTAACTTTCAGCATTTCATATTTAACAACAATAATTGAGTGTACAAGCCTTAAATATATACAACATATATAGTTGTAACATGTATAGTTGCAACATGTCTGGTTGCAACATTTTATTTTCCAAAATAAAATTGTGTAGATACTAGTTGGTATACAATGACAAATCATTACATTCGCTATGGTAGCAAAACTTTAATTTAGTGTTTTATTATTCTTATTATTCATTTAGATTATTAAATCCTTCCTTACCAATTGTAGTATTAAAGTTGTCCTAGATGGACAGCACTCTTCTTCATTTTCTGTAACTTCAGGGGTTCCTCAATGTTCTAACCTTGGCCCTATACTTTTTTTAATGTACATAAACGATCTCCCAGAAATTCTCTTATCTAAAGTGGCATTGTTTGCTTGTTATACTACCATTTATTTTTGTCTTAATAAGAAGCCAACACTCTCTGATTGCTTGTAGGGGGCAATTGAGTTTGAACAAATCTCACTTATGCTACAGGGTTGCCACCAAATCAGGGAAATCAGGAGAGTCAGGGAAATTTTGATACAATCAGTGAAAATCCGGGGGAAAAGTTTGATTTAGTTAAAAGTCAGGGAAAATCAGGGAGTTGTTTAATTTTGTACTTTTTTATTTTAATGTTTTAAATGTTTTATAGTAAATAATGTTTATTTTAATTTAACTATAATAATAATAATAATAATACAGCTCAAAAGATTGTTCAAATATATTATATTTGATCATTATTAAAAGAAGTAACTTTTATTTTGGTCATTTATTTACAGTATTAACAAAATAAAAAATTTATGCAAAGCATTTTATGTAGGTTTGATTAGAACCATTATCAATGAATTAAATGAATTTATTAGGGCCTTTTTGTATAGAAATAGCTTCAACATTTGAAGACTTTCCAAGTTTTTTTGTGTAGAAATAGATAAAACATATAAAGTTTTTTTAAACATTGTATATTCATTTTCTTTTTTTAATATAAGTTTTTAAAAACAGTTTATTTCAATGAATGTTTGAATGATCGATTGTTTAAAAAATGGCTGGTAAATGGCACAGATAAAAAATCAAAACATGCCAAGTTTAATTTAACTTATAAAATATAGATCAGCGACAGTGGATCCATTCGGAACTCCGTCTCGACGGATTTTTCTCGGTTTTTCGGAGTTTCGGAGTTCGAGACAAATCGAGAAACTTCGACGAAACTTCGACGAAGTTTTTAGAAAATACCAATTTTTTATTCGTAAAATAATTGAATTCTTATTTTATTTCTACGTGGTTTTTACAATTGTAAATTGTAATTTTAAAAATTGTTTCAAATGTAAGTGTTCTCTTCGTTTAATAACAACACTAATATACATCGCAAAGCAATTGGTAATGCACAGTGGGCCAGGTGATGATGGTGAAAAAAACCTAAAAAAAAGTTTATTCTATTCAAAACCATATATTAAAACATGCTCATACTTTTCCATTGTACTATTTCAAAAACTCTTTTGTGTATATTAGTATCTTTTTAGTATTAGTATTTTTTTATATCCACAAAAATCAATTGCGGTATAATAAAATGTAATGCATAATAAAAAACAAGAATTTTTTAATTTTTAAGCAAAGATATAATAAACAGTAACTTTTAAAATATTATGCGAATGTGATATTAGTTTATATATTTTAACTACTCAATAGTTTACCTTTACAAAAAAAAAGTTTAGTCAAGATCATTATTTATAATATAAACAAAGACTGGTCGTAAAATAACGAGGTAAGTTTTTGACATATAAAACATATAAAACTTTCATTTTATACAAGTAGTGTCGTATTTTGTATGATCAAAATAATTTTGTCCACCATAAGTCTAAAATCCGGCCCACTGAGCATTGTGGCAAAATTGTGCAATAAAATGTTATCAGTGAAAATAAATAATAATAATAATTAATGTTTAATTATACTTACCTATCAGAATAAATAACTTAATAACTTAAAATGTGATAACTTTTCACAATTAAAATAAAATTAAAAACAAATATGGGAGGTCATTATCAAATTGATAATTTTTCTTTCATAGAAAAAAATGGTTTCGGAAGCGTGGAAGTACTTTAATAAAGTTGTGGTAAATGATAAGAAGTATGGAGATTGCAAAAAATGTCATAAAAGAATTGCTTGTCCAGGAAGCAGCACAAACGGCCTTATTGGACACGTCAAAAGTTGCGAGAAAATAGATTTAAAACCATTCAGTTCCAGACCAGTTTTGACTAAAATGTCATTAAACGATCTTCTTGCCAAGTTGACAGCTCTTGATGGGTATTCGATTAGGTCCATAACTCAATCTGAAACACTAAGAATGCTTTTTGAAAATTACGGGCATAGTTTGCCTAAGTCAGCGTCCGCAATTTCAGAAAAAATTAAGATGTTTTATGCTGAAGCCAAATACTTAATGATCGCTGAATTGGCTGCATTGAAAGCAAAAAGAGAAAAATTTGGACTAACAGGTGACGAATGGTGTAGCAATAGAGGTAGAAGATACTACAATTTAAATGTTCATCACGACAGAACGTATTGTTTAGGAATGATGAGATTGCCATCTCCTAGTTCTGCTGAAACATTAAACATTTTGATAATGGAAAAATTAAAAGAATTTGGTATAGATAGTGAAGATATTGCAGGTAAAACTACGGATGGCTGTAGTTGGATGGTGAAATTGGGTACCGTATTTAAGTTTCCACATCAGATCTGCCAGAATCATTCAATTCATTTGAGTGTTTGTGATTTGATATACGCTAAAAAAGATTGTCGCAAAATTGTGAACAAAGAAACTGAATCGATTATTGAAACAGAAACAGAAACTGATGGAGAGTCTGAAGGAGAGTTTCTTATTGAATATTCGGAGAATGAGATTAAGTGTGAAGAAAATATCGAAAAAAATCTACAGAAACTTCGAATACTAATTAAGTTTTTGAAATATTCATCGCTTCGATATGAAGTTTTAAAAGAAAAATACACGAAATATACGGATCTTCGCATGACAAAGGACTGTTGTTCGACAACCGAACAAGATGGAACAATAAAAACCGCACATTTTTTTACGCTTCCAAAAAAGATATTCAAATTTATGCTTCAAAATTATTTGATCAACTATTTGCAACAAAAGAAAATAGTCTCCAATCAAAATCAGATGATCACGCTAAAAACAAACAAGAAGAACCATCACAATCGACATCTTTTTTCTCCGAAATTCAAGAAGTTCTAATTCAAAATCAATCAGCAGCTAAAAAACCTAAAAAAGTCAAGACCTTCACCGATCAGTTGAAAGAATATGAAGTAACTGGTGTGAAATCAGAAACAGTTTTAAAATTTGAACTAGCCATCCACAGAATTCAAGCAACTTCCTCGGAAGCAGAAAGTGTTTTCTCCTCGTCTTCCAGATTTGTCACAAAGTTTCGTAGTTCGCTTTCTGATAAAATAATAGATGTTTTGATCTTTTTAAAATATTATTTAAAAAGATCTTCAGTATAAATACTTTTTTTTTCAAATTTTTTTTTTAATTTTTACTATAGGTGCCCCAACAAGTCTTTATTGCATAGCAACGCAGAAGGGCATTTAACTGAAAGTTCACGCCTTCTTCCTAACCGATGCCGGTTAGAAAGCCAATTATTAGATATAACTTGTTCGTTAAAAAGTTGTGATAAAAAAAATATTTATGTACTAAGAAATATAAAAATATAAAGTTTTTAAAATTTTATTATGAATTATAAATCGAAATATTTAAAATTAAAAAATAAAAATACAAGAACAATGTTTAATTATCAAATAGAGAGTTTAATTTTTTATCAAATAGATAGTTTAATTTTTATAACAAAATATTATCGAAACTCCGATTTTTTCTCGACTCCGACGGAGTTTTTTCTCGATTTCTCTCGACTCCGTTTTTTCTCGATTTTGGATCCTTTGATCAGCGAGCTGTGACAAGTTACATGGAGGGTAAAAACATGTTCAGAAAGTCAAATCCTGCTACTTCAAACCTGCACAGTTTACTTATAAAAACCAAGGAGTTCTTATAGTAGATCAATTTGATGAAACTTGTGCAGAAATCTCAATTATCAAATTTGCATGGAGTACAAAACAGTTTCTCATTAAACTTGTGTAATGAGAATGGTCTACTATATCAAAAAATGTTTCCTAATAACACAACTGTTAAATCTTATGAGATGGGTAGAATAAAACTTGATTATTAATTTTGGTCTTAGGCATTGTTTACACATACTTTTAAAAGAAATATCTGAAAATCTCCTTCTTTTTTTTTACCTTTTCTTTTGATGAAAGCCAAACAATTTCTCTTTTGGGCTACTCTTTTGCATAAAAATTACTTGAAAGTATAACCACATTTTTGGCAATAATTAATTTGATAAAACTGTGTACAGATTGCCTAAAATAAACTGGTTACTTCTTGATCTTATTAAAAAGCAGCCTTAGCAACTAAAACTACCTAAACTTCTTAAAATTAAGAGTTGCAACCTCCATGTAATTCATGATGTTTTTAAAACTGGTTTTCAAACGATGAAGTTAATAAAAGCTTCATGCAACCTTTTCCATCGTTCTCCTGCCTGAAGAGCTGATTATGTAACTGTCACTGAACAAAAGATAAATAAACTTTAACTAAATTAATTAAATTGAGTTGAAACTAAATTTCTTAAAGTGGTTGTTATTTTTAGCTACTAAATTTAATACAAGTTGATGAAAAAAAAAACATCTTATATAAAACTTTAATAACAAGTTTTAATATGCAATTTATTTATGGTTTTTATCAGTCCATATATTAAGAAACTAGTTTGCTATGTATTCTAAAACAATAAGAAATTTTGTTGTCTTTTCGCTTTTAAAAATATTTTTGCTATTTTTGACGTTTTTTCTCAATACTTACATAACAGGAAAATAAGAAAATAAATTTCTATTTATTTGTATAATATATTATTTAAGAAATTTTGTAATAAATAATAAAATAATATATGTTACAGATAAATTAAATAAAAGAGCAACATGGTTTCTTTTATTAATGTATTTACTGCATTTGTTGCATGTCTGAAGTTGTTTCTTTTATATTGCCCAATTTCAAACATTAATACAAATTATTAGAGATAATGAACATAATGATTGCTCTGTTTTTAAATATGTTTTTGAAAACTTAAAAAAATATTTTAAACAAGCTCCTAAAAATTTCATTAAAAAGTTTAGTAAATTAACAATGCACTGGCCCACAAGCTTTTAGGGCATCATCTATAGCAATAGTTCATCAGGAAATTAACTATCAGGTTTAAATTCTCAATTGGGATAATCCAACAGAAGTGCAAACTATTTCAATGGGGGTAGTGAAAACAACCAAATATTTTATATTTAAATATAAGTATTAATGCCTTTTTATTTTTTTACATGAAAAACTTGTTTAAAAATATTTTTTTACAAATAAACAGGTATTACTTTTCTTGCTTTCCTATGCATTAATAAAAACAGTTAAGTTCAACAAAAATATTTAAAAACAAATAAAACATTTTTAGATGTTTCTAGCGCAAATAAGAAAGTATTTCCTTAATATACTGACTGAAATGTGGAAAAAATAGTATATCAAAAAATAATTTTATTTTCATTATATTCTATTTGCTTTTTTTCTTGACTTGTATCACTTTTAGTAGTGGAAAAGAACAAATGCTCTAAAAAAAAAAGAAAACAAAATTTATAGGTATATTATTTTATTTACAACATTTTTTTTTTTATTAATATTCAATTTTTCTAAAAATTTAGATTGTCTATTTCATATAGTCTTCATTTCCTTTCTTTGAGTATTGTTGTTTTATTCTCTCTAGGTTTTTATAGCTTTATTTTGCTGCAAATTCTTGAAGCGCTTACTATATAAAAATATGGTCAAATTGTCTGAAAAAGTTACTTTAAGCATGGACGCACAAGGTGTGAGACCGCACTCGCTTCCCGAGAAGGCTTGGTTACATTGCTAGTTTGTTGCAGAAAATCTTAGTGAGATATCAGACAGATAAGACAACAGAAGTTTCTGCTGTTAAAATGATATTGGTTTTGCTGCAGAACGTAACTTTATGGAAATAAAGGAGAAAAGGTGTGATCTCAAGATGTGATCAATATATTCATTTTGAATATATTTTGAATCATTTTGAATATATTTTGAATCATTTTGAATATATTTTGAATCATTTTGAATATATTTTGAATCATTTTGAATATATTTTGAATCATTTTGAATATATTTTGAATCATTTTGAATATATTTTGAATCATTTTGAATATATTTTGAATCATTTTGAATATATTTTGAATCATTTTGAATATATTTTGAATCATTTTGAATATATTTTGAATCATTTTGAATATATTTTGAATCATTTTGAATATATTTTGAATCATTTTGAATATATTTTGAATCATTTTGAATATATTTTTTAATTGATCACATCTTGAGAATTTAAATAACTTTGTTGACTTATAGTTCTTATTTGTCCAACAACATCCGTAAATTCTTATAAATTCTTATTTGTCCAACAACATCCGTGGAGTAGTGAAATAACATCCGCACATTTTTGTGTAAGATCATCCGCTTTTTTTCTTGAGCAACAACATCCGAAATTTCATTGATGTCTAATAAAATCTTTAGAAAGATGTAACTACATCCGAGAGTTTTTCTCGATGTGTAACTACTTACTTATAGTTATTTAAATTCTTGAAAAAGTTTGAATTGATCTTCATTTCTTGAAGCAACTAGTTATATCAGTTCAGAGTAAATCCTATCAAAAAAAAAAACTGATTTAATAGTTGTTTTTCTGTTAGGTCATGGTTAAGTGTTAGTTGAAAGGGTCTTAAAATTAAAATTAAATATGCTTAGTGAAAACATAAAAGAAAAGTCATTTGTAAAAAACGATGTGACTATCAAAGATCTCATGATATCTAACAAATTGAAGGCTTAACAATTAAAAATCAACAATGAAAGACTTGAAATATTAATAATATCTAGAGGAAAATAAAAAGTTGCAAACAAAAGGAATTCAAAGTAATGTGATAATGTTGAATCAAGTAGTGTGAGGGCTTAAGGAGCAGGAAAAAGTTTTGAGTAAAGTATTAAGTATGAAATGCAAATTATTATTGCCTCTCTAGTTATTTAAAATATTTTAAATGTTGGTTATTTTTTTGAGCTTTTTAATATTATGACATTCTTTATGTTTACTATTAGTTTTTATATTTGTTTTATAAACCAATTTGCAATTTCAACTGCTTTTTAAAAGGGTACAAAGTATTCAATCATTTTTTTATCAAGCAAATTATTGGTTTAAAACAGAAATATATTTCTTATATATAGAAAGTGTGTAATCTGTTTTCTTTGGGGAGTAAAAATAGCATGTCTGGGGGTTAATGTTGAAGTTTTAACGCTAAGTTATTGAGTAAAAATAGCATGTCTGGGGGTTAATGTTGAAGTTTTAACGCTAAGTTATTGAGTAAAAATAGCATGTCTGGGGGTTAATGTTGAAGTTTTAACGCTAAGTTATTGAGTAAAAATGATAAAAATGTCAGGGGAATATAAACAAAATTTCATAAAAAATCAGGGAAAATCAGGGAATTTTTTTCCGTAATTATAGTGGAATACAATTCCCTGATTTTCCCTGATTTTTTCAATGACCCTGTACTACAGCATAGGGCTCTAAGCGGCTGGTTAACTTTAACTCAGATAATACTCTCTTTTTTTAAGTTAATTGTTGTCGCAATAATTTAGATCTTTCTATATTTCTGAGTAGTAATTTACTCAATTAATCTACTCTTCATCTTCCCAGATTAACTATTACTTCTGATCTTTCTTGGAAACCATATATCAAATCCATTGCAAAATTAGCATCTGCTAAGATAAGGCATTTATTTATTTCTTCATGCTTGCCACGTTCTTACTTGTTAAATTCTATTCTTTAACTATCTCGATATCTAATCCGTCTTTGCATGGAGTATTGTTGCCATATCTGTGGCAGATCTTCTAATGATGTCTCAATTTTTAAGCTAAACTCATTTTAAAATATTTAAATTTATATATTACAATAAATAAAAAAATAAAATTGACAAAAATATAATGACCTTTAGATATAGTTTGATAATAGTGCTAAAATTTTACAAGAAAATCCATGTGATGTAGGTGACCATTTTGAAAAAATGCCCTAATTGTTATGGAGTAACCCTTAGGTATGGGTTAGAAAGTATGAAAAACATTTGCCTTTGAGTTATTATCTGAGTTTAAAACTTTTAAAACAACAAAATAAGCTTTAGATAGAGTTTAAAAAATATAATAGAGAGAAATATTGAGTCTTGAAATAATTTAATATTTTTTCACTTTTTATATTAGAAATGGGAGGAGATTTAAATACATTAGACTTCACAGAAGTAAGTATTTTTGTTTCTTTTTAGGATATTTTTTACATGCAAAAGTACAAAAAATAAGCATGGTAATTTAGCCACAAAATTACAAATAGTGTAGTGTTTTTTTTAACTATTATTATGTATAGTATTATTAAGAGATCTGAAAAAGTTTATAAAAATTATTCGTTTCAAAAAACGTTTAGCAAAGAGTTAATTTTTAATAATAATTTTTTTCTATTTGCGTTTTTCTGAAATAGTTAAACCAAATAGTTGCTAATGGTATTTAAAGTGTGAATGTTTTTAATGTTTAATTTTCAATGCAATCATAAGTTCATTAAAAAATTGAAACTATAATTATTATTGTCTTCCCGTCCTAATAATAGTAATTTTTAGATAAACATTTGCACATAGCTTAAGATTACTTAAGACTTGAACTCTTGAAAAATAAGTTATGTATGATGATGTTAGCATGATTTTCCTCCTGATGTTTCTTGGGATGATTTTATTCTAATTTGCTTATAACAAGGCTGCAAGCAGCACTATTAAGTTGGGAGTTACTATAAAACAAAGAATAGAGTAAAAGAGCATGAAAACGGTTGACAAAAGATTTAAAAAGTTGTATAAGTCAAGAGAATATAAATATGGGAGTTCCAATGGGTTAAAGTTTGGGAAAAAAAACTAGACAAATAAATATTTTCGGATCATAAAGAAATAGATACAGTAAAAGAATTTAATAACTAGAGATAATAGCTCCTTGGAGCAACAACCATGATAGTATTTGTAAAAAAAAAAAAAGGTGCAACTTTATGACTTTATGACAATGGGAGAGAGGCTCAAGCTTGGCAGAGTAGATCCTTATCTAAAAGGGAAAGCGCATCATTAAAAGAACCAGCCCAAGTATGACAACAGTATTTCATATTGGGATGAATAAGAGATTTGTAAAGGTAGATTAAGGAATCATTTGTAAATTTTTTGAAACACGATAAATTCAATTTTAAAAATATTAACGTTCATTAATATAGGAATGTCAACAATTTATATATATATATATATATATATATATATATATATATATATATATATATATATATATATATATATATATATATATATATATATATATATATATATATATATATATATATATATATGTCTATATATAAAATAAACCATAAATGTACAAAAAATTCAAATTTTTGGTGCTAAAGTTTGTCCAAAATGTAATAGAATAATATAGAATAATTATAATACCATAAAGTAATATAACAGAAAATCATAATTGATAAAAGATATAGAAACTTTCAGATGTTCTTTTAGTGAAATTCATTTAATCAATCTTTGCTTAAATTTTTTAATGGTTGTTTTAGAAACATATTCTATTTAGATAGTTCGTCCATTGATAGAAGATCCAGATATAAGCTTTCAAGTCAGGTATACTTTTAATTTGATTAAGATATTAATTTTAAATTTTTACATTTTATTACGATAGTGACACAATGAGGATGAGCTAAATTAACAAAAATAATAAAATTAATGTAAAGAAAACATATTTTAAATACAAATTTATTGCATAAAACTTTGATTTTACAGTTCTAACTGGTCAACTATTTTGGTCAGATATTTAGACAGAAAATGTAATATATCAAAAAGTGACTGCTCTAGTGGAGCATTAAAAAAAGAATGCTTTTACATAGTATCTAACATTATAGTGAGATCTTTACAAAATAAACATTGTGATTATGTTTTAAGAAGAAGAAAAAAGTTTATAATTTTACACATCAAAATATGTAGGGGAAGTGGTGGGATAATCGCCCCTGTTATGTTTGGATTAATGTTATATGAAAATAAAAACGAAATGTGCTTTTTTAACAGTTTATTTCAATAACCACATTATTAAGCTTTAAATTGATGCAATTAAGAAAAAAGTTAAACGGTTTCTCAAAATGTTATTTCACAAAAATTACACTTAGTGAAAAAAATGGTTTTGCCCCCTTTGTGAGGCACAACCGTACTCTCACAAAAATCGTTGGGTGTACACTTTTCTTGGTACATTTTCTTTACAATTGTCACAGCTCAGATTATTTGCAGATTTTGTTGCACGTTTGCATACTATGTAGGCATTCTTTATCTTTACAGTCTGAATTTTTTTATTCCATATACTCTTAGCTTTATATTTTAATCAAAAATTCATTTATAAAAATTAAATTAAAAAAATACAAAATTTAATTTCCAACATCTCAAAACAAAACTATTTCTTTTCAAGTTTTTACATAAGCGCATTTAAGTGTGGCGATTGTAATTATTGTTATTCAAAATTACCTAACTTTGATAAATATCAAAAAGATGCGGTTGTGCCTCCTGTGCGTCTATGCGGTAATCTTTCTAAAAACTGTCCCAGAGGACAGTTTTTAGAAAGAATACAGTTTCATAGCTTGCTTATTAGGTTATGTTGATATCAAAAATGGTTTTCACTTGATCAAATAATAACACATCATTTAACACTATAATCAAATATTGCTCAATCCTTAAAAGGATGTAAATATAATATTTTTATCAAAATAAACATTATTATGTACAACTTCTCAGAAACGTAACAGGCACTCTTTTTTACATTAGCGAAATGAAGGAAACTGTTTTACTAACACATGGTATGTTTTATGCCATATTAGATAACATTTTTTAAAGGAAATTGTTTAAAAAATGTTGTGCCCCCATATATGGTTATGCCACCACTTCCCCTACTTAATTTCAAGAAAACAATTTCCATCGTAAAATTTGAAGTGTAACCATTTTAACTTTTTTCAATTTTTATTTCTTAATTGTTGATTTTGATAAAATAAACCTTATAAAATTTAACAGCCGATTGGATATACTCTATTGAAAATATTGTTAATGTAATTGGATAATGTTCTTTTAAAGTTTATCCTAATTAATTCTACAGTTTATCCCAAATAAGGTTAATAAGGCCTTATTGACAGTTTTTAACTGGGTCAAAACTTCAAAAAGAGAAACCTAGTAATTTACAATAATATTAATGATATTATATAAATAATAATATAATAGAATAAAAACATTAAGATATATAGCATTTCTACAACAGCAAGTTCTGTAACAATGTTGTTGAATTTTAAATAGTTCTTGAACAAATTGTTTTTATATGTACATGTTTACTAAATATTTTTAATAAACATTTATTAGAAAAACTAGTAACTTTAATGTTAAAAACATATGCAGTACATTCATAAAAATTTAGGAATAAACTTCTTTTTTTTCTTTCATCAGTTGAATAGCTTCTGTCAAAAAATTCAAATATCAGCTCTAATAATTTGTATAGAAAACATAGATAATTAAGAGAAACTTTTTATTTGGATTTCATCCTTTAAAGTAATCTAATATCAACACCGTAAACATGACTTTTCCAAAAGTAAAGTATATACTTGTCATAACATCATGTAACAAAAATCATATATAATCAAAAACAACGTCTTGCTCTGATTTAACAGGTTTTCATGTTTTTTCAATGTTTAAAAGTCAAGTTTATCTCTAAACTTTTTAAACATGTGCTTGTGCTTTATAGAGATAAGTACAAGTAATCATAGCAATTGCTTTGATTTGCAGAGGTTTAAATTTTCTGTTTCTCTTCTGTTATTTTTTTTTAATTGTTTGCTTTAGTATTGCTAAGTGTGAGATAAATCCTTTGGCACATCAGAGCATTCAAAGATGAGTTGAAGCTGTGCAAAGTTTGTACATTTATAGAACTATAAAGAATTGTTTCCAGACATGAGGCAGTAGTGGAAGAGCTTTATTTTATTAAATAAATTCAGTGCTTGGCAGTATCATAATGTAGAAAGTTACAGTGACCTTTAAAGAAAGTAACCAAAGTGGCTAAATTACCTAACTTTCACATCCATCAAAAAAAACATTTCATCATAAATTTTCTTAGTTGTTTGATGTTTTTTTGTTACTTTTTTTCCAAACTGTTTTAAGTAGCAAACAAAAAATATAACTGATGCCTGCAACAACTGCAACAAGTTCTAAAATCCCCCCAAAAATTCAATTGTTTTTCGTGTCTAATTTTTTTAAATTTTTTTTTAGCATCAATCCATATGTTCTTTTTTCAATTTAATACAGATTGTAAAAGCTCTTTTTTCATTTCAATTCTTCATTACTCAAGTTGAGTTAGTATTGGGAATTTGTGTTGATTTAATTGAATTTATACAGGTACTGGCAACAAATAAAAATGTAATTAAAAATTGGTTGATTTTTACACAGCTACCTAGCTAGTAGAAATATTTTTTAATAACCTGAATTAGATATAAATATTAAATAATATAAAATTCAGATTTATGTTTTATTTGATTTTAACTTATAAACTTCTATTACTGTGGCATTTATTATTTTTATCATTAAAAAAAAATTAACTGGCAGTAATTTTTTTGTTTTTACAATAGTTGATTAACTATCTGGTTTTGCGTGTTTTTTCATAGTTGTTTGCTTCAATCTTGAGAATAAAACAGTCTTTAACTGTTTTATTCTCAAGAAAAACGATCTCAGTCTTTAACTGTTTTATTCTCAAGGTTAAACGTTGTAGTTATTGTCCTTGCATTTAGTATTTTAGCATTTTAACATTTCATGCATCTCATAACCTCAACCGCACTCACGAATTTTCCAATTAATACAACAGTTCAAAATTTGAAATTTAAACCCAAAGGCATGATTTAATTTAATATTATTTTGAAATAGTAGTAAAGTAAATCAAAGTGTTAAACATAAAATACCATCCCCACTACCTAATTGTTTCAATATATCTTTCAAAATACTCATGTTCTACAAAGTAACCTTCCATCTGTTCAGTCTTACCTCTTGTAAAATTCACCAGGCATACTTTCTCTAAGTAAGACTAATTTAAATTTGTCTGTTCCTTTTCACAAAAACTCTAATTATCACATGCTTGGCTTGGGCGTATACTTACGCATTAATTAAACTATTTGTCAAGAAATCAGGTTTGAATCCGTTGATCGTTCTTATATGTTTTATCTCGTAACACTTCTTTACTCTTTTACACCTTTCTCTTTGTTCTTCAATTTTTTCCTACTTCTCAAGATTGTACTTATTCAAATGTAAGTTCTGATTAAATTGCCTCCTCTCTGTACCCCTCTGACAATATTTTTTTTATTGGTGAATTTAATGCTTATCACACTAAATAGCTTGGCTCTAACACCACTGACCCTGCTGGCACTAAAACCTATAAATCATTCATTTCTTAATCTCTTACTCAGGTAGATAACTTTTTGACATGTTTTCCAGAGAACCCTAATTACTTACCTTCACTCCTTTCTTTTAGAAAATCTTCAACTGCATCATTAACAATGGTAGGTCTAACATATCTCTTATTCATGAAACTGATCTTATTACCTTTCCCTAGGATTCAGCTCATGACTCTTCTATTCTAATTATACAACTAAACCCATTGTTAGACATTCAAATCACTCAGGCTTCTGTTGCTAAACTCATATCTCAGTTAAATGGCTTGTGGTCCAGAAAACATTCCTGTCATAGTCTTTAATAAGTTTTCTTCAGAACTCAATTTTCTCTAAACTATTTATTAAATGCCGGTCTGGATCTTGTTTTCCTACCTGCTAGAAAATAGCATATGTGGCTCTAGTTTTTAAAAACTCTGAAGATCATTCTGACCTCTCCGACTATTGTCTGATCAGTATTTTATCTGTTAATAGCAAAGTCTTTGAGTCTTTGATCAACAATTTACTTACATCCCTTCTTTAGTTAAATAACTTACTTTCAGACAATCAAAACAGTTTTCAATCTAATTGCTCTACTTGTTGTAGATCTAACATAACACCTCTGATTCATGCAGCTGATCTTATTAAATCTTTTCTAAGAATAAGACAGAACTAAACTTAACAACAAAACTTGCAAAGAACTTTTCTTCAAATTCGGCTCTTGAATCTTATGGCCATTCTCTTCCCTGTCCAATTAAACAGCTTAACCCATTGTTAGACATGCAAATCACTCCAGCTTCCATTGCTAAAGTCATATCTCAATTAAACTTTTCTACAGCTTGTGGTCTAGACAACATTCCTGTCATAGTCTTACAAAATTGTTCTCCAGAAAATTGTTTTTCTCTAAACTATTTAATCAGTGCTTGACTGAGTCTTGCATTCCTGCCTGCTGGAAAATGGCATCTGTTGTTCCAATCTTTAAAAACTCCAGGGAACATTTTGACCCCTCCAATTATTGCCCAATCATTCTTTTTTCTGTTATTAGCAAGGTCTTTGATTAACAAGTTTCTCACTTCTCATCTTGAATCAAATAACTTACTGTCAGACAATCAATATGGTTTTCGATCCTTTTGCTCTACAGCTGACTTGTTAACTGCTGTGACTGAAAGATTTTATCTTGCATTAGATGGAGGTAAAGTGTATAGGGCTATTGCTCTTGACTTATGTAAGGCTTTTAACAAAGTTTGGCATGCTGGTCTTCTCCATAAGCTTGTTTCATATGGTGCATCTGGGTAAATTTTTGAGATTATTAAATCATTTCAAAACTCTTGTACATATATACTAGGGTGTTTCATATTTTATCAATTTTTTAAATTTTTTTTGAAATAACTATAAGGTGTCTGATTAAATAATTGATTAAATAAAATTTCTTATTTTCGAACAATAATACAAACATGTAATATGATGAACTGTTATAAGTGTGTCATTATTATTTTAATTTCATTTGTTGTATTATTGTTATTTTTGCAGGAGGGAGGGGGGGGTTGATGTTTCAGAAAAAAATTCAGATACTCAGGATTGCAATACTTGACTTAATTAAAACTTTTAAATGTTAAATTAAATGTTTTCATTTTGTATCAAGGAACTATTTTTTATTATCTCATGTTCACCATAAAAATCAAATTAAATCTTCAAGCACCTTCAACTTTTATATTTATAGATTTGTGTATACCTCTTCTAATACCTTTTGTTCTATCTAGTCCAAAGTTTTATTTATTATTGAAATATCATATATGGAGCATGAGTTTTAACAAGGACAAGTGTAAAGCCATGTTCTTTGACAAGAAAGTTAACAACAGCTTCAACACTGCATTTATTGGCGATTTGCCTGGCTTGCACGTAAGTTTTTAAGTTATCACCAAAGACAAGCCGTAATTCAATCACTTAAGGATAGAAGGCATAGGGTTGACTTAATACAGTTTTTTAAACTATACCACGGCATTAACAAAGTTGAGCTATGTAAACCAAACTCACTAGCTCCAGCACTAAGTGCGCAAGGACCAGCCTCTATGGCCAACGTCATTGTCTTCAACGTCAAGCAGTAGCAAATTGTTTACAAAGAAAATTCTTACTCTGTAATTGCATTGTATCTGACTAGAACATCCTTTCAAGCTCCATCGTATCTGCCGCATCAGTTAGCGCCTGAAAAAATCAATTTGACTTATTTTTTCCAGAGCTTTTAATTAAAAACAAAATGAATTGACATTTATCATAGCAGGGCTTTGTTAGTTGCCTTGCTTATAAATATTTAAGCATTTGCTATAAATTATGTATATTATTATTATCGAATTTCTCGTACAAATGTCAGGTTTAGTCATAAACAAAATTCAATTGTATAAGAGCTGAATGCTTGCAGAATTTTTATGAATTACATCTAAAACACTTTAGTGAAAAACAGTGCAGAGGTAAAACAAAATCTCCAGAAAAATTAATGTTCAAACGGTTCCAATTAAATGACATTAAAAGTAACATTGGCTCTTCAAAATTTGTAATTTGATATCCAATCTATTGCTAACACTTTCTTCGAAATCCATAGACTCTAAACTGTAAAATCTTTTTGAAATGGCTATAAAAGAAACCATTTTACTCAGAGAAGATTACAAAGAGCTATTGAAACTGACTCTTATGTACTTATGCTCTGAAAGAGTTTTTCAAACTCAACCTTCAGGGTGCATGTTGCATGTAGGTTTTACATCCAAACCTGGATATCAAATTACAAATTTTGAGCCAATGTTACTTTTAATGTCATTCCAGTTTAATTGGAATTCCAGTAATTCCAGTAATTGGAACCGTTTGAACATTAATTTTTCTGGAGATTTTGTTTTACCTCTGCACTGTTTTTCACTAAAGTGTTTTAGATGTAATTCATAAATATTCTGCAAGCATTCAGCTCTTATACAATTGAATTTTGTTTATGACTAAACCTGACATTTGTACGAGAAATTTGTTATCTCAAAATTCAGATATTGAGTTCACTACTTTCTTATAAATTGACTGATAATCAAAAAAAAGAAGTGCAGCCTAGGGCCGAGTTTATTTCAATCTTTTATTCCATCTGGTTTTTAAAAAGTTCTTTACCTTACGCTGCACCTTACCAAGATATAAAAGCTTATTAGCAAATGGTAAAATATAGAGAATACCTAGAACAATATGTTCAGATTTCTGAAAGAATTTTAAATGGAATTGATGGCACAATGGTTTACCAGATATTCATTTTTCATCAGATATATGTTTATATAATGAATTACGCTTTTTACAAAATTTCATTGTTGACTAAAGATGAGAAGTATACTCAGCTGTAAACATTTATTTCGCTCACACAGCAGAAAAATTAAATTCCCATATTTAACCTTCAAAAAAAGAACAAACTAACTGTATTTATAGCAATTAATAGCACCAGGTAGATACTTAAGGTAGGTACTTAAGGGTACTTAAAGCAGGTTTTGAAGATTCTTTAGATTCATTTGACTACAAAACAAGATTTTATAGAACTGACATGTATTGCTTGAAGTGTTGTTTTCACACCAGCATTACCTGTTGAATGATCTTTTTTAGCTTTGCTATACATAAACTTACAAGTATTATAAACTTTGTTTTAGAGTTTATAATATTTGTATTTGCATTTCTTAACATAAAATACAAAAAAATTTTTTTTGGAAATCTTATGCTTCTTATATTTGGATTTGATTTTGAAATACTGGTAACTAGATCTAAAGTATTTTAGTTAATATATCTATATTTATATCTGTGCAAGTTAAATATATCTATATTTATATATCTTATATATATATGTTTAAAAAAAAAATGAAAAATATGTTTTTAACATATTTTTCTTCTTTTTTTTGTTTTTTGTTTTTTTTTGTATTTTTTTTGTTTTCTATTATTTATGTTTTATTTTTGTTTGTTTTTATTTCTAATGTTTTTTTATTATTAAATTTTCAATTCTTTCAAATTTTAATGTTTAGTGTGCAAATGGATGACACATTTAAACAACCTTGTAAGTATGTTAGCTTTTTGTGGGTCAATTGGAAACAATTTAATTGAAAAGTACAAGAATACTTCATAAGACTTTATTTTAGAAGAGACGACGTTGCATTTTTTCTGTTTTTTTATAATATAAAACTGAGAACAGAGCTTTTAAAAAGTTTTGTTTAAAAAAAGAATTATTTACTTATTAGCATGTTATTATTTTATTTATTTATAGTACCTTCTCTAAGAAAATCAACACGCAAAAGAGTAAGAGTTTATTAACTATTTATTTAACATAATATTTATTAAAGTATATATATATGTATACACTATTATTTGTATATATACTAATACTAATACTACTTCTACAACTACTACTACTACTACTACTACTACTACTACTACTACTACTACTACTACTACTACTACTACTACTACTACTATATCAATGTGAATCAAATATTGTTGGTATAAGGAAAACATATCCAGTGGCAAACATATAAAACAACAATATGTGTAGGTGAGTTAGAACAGTGGTGGTTTCATAGCTCTCTATATTAGTAATAGTTTAACATCATGTGAATGAAGTGACTAAGTGATTTAGCATTATGTGAACTAAATGACTAAGTGTTTTAGTATCATGTGAATTAAGTGACTAAGTGTTTTAGTATCATGTGAGCTAAGTAATGCAATTTCCATTAGTATTAAACTAGAGTATAATATTATTGGAAATTACTTAATAGGTTATATATACAGGTTGAGTGATTTTGCAGACATAAGAGATATAAACAGGGTATTAATCAACATAAGTAAGTATGGTTTTAAAGAATTACTATTTATAAGAAACTTCAATTTTACAAATATAAAATGGTCACATGGGATTTTGAGGTATAGATGTCAATTGGCATCAGTGCTTACTCAATCAATTACCAATTTAGTAAAAAGATAAAAAATATATATTGAGTTCAAAATTTCAATTCAATATAGGTAATGTTTTAAAAAGATACCATTTGTTTTATTTTAAATGACACCTAATAGAATAAAGAAAGCAACTACATTTTCAACTAAAGAACAGCTGGTTATGTAAAAATCTCAGCTAAATAGCAGGTTTCAACAGGAACAATTATTTAAGAGACTACTCTGTTCAAAAAAATTTATTATTATACACAATTTACTTTACATATTTAAGCAACATTTGTAATCGGTTTACATAAAAACACTTGCAAACAAGAAGAAATACAAAGGTACACTATAGACAAACATTAAATTAAAATAAGAGAATATAAGTAAAACTCTAGTTAAAGAAGCAAAATAATCTTTTATTCAGGTATGCAAATAGCCAAAAAAACTAAAACCTTATTTTTTTAATAGCAATAAATTGCTTGTTAAAAATAAAAATATTGTAAATTGCTTTAACAGCAATAAAAACAAAAGTCAGCTGATATTGCTGAAAACAAATATTTCAGCTAATTAATTTAGTTGGTATTATTTATTAAGATTTTGCTAAAGCTTTTAATACAATGCCACATAAATGATTACTTGTCATTTGAATTTATATATACATATATATATATATATATATATATATATATATATATATATATATATATATATATATATATATATATATATATATATATATATATATATATATATATATATATATATATATATATATGTTAAAACCACAAAAAAATTTACTCAATTTTAAAAGCTTAAAATTAATATTTAAAAAAATGTGTACTTTTACATAGTATTCAAGTTTTTTTTATATTTTAACATCTTCTGTAGAGTTTAGCATTTATCGTCCTTTAGGTTTAAAATCAAACTTGAAGTGTTGTCATATAATTTTCTCACTGGCGTTTTAATATTTTAGATCAGTTTGATGCATAAAATGTATTAATATTAATCACTAAGCGGTACACTGCTTTTTAGTACATTGCACAAAATGAAATCAATTCTATGTGTTAGTTGATCAATTTGACGGACTAACACATTGAATTCTATGTGTTAGTCGATCAATTTGACAGACTAATACATTGAATTCTATGTGTTAGTCAGTCAATTTGATAGATTAACACATTGAATTAGCGGTCAACTAGGGTTTTTTTTTAACAAGTCAATAAAAAAAATTTTCTCAGTGTTTTAATTTCTGTATTATAACAGTTACTGTACTTTTTTTAAATGAAAAAATGTTTTATGTTTTGAAAGTTTTAATTTCAGCAATATTTAAAAATTAAATCAATGGTTTTTTTTAACAAACACTCACAGTTTACGATATATTACAAATGAATAAAAACTGTTTAAAATAACTTTAGTCTGAAATCACTCTTGTGCACGGAGCTTTTTATCAAATTAAAAACATTTCGTAACATCAAAATAATTTTAGATATTTGATATTTTTGTAAATTTTTACACATAATGCTTTCAACTAACTTGTATAGTTTTTTAGTATAATATTATTAAACTTTTATAAAATATTAACTAAATTAAAAGAAAATTTAATTTAAAAAGATTTTGTAATATATTACACCACTAATGATCAATTACAAACGAAGATGTTTTTAAATTTTATTTAAGTTATTAAGTTCGAGTGATCTTTGTTTTAAATAGCAAAGAAGTAAGTAAGCAGTAAATATGAAATTTTAACTATTGTAGTAAATTTTTATAATTATGTAATAATGATGTTTAATCTAGTGTGGAAGACTGTTTTTAGCCCAAAAAAAAAATTTTTTTTTTGGTGCTAAAAACAGTCTGTTCTAAAGTTTTCTACTAAACTCTCTTCTAAATGAAAAGGTTTTTAAAACATTTTTCATTTAACATAAATTAGCTTTAAAAAACCAAAAAATACTCTTGTTCTTAAAGGTGTTTTACAATATCAAGGCTTACCTTGACTTACCTTGACTTACCTTGACTTACCTTGACTATATATCAGAAAATGACAAAAAACTGACAAAGATTTGTGACAAAAGATAAATTGGAATTTCTTAGAGCCAACTAAATTTAAGAGATTATTGTTTATCAATAGAAACACCTGTATTGATGTTATCATTTTGATGAGCACAAACTTTTTATTTTAATGACATTGAACAGCTAAACTTTACAATCTAAATTTAATATAATCACACAACTAACTAATAATTTTAAATTTTTCCAAGAAGAACATCACTAAGCAGAAGAACATTTAACCAGGAAATTCACTTTTCCTTCATATTAACTTTTAAATCAGTTCATATTAAATCTCTTACCTCATAGTTCTGAACCAGAACTAAAAATAAAATAAGGAAGAAAATGACAAATAAAAAAATTGATATCGTATAATAAAAACTAATAAAAAATTTCTTTTAAGGAATATATTTATAAGGAAGGATATTATAAGGAATTTATAAATAAATTCTGGTTAGAGTCCAATATAATTAAATCCATTAATTTATTAAATATATTAAATTAACAAACAGTAAAGTAAAAAAATATTGACTGATATTGCTAAACAATGATAAAACCCTTTTATTAAAGAAATGAAGGTTTGAATATATTCTTAAAAAAATTAAATAGTTTATATAAAAATATTAAAATATTTTATGTAATAGTTAAACAGGCTAACTGTTATCTCTATTGACATTTAATAAAGTACGAAAAAAAATTAAATTTTATCTCATATAGTTCAAATCCTTATTTAATTAAACTTCAAACAAACTATTTTCTACATTACAACAATCATACATCAAACATAAAACTTAAAATAATCATATAAAAAATGTAAATTACTAAAAAATGTAACTTTTTTCACAACAGATCAGCACCTAAAAAAGTAAATCTTGTTAGTTGCATAACTCCGTACTAGTAACATATAAAAGATAGATAAAACATTTATACTTCATTTCCGTTTATTTATTTTTTTGTTTTGTTAATTTTTTGTTCCCACATTTCTTTTAATAAAAAAAAATGAAAAACTAATGATAAAAAATAACAGCTAACAAAAAAGGTGGCCACATGGAAATGTTATGGAATTTTATTTGGTCACAGAAAAAGTCATCAAGTTCCTATATATTTATTGAAAGCCTTAAAAATTTTCAATGAAAATTTCCATAAAAGATTCATGGAACTTTTTAAATTAATCTTTATTTTTTCTACTTGTGATATTTTTAGGATATTTGCAAAATAAAGCACTAGTATATCTAGTCTAAGTCCTTTTTTGAAAAAGATTTTATCTCTGAAAAAATCTTGTTTATTTGAAACACCTTCAAAGATTTTTAAATTTTAGGAATTGTACATGCTTCCTGTTTGCACTCTTAAGGCAAAAATACTTTAAAGATTGTTGTATCACACTATTAGATCATATACTATTTTAAGTGAGTTGTTTAAAGTTACAGATAACAAAATTTTGAAAGGTTTTTCATTGAGCAGAACAAAATGCAGCTATTTAATAAATTTTAAAATGTATCCTTATTTTTAAAAATATATTAATTAAGGAAGTTCAGCTATCACCATTTTTTGTTGTCTTTTGATGAGTTAACGAACTAGAATATAAGATATTCTATTTCATTATTGGAATGGGTCTTTATGTGTTGTTATAATTCATTATTTGGATTCAAAATTTTAAACTGATCTAATGCTGAAAATTTAACCACAGTATTAGATAAAGCATTTAAGAAATTGCCGAAAAAAAATTTGCTTCAGTTCTCCTTAGATGGACCAAGTGCAAATTGGAAAATTCTAGATCCAACATTCTAGCTTCGTGTTACCATCTCTTCTTGATATTGTGTACTTTTATCTTAAACAAAGAAGTTAGAATCTGATTCCATTGATTTGTTGGTTAAAGCCAATGTTTTTCTGAAAAAATTTATACAGAAACCTAAAAATATTCAGAAACCAGAAACCTGTTTAGAGTAAAGTTATGTTAGCTATTAATGTGCATATAATCATATAATTATGTATATAATTATGTGCGTATAAAGATCATAATTATGTGCATATAATCATATAATTATGTATATAATTATGTGCATATAACAGTTACATAATTATCAGTCCATAAATTTATCTAATAATGATTATGTTTATTATTTATTTTTGTCAAGTTATGAACATATTATTTCAAGACTTTCTAGCAATTAGTTTTTAGTCTGCAAGTTTTAGTGACCAAGTGGAAACATCTAAGGGGCATGGGTACTGAGTATTTTACTCTTGTGATTTATAAAAGTTTGTGAATAATAATGGAAAATTTATAAAATTTCATTTTCAAATTAGAGTAGCTACCCAGTAACTTCATAAAAAATTGTAATACAAAACAAAATGGCATTTTAGATTGATCTCATGAAAAAACTACATAAAAAAATCAATTTTACACAATTACAGAACATACTAGAATAACAATTAGAACAGAACATACCAGAATAACAATTAGAACAGAACATACCAGAATAACAATTAGAACAGAACATACTAGAATACCTAATTGCAACAAACATTAAATAAGCGCATTAAAGATTGACTGTTTACAATTAAGATGATATGAAGAAAAAAAAAATCATGAAAAATGTAATTAAATGTTGCTGATGCAACCAAAATAATAATTAAAGTTGGGAAAGAATCTAAAACTGTTTAATCAGATTTAGACAATCGAATCGAGTAGTCAAAAAATGGCTTCTAGGTTTTAATGCAGACAAATCTGAACTCATGCATTTAAGTTAAAACAATCCAAAAAATGTAAAAAATGAGAAATTTAAAACTAAAAGAAAATAAACTAGAAATCAAGGTGTACATTTCTCAAACAATTTAGAATGGAAAAACCATATAGAGATCTCTAAAAAGCTGTTATAGATATAATTATTTCAGTTATATAGGTCTAAAAATACTTAGACTATTTAACATTTATTAGGCAAGTAATAGAATTTGTGATACCAGTATGAATACCATCTTGAAATGGTTTTAGAAGTAGAAAGAACACAACACAGAATAACATAATCGTTACCAGCCTTCAAAAAAGGTTTCAAATGAGAAAAGATTAGAAACACTAATCATAACTCTTGAAGCAAGAGGAAAAACATGAAGTCTTTAAGAATGAATTTTTTAAGATTATTGTCTATGAAAAAGTAAAACTAACTAAAACACAAACCAATCTTCTTGGAGAAGAGCATAAGAAAACAACAAAATATAAGCCAAGACACAATTTTCTAACAAACAGATTAGTACACATAAGAAACAATCTTACAAAAGAAACAATTTAAGCAAAAAACATCAACAACAAACTCAAACAACAAAATCGAAGTATAGAATTAAACATTAGCAATAAAACAACCAGAGCAATCAAGAAGAAAACAAAACTGTTGTAGAATGTGAGACATTAAGATTTACTGTTTGTAAATATCAGTGAAATGATTTTTTCAAAATTTGTATAAATATTTACAATATTTTTTTTTTACTAATTTAATTCTTTTAAATGTTGGTTTTGTTAAAATCTTAAAATAATTTAGGCTGGACAAGTTGCTGAGTCACCTTTAGTATATGACACTGGATCAGTCAAAGGAAAGCCTAGGTTTAAACTATTAAATAATATTAATCATATTAATATTATTTATTTCAGATTTTTTCAATTTGATTTTAAATTTTAGAAATTTGATAAATTGATTTTAAATAAATGCAATTTTTTTTTTAGAAAAGCTCTTCCCAACTCAAGATCAAAGCCTCAATTGAATCCTCCTTTTATTGTTCCAAAGTTTGATCCAAAGTAAGCATGGTCGTTGCAATTTTTTTCTAAAGCTATTTACTAAGGTTTCTTGATTAGATACTGAAATTACTAATACATTGAGGTTACAGTGAGGTTACAGTGAGGTTATTTCGACACTAATATTTTTTATACAGTTTCTTATACACTGAAATTAATTTTATACTTTGAGGTTTCTTTTACTGAAATTGTTTATACAGTGAGGTTTCTATAAACTAAAATTTTTTATATAGTGTGGTTTTATACACTCTTATTAATTTTTTAAAATTACCTTTTTTTTAAATTACTTTCAGAGCTTATAGAGTTTTTAATGTTTAATTTTAAATGTTACACAATGTTAATCTAATTTTAACTAAAGTTTTCATTGCATTCTCCTACGGAAAAACGGGGATGATATATACTTCTAAGTATATATTGTCTATATATAAGTATATATTAAAAGCTATATACTTCTAAGTATATCTTGTCTATATATAAGTATATATTAAAAGCTATATACTTCTTTTCTATATACTTCTTGTTACTTAAGATGAAATGATAAACTCAACTTTTTGATATAATAGATTTTTCTAAAAATTTGCATATATATAAAATAATGGACATAAAGTTCAAATCTGAAAGTAATGGTTTAAAGTTTTTTTATTCACAATTATATGAAGCTGATTTCTTATTCTGAATTAATTTTATTACACATTAATGTTACCTTGTAGTTGAAAAAATATAGGTAATTATCATTAATTTTATTGTCTTTGTATATAAAATACAAAATAAACTAAAGAACTGTATGTATGTATGCATGAATATATGTATGTATGCATGCATGTATGTATGTATAAATATATATATATGTATGTATATATATATATATATATATATATATATATATATATATATATATATATATATATATATATATATATATATATATATATATATATATATAATATATATATATATATATATATATATATATATATATATATATATATATATATATATATATATATATATATATATATATATATATATATATATATACAGTTGAATTGATTTATATTGAAGAATTGATTACTTTATCTAGTAGCATGTTCCATGCATTGACAATGCGATTGTTAAAAAAGTGGAAGCGAGCTAAATGATTGCTGTACTTTTCACGATGAAGTCTTTCTCTGTGATTTACTTTTGGTGGAACTGTGATGAAGGGAAAGTGCCAGTTGATTATTTCAATGTTATTAACAATTTTGTATTTTTGGATGTCACCTCGTTTGCGACGTTTAACTAGAGTAAATAGGCCAAGTTGTAAACATCTGGACTTCTAGTCTAACTTTTTCAGTTTTTCAGTTTGTCTTTCAGTTAGGTATTTTTGTGGCTCTGCGCTGTATTAGCTCAATAGTTTGTTCATCGTTCACCAAATGAGGGTTCCAAGCTAAAATTGCAAACTCAATTAAAGGGCGGGCGTAGGTGGAGTAAAGTTGTTTCCATAAAGAAGCATCACGAAACTGGAAAGTGTGTTTTAGGATGGCTACCATTTTATTTGCTTTACATGAGGCAATGATGGATTGGGTTTCTACTTTAAGGTCATTGGTAATTTGAATTCCCAAGTCACGCTCAGAGGTGGTTGCTTCCAATGTAGTTCAAGTCGTTATTGAATGAGGGCATATTTCCTCTATTGAGTACTTAAAAGGAGTTAATTTTTTTTGACCAAAGGGCATGACCTTGCATTTCTTCATTACCTTTCATTTCTTTGCATTAAGCTCTATGAGCCAAGACTTAGTCCAATGAACAATTTAGTCAATATCTGATTGGAGTTAAAGTTGAGCAGCAAGTGAGTTGACAATGCTCAGAATTTTAGTATATATATATATATATATATATATATATATATATATATATATATATATATATATATATATATATATATATATATATATATATATATATATATACACTGAATTGGGGGTTGCAAGTTTTATAAGGTCAACACTTCAAAACAACAAACATTTATTGATGAAATTTAAATTCTATTAATTAATTTTGATTTGATTTAAGAATACACAAAAAAAAAAATTTTAAGTATTTTTTCCTTCACACCCACTAAAACTCAGGGATGAGGAGAATGTGGTATTTTTATTCACAACTTTTATTTACAGTCATTTTTCTTAAAAAAATCCTTAATTGACACTAATAAAAATACACAATGTTTAAAGTTTGACTAGAAGTCATCAAAAGAATCTCAAGTACTTAAAACATACCATTATTATATAAAGTAAATGCCTTTTAATTGAAAAAATATTTAACATATATTTTCATTAATTTATTTTGAAATATTATGTTTTGTTCATTTTCATATAGATTATTCTACTAATGAGAATTCCTGGGCCTTTATTATAAGATAATTGACAATAATTAAAATGAAATTTAATTAGTTTTCATCATTTAAAGAGGCAACAACAATCAACATCAAGAAAATAAAAAAGCAGTATAAGAATACAGAGAGAAGATTAAAATTTTAGAACAGCACCCAAACCCTACTAAAGCGGATCTTAAAATTCAAAATAAAATGTGTGAAGTATTAAAAAAAACTTAATGTGTGAAGTATAAAAAAAGACTGAAGAGATACTTCTATAAACAGAAGAACTATAAGGTTAATGTAAAAGTTAATTTGCATAAATTAACAGACTAAATAGGACAGAAGCCTCTCCTAGTAAAAAAATTAGAATGATCTTTCTTGAGCAAGGAGTCACAATTGCTGTGGTAATCTTTGCAGTTTGAGCGACTATTGATGCAGTTTTCAATGTTTTTTTTTGTTTTTTTAACTGAATGATTTTACATTTGAAATCTTTGCTTTTATTTTTCTTGATAAAGTATGTAGTTTATTCAAGCAATATTATATAATTCTATAAAGCAAGTAACATTTAATAATTTGTTTCTGAATTTTTTTTAAGATTTGAGCTCCAGTATAAAATACAACATTAAAAACCTCATTTAATAAATAGTTTAAATAATGCAATTAACCTTTCACCATTACATGTCACACTGATAGTGTATTTTAACTATAAAGTTTTACTTGAACTTCTTTATAATTAAAATGCATTCATCAAGTGTTAACTTGAATTTCTTTGTAGAAGAAAATTTCTGAGCTGCAAATATAACTGCATTTAAATGTAAATAAATGAATTATGTAAATAATTTTTTTTTTTTTTTTTTTTTTTGATTCAACGATCAAAAATATTTTTAAAAGAAGAAGTAATGGAATTGCAGGTCTTTGAAAATATTTAAACCAAATCAGTATGATCAAGCAAAAAAACATTTTTTTTCTCGACTTATTGGGAGTGAAAAGTTGAAACTCCAATATAATAATGATCAGAGCTTTCTTAAATGTTTTGGCTTCCATCAAAAAAAGAAATGGCTGTATTTAAAGAATAAATTAAATGTTCAAAAAATCTTTAAAATTGCACTGGGTTTCAAACTTTTCACTACTCTCTAAAAATGTTTATTTACTAAAGGTAGATAAGCTTTCTGAAATTTTATTATTTTTATTTGACTAAGTTCAGTAGAATAATGTAAATATTCAATTCAAATATTAAATATAAAAAAAAAATTAATTATTCAAAAAAACAAATTTTAGAAACCCTATTGGCGTATTTAGAGAGGAAAAAAGAGGAGAAACGTAAGGTTTTAATTCTTTGGTTTGTTAATTGCAGATTTTATATTTTTCATTCATTTTTTTAATTTTGCTGTTATTTATTTTATACTTTTTCTTATAAATATTACTTTTTTTAGACTTTTGTCTTTGAATGGTTCACCAGTTGTTCCATGTCGTACATCTGACCCACCTGGTGATAATATATGTTTAATTGAATTAAAAAAAGAGGTAAAAAGTCTGTTTTTTATTAAATTCTTTTAAATATTGTCAACATTAATGTTAAAATTTTAAAAACTTTATAAAAACTGTTTGTATTTCACATTATTACATAAACTAAACAGTTTGCACTTTCAAAAAAGATATAATTTTGCAAGTGCATCTTACCTGATTATGGTTTAAAAATTTACCAAACCTTATTATAATTTAAATTGCAAAAAGTGCAATATGGTTAAAATTGCAAAATTAAACTTTAATTATGGTTTATGGTTGCAAAAACAAATTTTATTAGGGTTTTAAAATTAAACAAAAAAATAGTTTGATTAACAAAAATTTCTTGGGGAAAGGGAATATGGGAAAGAAGTGCTATCTATCGATTTAGCTTTGTCTCACATGGTGGCTCAATTAGCATCTCACATGGTGGTTGTATCATTTTGATTTTTTGCAAACACGTTTTTACTTATAGACTTGCAAAGATTGGCTGGCTTTCAAATTTCATTTGAACATGAAGTTTTACATGTGTTCATGCAAAAGTTCTTACAATAAAAATTAGTAATTTTGTACTTGTTAACACTATTTAGCTAAGTTTCTTTATACACTAAGTTTTAACCTAAATGTTTAAGAAAAATTAGTTTGTAATTAAAAATCTATTGGATGAGATTTGTTGTGAAAAAAAGTTGAGGCTACAACCGAAATTCACAAAGTTTAAAGGTACTATCAGCATTGTATTTAGAGAAATATTGCTTTTTAACCTTGCTTTTAAAATATTTGTGTTTGATTCTTAACCTTTTTGTTGCCTAATGCAGTTTTTTCTAAGGATTATTTCTGCCTTCTTATTGTTTTAATTGGTATCTGTGAATCTGATTCATTCATTGGTTGTTGATTTTTGTTTTTTTTTAATGAAATGAGGAGATAATTTTCAAAAGGTGCTATGTTCAAGTAAATTGATTTTGAGAAATTCACAAAAAACTGATCTGCTTAAGGACACACAACAATAGAAATTGATTTTGAGAAATTCACAAAAAACTGATCTGCTTATAGACAACAACAAAAGTTTTCTCCATCTATTATTAGTAGCAAAATTTTATTATTAAAAATTAAATAGATTATAGATTTCAGTATATAAAATTTGGAAACAAAGTCAAATTTTTTATTTTTGCAGCTAAGCACCTCTTAAAAAATAAAATCATATTTTTGATATGTAGGTAGAGGGAAGTATTTTTTGTTTTTTAAATCTTATATTTTCATGAGTTCATGACTATCAAACACAGTTATACAATTGAAAGGCATTACAACATTACTAAAGTACCAATTTAATTTGAATTTGATTTTTAAGAAGCAATAAAGTAGTGAGTCAAAAGTATAACAGTAGTTACAAAGTATAAACTAATCAATAAAGAAATGATTTATATAAAAGTGTAAACATGATAATTGCAGTACTTAAACATCCATTTAGCAAATGATTTAGAAAATCTATAAAAGGTTTTATCTGGACATACTGTCCAACTTTTTAATGGCTCACGTGCTAAATTAAATTCATAAGAACATGCTCTAAGATCTTGCAAAAGATCCCCTGAAATTTTTTTTGTTCAATATCAGAAAACTCTTCTTCGTTCCAAAAATGTAAAAAACAACTTTTTTCACCAGGGTTCTGGGGAGAAATCTCATATTTTAGGCAAGTGTCTTTTTATTTTGTTAATAAAAGTAGGTAACTAAGAGCCATGGGGCATACTCAAATTTCTAGCATGGTGATGTTGGTATCAAATGTGGATGACTTGCAAAAAGTTAGCTAACCCAGCCCTGTCCCAATCCTAAACTACCCCTGTTTCAGAACAATATCTTATAAGATCATTAAATTTTTTCTTTAAGTTCTATTATGATTTAGATAAAAATTCATCAACAGATTTCAAATTTTAACCAAAAATCTCCTTTTGTAGGTTAAGTTTAAAAATAAAGTGTATAAATTAAATTTTTAATAATTTAATTTACACACAAAAAAAAATTCTTTTTAGGAACCATATCCTAAGGATGGGGGTGATGAGAATTTATTTATTACTATTACTTTTTAAATTGTTACCAATTAGCAACAGCTAGCTGTGCCTAAATGTTAATAAATAAAAGATTAACTTTCAATTATTAACAATTAGCAACTGAAAATAAATTTAGTTCATATGTTAATGTATGAACTAAAAACATGTTTATGGTCAATACATTGAAATTTAATTAAGGGGCTGATATATCAGGCCAATATCTTAAATGTATATCAGAAGTTTTTGTTTTAACCATTTGTTTAAAATGCATAATCATGCGAAAAAACATGTTGATTTAAAAATGTTTTGCGTTTTCTACTGATTCTTACTTCACTATGTGATCATGTTTTAAAGGTAAAATACTTTAGTTAAAGTTTAGTTGTATTATTATGGTAACTATAGTTACTAGACAATTTAAACCTGAATACCAGACTTATCAGAGGGAGAAAATGTGAGTGTTTAATATGTAAAAGTGCACGCAAAGCAAAAATGGAAAAAACATTGGCCCCTATGGATGAATTTGTTTTGGAAAAGCCTGTTTATAAAGGTGCTGAAGACATTTCAAATAAACCTATAAAAAGACTTTGTCCAGATCCCTATACAACTTTAGAAAGATAAAAATTTGTTCATTTTTTATAATAATTTTCTTATAAGTTTAAAGCCATTTTTTTTTTTAAAACTCTGTTATAAATTCTAAGTAATCGCAATATGATTGAAGTTTTAAGCTTTCTGAGGAGTGAAAGTGTGGAGTTTGGTTTCAATATTAAAATGACTGGAACAACAAGCAAAATATTAAACTGACTGGAACAACAAGCAAAATGCAAAATTTTTTATTGTTGTTAGGAGTAAATAAAAACAAAGAGGTAATTAAGCTATTACCTTCATTTTTTTTAGATAACTAGAATGTAATATGCATCATTCGATTTGATTTTTTTTTACACATTTTTTAGTTGATAGTAAAAAATGCAACTATGGTGTATTGCAATGATGTTGATGAGCTGGTAGCAATGATACTTCATTACAGAAATCAAGAAATAAATGATGTTGGTATCAAATTAAGTATAGATGGAGGGGTTCTTAAGAATCTATTAGTCACACTTAAACTAGAGTTAGGATCCCAAAAAATTAAATAAAAATAAAATCCCTAATAAATTAAAAAAGTGTGATGGATGAGCGTTCAAAGACTTCAAAAATTTAAGTGTACACAAAACTATTATAATAGCCTTTTTACCTTCATCGGAAAAAAAATATCATAAACTGCTGATAGTTTTGGATAAATGGAACATTTCTTTTTTATATTTTTGTATAGCTCAAAAATGTTTTAATTTGTTTCTAACTATATTGTATATGAGTTTATCTCATTAGTTAATATACTGTTTAAAGTTACTTTGAACAACATTTAAAATTATGTTTAATGTTACCTTATGTCATGGGATGACTTGTAAATAGCAACAAGTTAAACTTAATTAAAATTTTTTTAATTTTTTAGTTATCTATTACCACAACATCATAACATACATGTTTGCCAATTTAGACATTATTTTTGACACTTACTGCTTAAACTGCATATTCAATAAAAATAAAAAAAAACTATGCTAAAATCAGTATTTATATTACTTATCAAACTATTTAATACTTTTATAAGTTTAATTTGGTCTATACTTTTATTATGTAGTATTTTAAATTTAAAAAATTTTAAATAAACAAATTTTATTTTTATTCAGAAAAAGTAAGTTGGTGTCAAAAAAAAGCAATACCTGTGTTTGTGCATGATAGTTTTAGAGTAGTGTCAAGTCTGTATACGATATTTTCAGTGAGGCAAGCTCATTGCTATAAAAGCAATAATTCAACAATAAAATAATAAATTGAAATTTTTTTAATATTGAATAGTAAAGAACATTACAACCTATTTTTCAGAATGCGATAACTGTCAAAAAGCAAGATAGTTCAAGTAAAACATATTGATTTTAAAAGGTAGCATAAATCAGGTTGAAATTGATTTGATTGAACTGGCAGATTTTCACCTTTCGTATTACCATAAAACATTGTTACTTTGGACAGTGGGGTAAAAAATTAGAGTAAAACTATTTCTTGTGTTTAAAGTTTCATGTCGCCTTTTTTTTTAAGATAATAGAATTTTTTAAATGTAGACAATGTTTTTCATTATACTTAAAAGAGGTTTTTCTTTATACTTAACAGAACAACATATAAAGTATATGTTGAGCAATATATAAAATATATGTATGCATTTATATGATGCATATAAAGATTTTTGTCTTTTTTTTTTTTAAAGATAATAGAAACAATTATATTATCATTCTGAGCAGTGAACCTGATCTGATAGAAAGTTAAAAACTTTAACTTTAAAAAACTTTATTTTTTTGGTTTTCCTCGTAAACTTCTTTCTTTTCTTTTGGATAAAATTTGAAACATTTTTTAAAGATGTTAAGATCTAGTTTGACAGAAATATTTTAAGAATTTTTTTTCACGGTTAAACGATCCAAAAATCTTTATAATGTTGTTTAAAACTTTTTGGTGACTAAAACAGTAAAAATCAAAAAGGTTTTGATTAGAAAAGCTTTAAATTTACACAACATAAAAAGAGGAATTTTAAGCGAATGTGTGTGAAGGCTACACAACGGAAAATTTGGCCATCCAACAAGTTTGAATAAATTTGAAGAAAATGTTGCTGTGAAATATGTACAGATATGTTTACCTTCTTCGACTTAAGAATAATTGTAAAACACTATTTAAATACCATTAAATGAAATGTACCCCATTTTAAAAACATTACTCATTCACTTTAAAGGTTATTATTGGATTATTTGTGCCCCCACAAAAACAGTCTTCGTAAACGACTCTTAATATTTGCCAAAATATAAAATGTGTTTGTTATAGCTTCATTATAGAAATATTTTAATAATTTACTTCATTTATTAAAAGATTTATTAAAACATTTTTTTTTAAAATTTAGTTTCTAGGTTTAGAAATGTGGTGTAATGCCACTGGACAGAAATACAGTTTGTTTTTTTTCATATACTAAATGCACTTTCGCTGAAGAACTTGGTTCTTCAACAAATGCAAAAGAACAAACATATTCAATTCTGTGATTAGTGCACTTGAGTCTATGAGGTTTGATAAAGATGTAGAACCAGTTCATAGACCTAAGCGCTCCAAACTTAATGTTGAACCAGGAAAATTTCATTTGAGAAATTAATAATTACACTACTACCAATAATGGTGATACTTCCAAACACAAGAGACTTGAAAAAGTCAGACAAAAAAGTAAACTATGAAGAAACCTTGTCAAAAGAAAAATCAGTGCACTGAAAGATTCTGACAACTTAAACAAACGTGTTTTTTCATGTGTTTTGTCCTGTGTTTTGCTGTCTAAAGTAACCCTATCACAGGGGTTACTTTAGACGCAGATATTTTTAAATGGTAGAAGAAAAAAAAATAATAGTAACCAGGTTTTATGGTACTTTGTTAAAAAAATCTGTTCTGTCTCTGAATTTTTTTCTTTTTTTTTCACTTCCAACAAAGCTGCAAGTAACCACTATTAGAATTGGAAGTTACTGGAAAAGAAAAGATGAAGTTTATAGAGTAAGAAAACGATTAACAGACGACTTAAAAGATTGCAAGTTATATGAATCAGGAAAACAAGATGAAGCGAATTCCAAAGAACCAATGTTTGAGGAAAAAAACTAAGACAAATAAGAATTTCTGGAGCACTTATACAGTAAAAGGATAAGACTTAATTGAATGACGAGTAACACGAGAATGAATTTTAGTAGATGGCACAAAAGAAGCTAGCGCTTTAAAGCAGTGCTCATTATAGTATTTATACAAAAGAGAAAGAGAAGCAACATTACGATAATGTGACAATCGTTGGAGGTTGCCTGCATTAGCAGGTCGAACTATGTTTACAATGCGTTTTTGCACCTTGCCTAAAAAAGAAAGGGCATCATTGGAAGATCCACCTCAGATATGGCAACAGTATTCCATACAAAGACAGATTTGAGATTTACAGAGATAAAGTATAGAATTCTGAGAATATAGATTGGAGCTTGATTAAACAAAATAACAATGGTTTTCTGAAAGTGTATCTTCAAAAAAACAAAAAAGCAATTTTGAAAGCTTGAAATGAATGGATTGATGATGGTGAAAAGCTTGTAATACTACAGATAGTGTTGGTAATTTTTCAATTACGAATAACTTAAATTATTTGCAAGCTTAAAGAATGTCAAAAATGTTGTATTAAAAAAGTGGTATAACCTACCAAGTTTTTCTTTATACAAAAAGGAAATTTTAAATTGACAACATTCAACAAGAAAGAATCAAATGATGCTGATGTCAAAAGTAAACCTATTATTAAAAATATTAAATCACAGATGAAAATACTCAACATAAAAGCAGCGAAAAAAATATGCAATTTTTAATATGAGAAAATTAATTGCAGAAAAATTTAGAATTGTTAAGAAACAAAATGTCTCCGTTAAACATATCAACCTAACTCCTTGTCTGAAACAAATTTATAGAGTTAAAGGAGATAAAGGCTTCTTTTTTAAGGCAATTTCTTTCATCGTAACTCGCTATAAAAATAAACGCAAGTCAAATAAAGATTAAGTTGTTAGTCATGTATAATGAAAATAAAAAGATAATATTAAAAAGATTTTTGTTAAAAGATAAAGTTTGAGTTTCTTGAACTGGAACTTTTTTAAAAAGAACAAGATTTTTTAACTAAATGTTCGATAGGCTGTTAAAACTGGATTAGCATCCAGATTACCATTCTATCGATCATTTAGGGAAACTCACCAAAGTACATATTCTGGGATATAAACCTTCAAATAAGTAACAACTTTTCTATATTACGCATAAAAGTAAGTTGACTTTGGCATCAACATACTTTTAACCTTTAAGTTTTATGTGAAATTTTATTTAAACTAGTTGAAGTTCTTCGCCAAAGCAGAAATAATTGTTTTAAAGTTATTTAGCTCAATGGCATAGTTAAAAAATGCTACTGTAAACTAATCGGTGTACGCAATGCCAACGATAGTTAACGATAATTAAATAACGACACTTAAATACTATGAGAAAGCTAATAGCTCTAAAACACAAAACGGCAGTTTTTACCTTCTGTTATTGACGTGTTTGACGTCGATTTCAGCATTTCCAAAATGACATTTTCAATCAGAATTGAAAAGTGCTAAATTTATCTATGGAAGTATAAAATAGATGGAAGTTTAACCGCATTAAAGTTCTTCGGGACTATGCTTGTAACCTTTTGTAAACAATAAGAAAACGTTTCCAAGAAAGATCAGAAGTAAGAGTTAATCCTAGAAGATGAAGGTAGATGACTCATCGAGTACATTACCGTTCATTAATATAGGAAGATCTAAATTATTGCGATAATGATTGGCTGAAAAACATTGAGCTTTATCTAAATTAAAGTTTACCAGCCTCTGTGAGCCCCATGTTGTAGCAGAAGTGAGATCCTTTTCAAGCTCAAACGCCCCCTGCAAGCAATCAGAGGGAGTTGGCTTCTTATCGTGACAAGAATAAATAGTAGTATCATCAGTAAATGATGCCACCTTAAATGTGAGAATATCTGGAAGATCGTTAATGTAAATTAAAAAGAGTATAGGGCCAAGGATTGATTGATGAGGAACCCCTGAGGTTACAGAACAAGAAGAAGAGTGCAGTCCATCAAAGACAATTTTTATACTACGAGTGGAAAGGAAGGATTCAATAGTCTTAAAGATATTTCCAGATACACCGTAAGAAGAAAGCTTATGAAGAAGACCAGCATGCCAAACTTTATCAAACGCTTTAGAATTGTCAAGAGCGATGGCCTAAACCTCTCCACCTTTATCTAATGCGCGATAAAACCTATCGGTTATTACTGTTAGCAAATCAGCCGTAGAACGAGAAGATCGAAATCCATATTGATGATCAGAAAGTAAGTTATTAGATTCAAGATGAGAGATTAAGTGTTTGTTAATTAAAGATTCAAAAACCTTGCTTATGATAGGAAGAAGACTAATGAAACGGTAGTTAGACGAATCAGATCGCTCTCCAGAATTTTTAAAAATAAGGATAACAGATGCTGCTTTCCAGCAGGCTGGAAAACAAGACTGATAAGCACTTGATGAGTAGTTGTGAAAGGATAGACGACAGCTCCGGAGAACACTTCTGCTATAACAGGTTTGTTGTCCGGGCCGCAAGCTGTAGAAGAGTCTGAGCAGGAAATCATTTTAGATACAGAAGCTGGAGTGATACGGATGTCGAGCAGTGGATCAACCTGTTTGACGGCTATATCAGGTAGAACGCAACTAGTGGAATCATGAGATGATATTGATAAAAAGTTCTTAGCAAACAATTCAGCTTTGTCTTTAGGTGAGGTGACAAAGTCGGAACCATACAAAAGAGGTGGAATTACAGACTTGCCCTTATTATTGATACTGTTAAAGATTCTCCAGAAGTCACGATAGCCTAATTTTTGAGATGAAATACGAGATTTCATGATCTGAGAATTTGGCTTTGGCGTTAGACAAAACCTTCTCATGATCTGAGAATTTGGCTTTGGCGTTAAACAAAACCTTTTTACAATGGTTCCTAGCATATGCTTTTAAAATCAAGTGGTTCTATTTAATTACCGATTTTTAATAAACCTTTTGCTGAATAATTGCAGTTACTAATGGTTAAAACTTTGCAGCATATCCCTAGGATAATTCATTTTTTGATGTTTTAATAAAAATCATTTCAGTGAATTTTTTTGTTTTTTGTCTAGTGAAACTTGTTTTTGGTTGTTTTTTTTGTCGGTTACAAGCATACTCCCGAGACGACTTGAAATTGCTTTGATGTTTGCGGCTCGATGAACTTCTATCTGTTTTATACTTCCATGATTTATGTAAATGATTATTTGACATTGTTTGAAAAATTCTTACTCGTTTTTAATTCAGTTTTAATGGTTTGCAATCCTATTTAAATATCTATTAAAATTAGAAATTGTCTCAAAGTAATTAACTACGTTAATTCTATTCAAGCAAGAAAAACAACCAAGGAAAATATAATATTGCTAGTACATTTTAATAGTGGTTTTTTTTTTCATATAACTATAAAATATTTTAAAACTTATTCAGGATAAGTTTTTTTCATGATCAGTACCTATTTTTCTTTTAAAGCAAACTATACTGCGCGGTACACTATTTGATTCAATGAGTCCCGGTTCATTGGTTGCAAGTAGAGACAGGATTCTACAAGTCGTGGTAAGATTTGAATCTCAAACCAGTTTATTTTGTTGTATATATAATTTTGTATTTATATTGCTTCCATACATTTAGGGAGCTATAACTTCGCGTCTGGAAGATTTTGATTCTAAAACCAATGCAGAAAATTCGAAACCTGGTAATGGTTATAAATAATCTGTGCCAATATAGCCGAGCAAAAACTTTTTTATTAAAATGCTTTAATTGTTATTCTGTGAATTCTTTTATTAACACATAATTTAGTTTCTACTAAGATTTATTATATGAACATAAATTAAGTTTATTGCATAAACTAAATATTTATTTGGCCTTCACATACCTTAATGACTAGTTGTGATATTAGATAACCTTTTTGAAATTTTTTTACGAAAAAAGACATTAAAGAGATTCTGGCTGAAATTAATATAAAGTTTTTAAGTACAGTTTTGTTTGAATACATAATTTTGTATGACAATAAAGTCATATCTATTAAAAGTATTAGATGGAAACTGGGATAAACGTTGACTTTGTAATAGATATTAGTCAAAAGAGAAGTATGAAAAATAATTTTCTATAATTAGAAGCCATGTTTTTTAAAAGACATTTATTAACTAATCCGATCATTTTCAAAAAGCAACACTTAGATTTTCATTATTATCTGCAAGCTTGTCATTAGAGGTCGTCCATAAAGTACGTACCCAAATAACACATTGACGTCCCGCCGACGTCATTTAGACGTCTTTGTTATGGTTAGTCCAACGTCGGCAAAAGACGTCGGATTGCGTGCGTTTTGATCACCGGCTCCACGTCGGCCCTATCTAACCGGCCCAACGTACAGAAATTACTAGATTACCGACGTTGATACTTGTGAAGTTGGAAAAGAAGGAGTTTTATCCGACTTTGTGTGAAAACGTCGCTGGCATAATATTAACATTGTTGTACCAATTAGATATATCTGATGGAAAAGCAAGATTTTTCGGACACACTCAATTTATACTAAAAACGTGACTAATAAAAACATTTTGTTAATTATTAAATGTTAATTAATTAGTCATTAATGATTGCTTGCTTATTAACTTAATTGATATATTACCAGTTGACATTTACAACTGTTTAAAATAATTTTATTTATAAACAATAAATTTATTATTACGGATTTATTAAAAAATAAATTGTTTAAATGACTTATTAATAATGATTTTATCTATTAATCAAAAAAGTATAACTAAAAAAACAACAACTAAAAAATAAAAAAAGATTTATATATATTATAAAGGCTTTATATAATAGCTAATGTAGACATGAACGATTGGCACGACGTTGTCTTCCTCCATCTCTTCTATAGTCTGTTTCACCAGGTTTATCAATAAACTGGTGAAGGTGACTTTTACCACAAAATATATTTTATATATCACAAATATAAAATAAGTAATTTTACAAACAATTCCAACAAGGTACATTTGCTGAATGCAATCTTATTTCCTTTTCTTTTCCAATTACATAACTTTGCTACATCTGTGATCAGTAAACGACTTAGCACTGCTCTGGTAGTTGACTTTACATTGAGCCCACCAACCAATCCAAGAAATCTTGTCTATATAAAGTAGTATAAGGTAATAAGGGATGTAAAAGATATATAGTAAAGTTTATCATAATACTTTAAAAAACAATTTTTATTAAGCTAAAATTTTTTATTAACGATTGAATATTACTTTAAAAGTAATTTATGTAATACATAAAATACAATTTTATATTTAAAAATACCGAATTAGGTTTGCATATACATACCCTTCATGATTTGATGTTTTATTGTTAACTTAATTAGTATTATTAAAATAATTAATAATTTATTTATTAATAAATAATAATATTATTAAAATAATTAATAGTTAATACATAAATTATTTATTTGATAAATAATTTATGTATTAACTATTAAGTTTAAATAGAGCTTTACCAGTCTTCCTTTATCGTTTATAAGGTTAAACTCTTCTACAGTTGTTGCTGGCGATTGGAAAGGTAATCCTCTCACTAAACTCTCATTCATTTGTTTTTGCAAGGTGCTGTAACAGGTTTATAGTTTTTCTCCTTGTTTCTTAAGCTCGTCTCCTTGCGCTTTAATTTCTTCAAGAAGAAGAATTAGTTTCTGTTCTACAGCTAAAAAATATTAGAACTAGTGAGCTAAATAATTTAATATTGGCAAAGAAATATTATATTAGTAAATATTCTTTAAAATAAAAATTCAATATAATTTTTATGTTGTAAAACATAAATTTAAAATTAAAACAAAATAACCATTGACATTCTGTAATCTATATATATATAATCTATAATGCGATATATAAGTAATCTATTATTCTGATATAATAAAAATAAGCAGTTAAAAACTTGAATATGTACGTGTTGCAGCTGAATACAGCCATCCATCTGAATAGCATAATGGAAATTCTTTTAAAAGTGGCTTTCCATGAGGTTTAGAAATAATTTATAGATTAAATGCTTTAATAAACAAAAAAACTTATCCGATTCAGTTTTATAATCAAAAACAACATGTAAATTAAATATTTGTTTCACAAAAAAGATATAATGAGGTGTTCACTTTCATTTATAGGTAAACACACACATTTTGAAACTACATCATTTATGCTATATAGAAACTTTATCTTTAACTTGAGACACTTTAAATGCATTTAACAATTTTGAGTCTAAAGGATATTCATAAAATGAGTTTGTGTTGCAAAATAATTTTACAACTATATATATACATCTAAATCTTTCTTAATGATATTTTGAAGAATTCCAACTTTGGAAGTATTTAAAAGTACACAGTTATTTTTTTTTGTTATTGAAAACATATATGATTGAAGTTTAATACTCTTATATTGAATGACATTAAACAACTCAGGGCCCTGGTTATGCTCATATTTACACATAAGGTTATCATTTTTTGTATCTTTATCAGAAACAGAGATAAGCTTGTTTTCTGAAACTCGTTTTATAACTTGTTCAAGTGGTAATGATGGTTTTCTTATAAGTTTTTTAACACTTTGTAAGTAATTTTCAAAAGGAAAGGCGCTTGTTTCATCTAATGCACCGAACCTACTAACATCATCTGATAAATGAACCAGGCAGTGAACATTGTAAGTAATAAACTCTGGTCCATATAACTTCTGAGAATGCTGGATAAAAATTGTCAACAATTTTATAGTATGGTATAGAACTACGTAACAAATTCTGGTGTTCACTTATTTTCGTGAATAGTTGTGCAGATAATCTAGTTTTTAAAGCACCTTTGACCCAAAACTGTAATAACTTTCTCATGACACCTAAACAGACAAGATGCATGTAATCTAACACAGAGTCAGTTACCAATAGACAACTGTGTTAGAGGTGATTTAATATTGTTTTTATGATGATCTTCATACAACAGATCATTAAATGCTTCATTCGTTCGAAGAGGGCTATTTACTTCTGGAGTTGTCATTCTTTCTATATATTTCCCGGTTGAATGCAACGGTTATAGCTATAACCCAGTAAGCACAAAACATTTTTAAAACGTTTAAAAAACCTATGAAAACGTTTTTTAACGTTTTTTATACGTTTTAAAAACGATCTGTGCTTACTGGGAATATCCACAATATAGCTTTGTATTTTTTAAAAATGATCGTGCAGGAGCATTTCACACAAAACTATGAATGCGGAATTGATTAAGTTTGTCTTTCAGTATTATTCCATTCTTTTCTAATTAAGATGTTTCAACTACAAATGATTTTAAAAATTCAATAAGATCAGAAGGTTTGTTATATCCAGCATTTAATCCAACTAGAAAAAATTTTACTTGTGTAACTTGGTTGTTTTAATAAACCAAGAATTGGCCACAGCTGTAAACCAATGCTTTTAAATATAGGCAAACCATCAATATTGCATTACATTGACAATTGAGAACAGCCTGATAGATTTACAAAACTTTGTTCACTTTTAAACAACTTTCGCAAGCATGAAGCAATTCCAAAATGATGATATATACCTCCACTATTTAATTTTTCATAACTCGCATTTCTTGGTGTTGACAATAAAGTCCGTAGGTCAAGAGGCAAAAAAGAATGATGTTCTTGAAGTATATGTAAGAGAGATTTTAATGATTTGTGAGAAATATTTTCTTCAACAGCCCATTGAGTAAGATAATTAACAAGCAGTCCTTCATTACCATCATTGTCACTTTCATCAGTATCTGGAAAAATGTCAGATTCAGATTTCCATTCCACGTTATCACTGTCACTCATTTGGAGATACACATTGTCATTCGATTCAGATAGGTGATTATTATCTATTTCATTAATCTATTATCAAACACACCTGCAATTTTACTAGGTTTAACAAAATAACTTTCTTTTTCAAAATCGACCTTCTTATTTACATCTGCATGAAATGTATAAGTGAGTTTACCGTTACATTGTTCAACTGATAAAGTATTATGTATGTGGCCATCATCTTTTTTTTTTTTGCACTTGAACTTTGAATGTCTTCCAAGTGTGCTTGAACTCTGGCACGAATACGACGCCTTATGGAAGAATATGACTTCTAATAAAATCCAATCATTTAACTTTAATAAATTAGTGAACTTTTTTATACAACTATTCTATTTGATAAATATGACAGTACTGATAAGTTTATTGTCAATAAACTTCAATAAAAAATAAATAAATAGAAAAAAATAAAAATAAAATAAATTTTGTTTTATAAACACCAATGTGAACATTTAAAAATAATAAAAATGTAAGCGGCATATATATACAACAAATACATCACCAGACAAAAAACTTATAAAACAAAAAACCGATCACAAAATAAAAAATATGCTATCAACAATGAAAAGCCTAATAATGAAAAAAAACAACATTAATGCTAATGTGTAAACATAATTTGTGTAGCGATTAAGTAATAAACATCTCCTCAGAGTCGCGTCTATTATTACTGGCGTTTCGATGAGGATCAGCATTTATAACTAGTTTATGAAGTAAAAAAGGACTCACTACAAATAGCCAAAACCCAACCAACCCCAAATTTGTAAAGCACCAATATTTTTTTGATGATATGATATAAAAAGTGTCGAACAAACAAAAATAAAAATAACTAAATAAAACACTTACCATACCACCAAAAGAAAACATAAAGACAAAATAAATTAAAATTCTAATAGCAACATAAAAAAATTCATAAATTTATTTTAAAAAATAAAACCAAATAGGTATTATTAGCTTAAACAAGCCTAAGATAATCAATCAGAAAGCAGTATACCTCATTAAAAAAAAATTTTTTAATCAACAAAACAACAATAGCCTTAAACAAACTCTAACGCTGTCATAGATACCTCATTCGAAATATGACAATAAATCAAAAGTGTAGGAAAATGAGCAACCCGCGAAACCCAAAATCATAACAATAATTGAATAATAGATGATAGCGAAAAAGAACGTTGCACAAAAACCTTAAGAATGTAAGCGGCATATATGTAAACATTTAATGAAGGATATAAAAATATTCTCTGAATAATAATAAAGATGAAAAATGTGCATGTGAAAATTAAAACAAAGCTGAGTTATGAATGCAAGATAATATAACATGAACGTTTCTTGTAAACAGTAATAATATGAAAATCAGAAGATAAATAATATATATTGCAATAAGACTAACTAAACATTGTAATAAAACCAGATAATTTTAAGCCAAATGAGTGGTTAAAAAATGAGTTGTGGGTAATATAACAATGATAAGTCGTGATGTAAAAAAGATGTGCAAAGCGGGAAAAAAAATATTAAAAAGTAATGTTTTCTCTACGGTCCGAATTAAATGTAATTTTGAGACTATAACAAAATAACAAGGAAAAACATACATCATACGCGAGCAGTGAACGCCTTAGGGAACAAAAGGGATAAAAAAGTGAAAATGACTATAATCTATAATTTATTTATTATTACATACATTATCACATACATTATCTCGAAAGTAAAATCTCTAAGAACATCGGTCTGATTTGTAGAGCAAAACCTTTTTTAAATCCATACTTAAAATTTTTATATTTCTCTTTCATTCATTGTCATCTAAATTATGCAAACATTGCTTGGTGCGGTAAGGAAGGAGGCGTGAACTTCCTGGTTAAATGCACTTCCGCGGTGCTCTGTGGCAAGACCGTTAAGTCTTCTTGGGGCACCTAAATAACAACAACAACAACATTTTATTAGTAACATCTGAATAACTTTTTTATGACTTTGTCAAATAATTTCCATTTATAAGTAACTTTTTTATGTTATTTACTTATGTTAGTTACTTTTCTTTGTAAAAATAAATTCTTTTTACTCCGCACTTCTAAAATTAACTTTGTATATTTGAATTTTAGATGCAATTTAGTTTATATTATTATCAATTTTTAATAATTTAATTGTAAATATATTTAATATTTTACATTTAAAAATGATTTTTTTACTTAAAGAAAGTAAAAGTTCTATCCCTAATTTAACCTAAGCCCATAGTTTTGTTAAACCAAGTGTATTAGCTGTTGTAGGTCTAAAACTATTTTTAGGATTAAAATAAATTTTGAGAGTTAAGAAAAAGAAAGAATCCTAAAAATGAGACAGTTCCCAGCATGTACTCCCCAACAGTCGAACATTGCATGTACCTTTGATTTTGTAAGCGTCTGCGCTACTATAAATTTTTGTAAACGTTCACTGAATGTGCAAATATACTTTCCACTTTTCGAAGCTCTTTTTTTTTTTCAAAACAAAATCATTTAATCGTAAAGCGTTTTTTTTTTTCGAAAATAATTTATCTTATCGAAGTTCTTTTTTTTTTTGGAAATTATTTAGCTAATCGAAATGGGTTTTTTTTTTCGAAAATAATTTAACTTTTCAAAACTTATAATTTTTTTTTCGAAGTTTATTTAACTTTTCGAAATTCAACTTTAATTTCGAAATTAATTTAGTATATATATATATATATATATATATATATATATATATATATATATATATATATATATATATATATATATATATATATATATATATATATATATATATATATATATATATATATATTTTTTTTTTTCAAAATTAAAATAAGTTTTTAAAATCATGTTTAATTTTTTGAAATAATTTAGCTATTCGATAGTTTTCGAAACATTTATTGAAAAAAAAAGTTTTTTATCAATTAATGTTTTTCGGAAATGAACCATAACTATTTCAAGATTATTTGAGCAACGGAACCGAGAATATAAATCCCATTATTAGTATAAATTATAACGGCAATTAAACTTATTTTAGCGAACTCGTTCGTAGAGATTTTAAAAGATTCAAATATTATATAAATATTAAATAAATATTTTATATTTTTTTATTTTTAATAATAATAATTTTGTTTATTATTATTTTTTATTAAAATGCTATTTAAACTCCAACACTTTTTGGAAATAAAAATTTAATTTAAGCCGCCTAACTGCAGGGTTACCAAATCAACTGCACCTTGGGTTCCACAACAAATAGACGGAAACTTGGCCTTATTACTATATATCTTATTATCATATATATATATATACATATATATATATATATATATATATATATATATATATATATATATATATATATATATATATATATATATATATATATATATATATATATATATTATATATATATATATATATATATATATATATATATATCTATATATATATCTATATATATATCTATATATCTATATATATATATATATATATATATATATATATATATATATATATATATATATATATATATATATATATATATATATATATATATATATATATATATATATATATATATATATATATATATATATATAGATATATTTGATGATATATATATTTTTTTATTATTATGTTGAAGTATTTAAATACCTCTAACAATATTTATCTAACACTATCACTAACATTATAAATATTTATTATGTATGTGATAGTGTTAGATAAATATTTATTTTGTTATAGTTAATTTAAAAAAAAAAAAGAAGATGTAATAAGAAATCCTAAGCAATTTTTAGTATATTATAAAAAGAGTGCTCAATTTTGTGAAAGAATAAATTAATAATAATAATAAAAACAAAATTTTTTTTAATTAATTTTTTTTAAACATTACAATATCAATAAATAGTTTTAGTTGTCTAAGTAAAACCTGCACTTTTTTAAAAAATAGATTTTTTTAGTTATTTACATATATTGTTATACATAATTCAAGTATATGTACTGTATCTTTATATCGTTTATGTGCCTTATATACATATATATTTTTCAGATAACCTAAAAAACTATTCCTCTGTGCATATACTATATGCTCAAATAGAGGAAGGTTTTTTTTTTTTTCTTAAAAATGTATATGGATTAAGGTATGCGTCCCTAAAAATAGAGTTTGCAAAATATATTTTATCTGGTTTTAATTTACAGTGGTTGTTACTATTTTACTATTATTATTATTATTATTATTATTATTATTATTATTATTATTACTATTATTATTATTATTATTATTATTATTATTATTATTATTATTATTATTATTATTATTATTATTATTATTATTATTATTGTATACATATATACATACTTACTTGCTGATTGAGGTAGGTATTGCCTTAATTAATTTTGAAAATCTTAAGCTTTATAATCCCCTCTTAAATCTAAACAGTTTTTTAGCAGGTTTTTTTGGCGTGATAAAAATCATTTTATGTAGGACATACTATGCAAAATTATTTGTGTATATGTATGTTTGTATATATATATATATATATATATATATATATATATATATATATATATATATATATATATATATATATATATATATATATATATATATATATACATACATATATCTTTAGATGTCCAAAGCTAGCCTGCCTAGTACTTCAACAAAGCGTTTATTAAAAGAACTTGCAGATTTATCTAAAGAGTCTATTGATGGAATAGTTTTTGATTCTGATAGAATTTCAACTAATCTATTAAAATGGAGAATATGGGTTATTGGTGCAGAAGATACATTGTATCACGGAGAAAAATTTGAACTTGAATTTACATTTGGAAGTAAATATCCTTTTGAATCTCCTCAAGTTGTTTTTATTGGAAATAATATTCCTCTTCATCCTCATGTTTATACAAACGGACACATTTGTTTGTCCATATTAACAGATGACTGGACACCAGCTATGTCTGTAACGTCTGTTTGTTTAAGTATACTTAGTATGTTAAGTAGCTGTAAAGTGAAACAGCTACCACCTGATAATGATCGTTATGTTCGGACTGCTGGTAAAAATCCTAATAAAACAAAATGGTGGTATCACGATGACACTGTTTGATTAAACAAAATATTAAACTTTTCTAATTAATCTTTATCCAAGTATTTTCAAGTATAAAATATGACAGAAATGGAACTGCTAGTGGCATATGTGCTATTATATTCTTACGTTGTTAAGTGCACACAAACAATATAAATAAATGTTATTATCTCATGTAATATTGTTGCTTATACTGTATTATTCTTATAATTCTACTATGCAATATTTTTAATAGAAGGAATTTCTTTTTATAACCAATTTGTACATAATTATCTATATACATATATATATTTAAATGACGTGATCATTATTTTATCAGTTGATGTCTATAAAAGTGTAGCTAATAGTTACTTGATTATGTTGAATTTTTTTTATACCTTAAAAATAACTCTTATGACAAGGACATATTTGTGCAAATGGAAATAGCAAAAATATGTTTGTTGTAATTTTATTATATATGTTTTGTTGGCTAGAATAGGGAAACTGTGTGATTTTAGAGTTAGTACAAACCATATGCATGCATTCAAAGTGATGTGTATAGAATAATAAGTTTTATTATTTTATATGTTAGTTATGTTTATTTATTTTCAAAAGTTATATGCATACTTGCATAGCTTTTTTTAAGTCTTTAGTAATTTTATGTAAGGAACTTATTTATTACCTATAGTAATTTTATGAGAGAATGGAATAATTTTTTTTCCTTCTAATATAATAAGTCTGATAATATTTGATAAGAGTCCATAGGATATTCTTTTTGTTTTAAAAAATGAGCGAAATAACATTTATTGTTTGATTGGCTAATATTGCCATGAGCAATTGTAAACTTTGTCCATTGTCATTTTTGTGCATTTTTTTAATCATTGTAGTTTTTGATCATTTTTTGCTGTTACTTTGATAATATTTTGAATATATTTTTTAATATATGAAATATACTAAAGTTGTTCATTATGGGTTCAAAAGATCCATTCTCTGAAGAGCGCCCTGTTAAAGAAACCCATGTTGGTATGTTTATTTTTAAAATTTATATATTAATAATAATGTAAATTTATAAAATTATATTGTTAGTAGTAGAACATTATAAAATTATATATTATAATTTTATAATGTTCAAAATACAATTATTTTGACCATAATAAATTTGTAATTTTTGTTATTCTGTGATATAAAGATATCCCAAATACAATCAGCGAAGCAAAGGAAAAACAAATTGTTTCTTCCTTAAATAGGGAAGAACTAGAAGATCGCTATTTAAGGATGCGAGATGAACATACTGTAAGCCTAATTTTTTTATGCTGTTTCTTTTTTATATTTAAATTACCATTATTTTATTTTATTATTTATTATTATACTATTATATAATATTTAATGATTACCTCTATAGATTAGTTTTGAAATAAACACTTTGATCTTTTAATCACTAAAATGTTTAGCAATTTAAGTTAAGCTTTTTAAATCTTTGCCCCCCCCCTCCTCCTCTAAAAAAAGGTTTCCAACAACACAAAATCCATATACCATGTGAAGAATAATAGAAATAGAAATCTATACTTCTTGTAAAGGCAAATAATTTTTTTATTTTATAACAAAAAAAAAACAAACAAGCATGAATTTGAGATTAAATGTTAGACTTACTTTAGTTAATGACACTGTTGAAGACTAACCAAAAGTCTCTAGAACCTAATATCTGAGATAAGATACAAGAATCTCAAAATAACAGAGCTTAACATCAGACAGGACTTTTTTACATTGGCAATTATTAGTTAAATCAATTTTTTAAACGTATGTTTAAAATTTTTAAAAAATGTTTTGCTTCATATTTCCAGTTACATTAGAATAAAGCTTGTTCATTCAATATAAAACGTTATAATAGAAAAAGAAATACAATTAAAAATGCCATTTGTGACATTAATAGAAGCAATATAATGGTTGCTAATTATATAGATATTTTATAAAGGTTGCTAGTTATGCTAGTTATATAGATATTTTATGTTTCGTCTGTATATTAATCGAGTTTTTTCCAGACAATGAGCAAAAAAAAATTTTAATTTTATAATGAAATTTATTGAAGGTAAAATCTAATAAGAAGAAACTGTTATTATAATTGACAATGCACTTATTGTTTATATGGAGATGTTTGAAGATGTGTGATTTTTTGTTAAAAGATGTGGTTTGTGTGTGTATATATATATATATATATATATATATATATATATATATATATATATATATATATATATATATATATATATATATATATATATATATATATATATATATATATACTTAAATTGCTAGTTTAGATGAGCACTCTGACATCACACTGAAATAGTCTGCTGCCAGGGGCTTTAGTACATACATCGACTGACAATCAGCCTGGCTTGCAGCGGAGTGATGCTACATCGACTGAAGATTTGGGTTGGGGCAGCACTCTTTTTTTTCATTACTCTTTGCTTTTTTCTTCTTTTTCTGAAAATGCTACAAAGATAAACAAAACAAGTGAGCAAATGCTTTTCTAAACAGCTATGGAAGATATATATATATATATATATATATATATATATATATATATATATATATATATATATATATATATATATATTCTTATAGTTCTAGTGTACATAGCAAATTAGTTTCTAAATTATATGTAATGATAAAAATTGTGAATAAATATCAAAACTTTCAATTGTTATTAAATCATTATAAAAGATAATGGTTTTTCAACAACAACTCTAAAAAAAGAATACAAAAGTTGTACAAAAATTTTATAAAGTATTTTTTTTTTTTAATTAATTTTTTTCAGTTAATAAATTTTCTATTTTATTTACTTGATATTTCTTTACAATTTTGTTTCCTTAATTAAGAATTGTTTTTTTTTCGTAGTAAACAAGTTTAGTTTTTTGCCGCAAATTATTGAAATGCTTTTCAAGTTAAAAGATGCAAACTGCTGTGGTCTGTTAATCTAAAAATATTACTTTAAATGTGGATGAACAAGGCATGCAACCGCACGCACTTCCCAGGAAGGCTTGAAGTGTGTAGATATATATCATTAGATCTAAATCAACATTGAGTTAGATCTAATGATACACTTGCCATTAATTTTAAATTTAATTACTATCTAAAAATATATATTTATATACAAGTTTTGAAATATAAACTAAGGTTCCCATGAGTTTAGGCACAACAAATAAATGAGAGATGATAAATTTTATATATAAAATAAAGATATAAAAACAACAATAGTTTGCTTGTCTTTTATGTCACAGCTTTTAAATATGTATTTTTAGTAGTGTGTTTGTGCATAACTGAACTTCATGCATCAGACATTAAACTAGACACAGTGTATAAATAGAAAGTTCAGCTACAACATTTTATAAGTTCTGGGCATGTTTAAAGTAAATAAAGGTAATGCTAGGGCTATTTAAAAACTGAGTTTAATTCAAGTTCAATTTAAGACTTATTTTTAGAACTGATTTTGAAATACTTTTACATATATACAAATTTTAAATTACAATATATAATAAAAAAGTATACCAATTTCTCTATTTTTATTGTTTTTAATGCATTTAGTACAAATTTCATAGTTCTGATTTTGTAACTTCCCTATGAGTACCCACTATTCTTTTTTTCTGAAATCACTGTAATAGAGTCTGTAATTAAATTTGTTTAAAAAAAAAAGTTTTATTAAAGTAAGTCTTAAGTTGTATGCAATAAAAAAAACAAGAAGGTTTTCTGAAATTTTGTTTTTAAAATCTAGAGCTTCAAAGTATGAGTAAAACATGTTTTTGCTTATAATATTTTTATTTTTGGAAAAAATAGAAACTTCAAATGATCACATGATTTTATGTTGAAATTATAAGGAATTGCTTTTCTCAATGATACAAATCAACACACCAAGTTTCATTAAGATCTGAGGTGGTTCATGTTGTTCTAAAATTTTGGTTCATTTGGCATGGAATTACCCAAAAGCTTCATGAACCACAAAAGATTTTATGCTGAAATTTTTAGAAACTGCTTTTCTCATTGATATAAACCAAACCACTAAGTTTCATCAAAATCTGAAATCCATATTGGACCTCGGTCCTCCTGGCATTGAATGACCTTTTTAACAACTCTTTATTAAAATGCCTCTCTGCGATTGACATAATGTCTCAAGGTCACAAAATTACAGAGAAAACATCAAAAAAACTTCAGACTTTCTTTCCCACTGTAGATATAAATAAAGTAATATTTAATCAAAAAGTTATGCAGCTTGAGATAGATATAGCGCTTCCACCCATATTTGCTGATGGAAAGCCTGTTTTGTCTATTTGTGGCTAGAAGTTTTTAAGTATAAAAAATATCTAAAGCTTAGTATAATTATCGAAGCTGAATTATATTCAGTAGTCCTCATGTTGAACAATCATTCAGCATGATAAACACCATATTTAACAAAAGTTAACTGTCTTGATACTTCAGCGTTCTCTGCTATAGCTTCAATTAAGTATCAATTATTAGCAAACAAGACCACAGCGCTAGGGTACTTAAAAAGACAAGATATATTGCATGACTCAGTTAACAAAAACATCTGTGGTCATTTGCAAACTGCAAGCAAACGCAATATTAAAAAAATGGAATTCCATTAGAAAAATAGAAAAGTTTAAGAAATTTTTTTAAAAATAAATCTTACTCTGAAACAAAAATTGCCTCCATTGAACATTGAAAATGGTGAACAGTAAAAATAATTGTACGGTAAAATATATTATATTTGATTTTAGAGAGTTTTAGAGAAACATAATTATTCAGTAGTTTTTAGTTACTTTATTTATACTTTAGGAATTTATACCTTTTATCTTTTATACCTTTAATTTTTCGGGATTTTCCGCATTTTTTATAAAAATAATTTATAAAAATATTATCTCATTCTTCTTAATGATCAGAATCCCCCTATGATCGTACCTTTTACAACTACCTTTAAGATTACTGGGACTCTTTCTGTGATTTTCTTTGTGATGGTCCTCGGGTAGAAATCTTTTGTCTTCCTGCTGACAAATGTGCTTCTTACATAACTTCTTGGATTCAGGCTAGCATGAAGTCTTTTATTCCCTGTCGACGATTCCAAGTAAAGCCTTACTCTTTTTCATGATTTTCCTCTCATTGTGCGGCTGTAATTTCCAATCATAACCATTACTTCTATATCTATGAGTGAATCATCACAAAGAAAATCTCTTTCTGTGATTTTCTTTGTGATGGCATTTGGATAGAAATCTTTTGTCTTTCTGCTGACAAATGTGCTTCTTACATAACTTCTTAGATTTAGGCTAGCATGGAGTCTTTTATTCCCTCTCGACAATTCCAAGTCAAGCCTTACTCTTTTCCATGGTTTTCCTCTTATTGTGCGGCTGCAATTTCCAATCATAACTATTACTTTTATATCTATCAGCAAATCACTTTTCCAGAAAACAGGTGTCTTTTTACTATTGCTAAAAACCATTGTAAAAAGTTTTTGTCTAACCCCAAAGGTAGGTCACAAAATCTTGTATTTCATCTCAAAAATAAGGCTCTCGTGACCTCTGGAAAATTCAACAGTATCTATAACAAGTATAAATATGTTTTCCTCCTCTCTTGTATGGTTCAGATTTTATCACCTTACCTAAAGACAAAGCTGAATTGTTTGCTAAGGACTTTTCATCGATATCATCTCTTTATTCCACTAATAAAAGTATAAAAGTTGTCCTCGATGGCATTTTTTCTTTCCTTTATTTAATCACTTTTTATTTCCTGTAGTTTAATTAGTTCCTCATAGTTCTATCCTTGGTTCATTACTTTTTTAAATTTACATTGACAATCTCACTGAAATTCTCACATTTAAGGTGACATTTTTCGCTGATGATATTACCATTTATTTTTGTCTTGATAATAAGCCAACACTCTTTGATTCCTTGGAGGGGGCATTTGAGCTTGAAAAGGATTTCACTTCTGCTACAGCATTAGGCTCTCAGTGGCCGGTGAACTTTAATTCAAATAAAACTTTTTCAACAATAATCTAGATTTTCCTATATTTATGATGGTAATATACTGGATGAGTCATCTACCCTTCATCTTCTAGAATTGACTCTTACTTCCTATCTTTCTTAAAAACCATATATAAAATCAATAGCATCTTTTTATTGTGCTCACCACTTTCTTACTCAGGATTCATTGTTTATCTCTATAAATCTCAAATCTGTCTTTGTAAGGAGTACTGTTGCCTTATCTGGAGTAGATCTTCCAATGATACCCTTTCTCTTTTAAACAAGGTGCAAAAATTCATTGTAAACATAGTTGGACCTGCTTTTGCAGCCAACCTCCAGCCATTATCACATCATAATGTTGGTTCTCTTTCTTTTTTCTACAAATACTATAATGGGCACTGCTCTAAAGAGCTATTGTCTCTTGTGTCATCTACTAAAATTCATTTTCGTGTTACTCGTCATTTAATATAGTCTCATTCTTTTTCTGTAACTGTTTCTAAGTGCTCCAAAAACTCTTATTTGTCTTGTTATTTTCCTCGAACGTCAGTTTTTTGGAATACACTCCTTTTATCTTATTTTTCTGGTTCATATAATTTGCAACCTTCTAAGTCTGTTAATTGTTATCTTGCTCTATAAATTTCATCTTTTCTCTTCTAGTAACTTTGCTTGTAGCCTTGTTGGAAATGAAGATAATGAAAAAATATATCTACATATATTTTATTAATTTATTAGTTAATGGTTAACAGAGTTACCTCAAATGACCAGTTATTTTGTTCTTTGTTATTTAAGTTGTTTAATTATTGTTTCAGAACTTAAAGAAAACATCTCATAAGCAAGAAGAAAAGATGAAGCAGTAAGTATTTATCTTTAAAGCATTAAATTGAAAAAATGAGAAAAGAAAGCTCCTTTCAAAATAAATTATTCAAAAAAAAAAAGTTAAACAAAAAAATGTAAAAAAAAACAAACAATTAAAATAAAAAAAAGTTTGTTATAGTAACAATAATACAATGCAAGTTTGGATTTAATGCCATGTTAAATTTATTACAAAGCAAGTAAGTTAAATATACTTTGATAATTTCACGATAGTAATTGTCAAAGAACATAATCAAAAATAAATACAAATTATAGATTTATTGAAATGTCATCAAAACAAGTTGCACATTCGTGAAGAAAGTCTCTAAAGCAGCTGGAATTGTGATATCTAGTGTTATAAGAGTTATAAAGCAATGCACTGTGACTTAAAACAACTACAAAATGGCAATAAACCCCTCAGAACTTTTTTATAAATTAAGTGCCCTTTTTTCAAATTTCAAAAGAAAAAATAATTTTATCATAAAACTTTTATTTTATATTTTGTAGTTAAAAGAAGTTGTATCTTATTTTTAATAAAATGTGAAAAATGTGAGATTTTTGTTAACTAAAATAGAGTATTTTTAATTTGAATAAAATTGTATATTTATTTTCAAGATAATCTTTTCACACTGTATATTTCAAATATACTAAAAAGAAAAAAAAAGTCTGATTTTTTTATTTAAATTTAAAAACTTTTCTAAAAAAAAGAGTAAATAGGTGTATTTTTTTGTATATATATCAGCTAAAAAAATGTTCCAAAAGTATATATATTTTTTCCAATCAATTAACATTTCTACTTTTAGAATATAAAGGGATTACTCCGGTCTCCCGCAGTATTGGAAGTTATTAAAGAAATACAAATGTTAATGAACCCATAAAAACCTTGTTTTCTACCATTTTTTAAAGTATTTTATTATATCAAAGCAAGTGAAAATGATAGGAAACTTAAATTTGAGTTTTTTACCTGTAGAACTTGTTCTAATATAGTTTTTAAATCATAAATATTAAATATAGTTTTAAAAAACGCGCTTTTGTCATTATATACTATTTAGAAGTTTAAAATATTTATTTTCAATTGTAAAGATTAAGTATTCGGTGATTGCAACATGTTTGAAAAACCTTTACAACTTTAGTATTTCCTGTAATATAAAATTAACTTAGTAATAAAATAATATTACAGGAAATCTCATGTGAATATTTTTAAGGCAATAACAACGTAAAATTAGCCTAATGTAAAAAACAGCCTAATGTAAAAAAATATAAAAAGTAATTTAAAATGTTTCTGATATATTAAAGATTTTATTATATTAATGGTTTTTAAAAACAGTAACAATGAAAAGATTAGATCTTATTCTAAATATATGTGTAAGAATTTAATGAAATTTACTAAACTTAAATAAGGTATAGGTTGCTTTAGTTATATTTATTTCAAATATGAATAAAAAGCTAAAACAAAGTGGCCAAAATATAATACATTTATACAAAAAGATTATCATTGGCTTCAAAGTAAAATTGTGACCAACAAAAATAGCCATTTTGGTTCTGGAATGCCCCATAAACAATGGAGTATTCTTAGAGAGCAAAGCATAAAGAAAAAGCTAAAAGAACTAGCCACTGAACATCACGAAGCTTTATCTTTAGCTTCTGAAAAAAGTGGAATTGCTGCTGAAGAAAAAATAACATCTATTTAAAAAAATAATGTCTAATGTTTTAGAGATAAAAATTGTTGATGAAACTTTAAAACTTTCCCAATAATATGTAGTGTAATATATGAATGAGTGTAGAGGAAACTCTTGCATTAAAAATAAACACTGATCTCAGCGATAAACAAATCTTGCACACAATATACATATTTATTCTATCTTGCACGAAAATATACATTTTTCTGAAAAGCATGCTAGATCACACTGTTAGTAGAATAACTGAAATGATTTATATGCCGGAATGTGGTCAAGATAACAAAATATTTGGGGTTTTATATGGTAAAATTGGTTTTGATGGAGCATCAAGCCAAAGTATTTATAAGCAGAAATACGAAACAAGCAATTATAGAACTTAAGTATGAAGAAAATCTTTTCAGCTTTTGTGCTTTTATTGCTCAAAGTAGAAGATGGCAAAATTTGGAATAATGGAAATCATTTAGCACTTTTGTAACTTCTTTGTCTACAATATAAAAAAGAGATAGTGCAATTTTATCCAGAAGAGAAGAATTAGATCAAAAAAAATCAAATAAATACCTTAAAGATGTTTTGTAAAGTTTTTAATATTGCAGGAAATATGGTGACCTTTAATATCAGCTATAGAATTGATCTTACAATGTTTGATAATAAAATAGTTAACACACTTACAGATACAAAATCCACTCTACCCTGCAATGTGTGCAATGCTAAACCCAATTTAATGAACAATATTGATTTAGTATAAGCGAAAACTGAAATGAATCAGCCTTGGCGCTTGCAATTTTAATTTTGCACTGCTGGATAAAGTGCTTGAAGTTTATTCTTCATTTGACTTATAAAATGGAAATTAAAAAGTAAAAGCCAGAAAGCATTTAAAAATAATGAAATTTTTTCTGAAATTACTTAAGTTGATTGTGATATAAATAAAATGTTGCATAATATTCTCATAACCATATTTATTTCCTTTAAGTATCAATGAATTACTTTTATACTGCACTGAAACAACTAAATGTATTTTGATTTTATATGACTGGTATGTTATGCTCCTGTTAGCCTCTTATTTTCATAAACTGCTATTGCATAGTTCTTCTATATCACATAAATTACTTTTGCCAATCAGGGTATATTTGAAAGATGCACTCTAGAGTTTGAATAAACAGGTAAGAAATTCTAGACTTAAGCATACAGTAAAAATATCAAGGTTAAACACTATGATGAATCAGATGCACTACCTTATAGTAAGATCAAATCAAAAAGTATCTAGCATATCTTTTAAAAAACAATTATTGAGTTAAGTTATTGAGTTGTTGAGGAAAACCATTACCAGATAAGATTATTAAATTAATTGTAATGTAAATAATAAAATAAATGTGATAAAATACAGTTTTTTTCTCTATGTATCAACATCCTTTAAAAAAAAATTTTATAAAAATATCAAATAAAGTAATGTATCAAGATAATGTGTTTGTCTTAAAGATTCTAAAACTTTAACAAAAATTTTGTATGCGTATAGTCAACATAAACGTGTAAGTGTGCATTGTGCGTGTTGAAACTACGCAATGAAATTTTTTTTTAAACAAATTCGAAATCTTTGACCAAAAAATTATAATTTTACTGTATAACATGTTTATTTACAATTAATTTCAAATTTTGTAATGTCTTTTGTATTGTCATCAACTTAGACATCTGGCATTTACATTCAAAAGACTCTTTAAAAGTGACTTTTGCCTTTCATCATATCACTCACTAGATTTTTTTATTTATTTCGACTTTGCTTTATGTCTTTATGTCTTTATATCTTTATAGCTTTTTAAGGAAACTTTGGAGTGGTAAAGTAATATAAATTTTGTACTAAAAAATTCAATCTACAAATTTGCTCACAATTCAGTCTCATCAAAAAATACTGGGACATTGGGAAAAAATATTTGCATAAAACAGGCACGTCTATTAATTCAGTACAAGAACTGATCAAAGCATTGTTAATGATAAGCAAGAGAACCACAATAACAATTATGAAGAAGTTAATAGGCACCATCGTCAATAATGTTCAATTATTTTTTAGAAATAAAAAAAAAATTATATACTCTTAACCTCCTTTTTATGATTGTTTTTCTTTTTTCTATGATTAAAACTTAACAAATTAGTAAAAAAAAACAGTATTTTATATTTTTATGAAAAGTTTTTTCCGTCTCATATTTCTTTACCTCAAGATTTTTTATAAAATTTTTAACAATTTATAGTTTTTAAAATTATTAGATTTTTATTAAATTACAAAAATTTTGAAAACTTTTTTTTTTTTTACATACTTTATTAGTTTATAATTTTTGCATATTATAGTTTTTAATTATTATCTGTATTATTTTCAATCATTCAATTAATGTTATAGAATGGCAACAAAGCTATTAAAAATTTCTAAAGATAGAAGAAAAATACAAGAAGGAGGTTTGATGCTTTTTTTTTTAGGTCTTTTTTATCGTCATCATTTTCATCATCATCGCCATCAACATCATCATCATCATCACATCATCATCATCATTATCATCATCGCTATCATCATTAAAAAGTCTGAAAACTAAACCAGAAGCAGCTTTTGAATAGTCTTTCTAATGTAATCAGGATCACATACCATTTTTTAATGGAATCAGAACTTTATGCAATTAAAACTTTAAGATTTTTTTAGGACCTGCAAACATTATTGAATTGCAAGAAAAAATTGAAGAACTTCAATCAAAAGTTTTTACTCTTGAAAATGCAAATGTGCTTCTAAAAAATAAGGTAATACACAAATCCTTTCATATTTTGTAAAATATGATCTTAACATAAATTTAATTCACAGATTTACATATAGTTTTTTAACTATAAAAAATAGAAGTTTAAAAGACTAAATTTTTTGAAAAGAATTTTGATAGAATTGTGTATTAAAAAAAAACTTGCAATGATTTTGTTAATGTATAGTTATTTGTTTATAAAATAACTTTTCAAAGATGGCCACTATAGTCAAGGAGACCAATGATTATTATTAATAACTTTACTTTTCTTTTTTTTTATACTCACATTTATGACTTACACAAATTTTGATAGATGGAAAGAAAAGTATACTATTAATAAAAAAGATACTAAACACTCTCGATTCTTTAAGAATACGGCTTTTCATATGAATGCTATAAAAGAATACCACTAGATAAACGCTATGCTTTCTGTGTACATTACATTATACCAACAAATAATAAAAAAAAATCTAAAGAAGTTTTATAAATTTTTACTATTTTATTTTATAGCTAGAAGTTAACCGTCAACAGTTGGAAACTCATGGCAAAAAAGCTACACCTTATGATCATATTCAATCAAGAATTAATACAGTATGTTACTCCAATAAAATACTTCTTTTTTCAATCATGAATCAGTACAAAGTTTACTAATAATTTGCAAAAAAATATTTTCTGGAAAACGTTCTTAAAGTTAAAATCATTTTATATTGACATTACCTTAAGTTACTTTAAAATCAGTGTTTATTATAAAATGTTAAAAATCAACCTAGTAAGTAAAAAAAATAAGTTTGTTAGTGCAAAAGACAAGTTTGTAAATATGAAAGATGTTAATAAAATAATTTATTAAGTAATAGAAATAAGTTATTATTATTATTTTTTATTATTTTAAGTTTAAGTAATAACTATTATTCTAAAAAAAGCATAAAAATTAAGTTTAAAAAATTTATTAAAAATTTAAACTCAAACTTATAATTTTATGAAATATTTTTTAATAACTTATTTTATATACTTAATAAATTATTTTATTAACTAATTGACTAATTATAATTATTTAAAAATATTTGGTTTGTTTATGTATATTTTTTAGGGCCCAGCAAGTAAAAGGCCTAATACAGCAGCTCTTCGTGAAAAAAGAATTAAAGATCAAATAAGGGTGCACGGAAGCCCTCCTCCACCAAAGTAATGTACATTTTTGAGACTTTTTTTATTGCTTTTTTTCAATTATTATCATAGTTTTCAATTATTATCAAGTTTTCAATTATTATCATAGTTTTCAATTATTATCATAGTTTTTTAATGTTTAAGTAGTTTATCTATGAAGTTTTAGGTTGGTTTTGTTGTTAACTGTTTTTAAATTTTAGAGACATGCTTCATGGGTCACCTCGCAGTCATAGCTCTCCTCATTCATATATTCCTCCTCCAATTCTACCACAACCCAGGTAAGTTGTTATTATATTCCTGTCATCTTTTTTCTCTAATCCAGGTAATAATAGACTGTAGCATAATTTTGACTTAGGCCAAGTTTAATAAAATAAACTTGTTGCTGGGGCCAAGAGTAATTAATATTTGAATTTCGAAAGGAATTTTACTCTCTTTATCATCATTTTCACATTTTTATTTATTTTTTTTCAATTTTTTGTTATCAGGTGCCCCAAGAAGTTCTAATGATTTTATCATTAGAACTTCTAATGATAAAACTGCTAATTTATCATCATTATCATCATCAATGTTGTATATGAGCTGTGTTGTTTCCAATGCTAATTTCAACATGCTTCATTGATATTTATCAATATTCCTCATCTTATTAATCTCTGCCTCCTTGTATTGTCTGTTACTACCATTTTTAACTAAATCTTCCAATAATTTATAGAAGGCCTTCTGAGGATAGACTTTAGATTTAGACAGAAAATTTGCATAACAACTCTTTATCTAATAGGTTACCTTAGATTTAAATATGCTTTACATTATTTCTAGCCTCTATGAGATAAGTAGTGAATCTTTTGACTCTATTTATGGATTTTTGCTTCTCTGTTAATGAATATGTAAATTACTGTACTTGATTCTTTATGCTCAAAAACTTCATAGTTTTGTAGTAACTCCTTAGTAGCTAGTATATAGTAACAAATATTTATATAAATAGGGTTTGACACAAAAAAAAAATTGACCTGTATTAAGGTATACTAGCAGTAAGCAACCCGTAATACGGGTTGTTAGTAAATAAAATAAAAAAAAACAACCTACAAACTACTTTAAAATAGAAAAGCCTAGAAAATGACGTAAGTCGATTATTAACTACTATTATTAAATTAGCGTATTAATATTATCAGATTAAGTTATTGAAGTTATGGAAATAGAGGTTTTTTGAAAGTGAGGTTGTTAGTAGTAATTTACAATTGAAAGTGAGGGTAGTAGTAGTAGTAGTAGTAGTAGTAGTAGTAGTAGTAGTAGTAGTAGTAGTAGTAGTAGTAGTAGTAGTAGTAGTAGTAGTAGTAGTAGTAGTAGTAGTAGTAGTAGTAGTAGTAGTAGTAGTAGTAGTAGTAGTAGTAGTAGTAGTAGTAGTAATGAAGAAGAAGAAAAGTATAGTTCTAAAGAAATATGCAAGTATTTAATGTGAATTGCTTTTAAAATTTGAAAGCATAACTCCTATATCAGAAATACAAAGCAATAAAAATCTAAAAATTAACATATCTTTAACATCCTAAATTTTACAGCTACATACTCTTCCTAACAAAACAGACAGGGGCTATAGAAATTAGAGTTTAATTGCAATTTTAGGGAAATCAGGGAACTCATTATTAAATAAGTGTTTATTTGTGAACAAGTGTTCGAATAGCAAGTTATAAAATCTAACAAAAAACTTGTTGTTGCTTTCCTGTAGTCAGATCTGAAGTTCTAAGAAAGAAATCCATCTTCTATTGGTTTTTAAATCATCTTCTATTGGTTTTTAAATCATCTTCTATTGTTTTTTAAATCATCTTCTATTGGTTTTTAAATCATCTTCTATTAGTTTTTAAATCATTTTCTATTAGTTTTTAAATTATTTTCTATTAGTTTTTAAATCATCTAATAAACCAATAAAACCTTTTGAAAAAACAAAACTATTGCTTTTTGAGTCTCTTTTTAAGAATAACTAAACTATGTACCTTTTATACTTGTCTTGTCTTTAACCAAAGCTTGTTCTAAGTTCCTTCTTATTCCCCTTTAGATGGTTCAGAGCATGCTTTGTTCATTGTTCATTGGGGTCCGCTGTCTCATGATTTAGTTAACATCAATAAAAATATAAAGGAAATTATGCATGCTATCAATTTTAAGAAAAAGCTTGACAGTTTTTTTCATTTACTTTCAACAAAGACAGTTTGATTGCTGCATTGAAAGTTATTAGTTGGTTTTGCAGCAATCAAACAAATAAAAATATAAAGTTTTATAACTTTTTACTTTTTTCAAGTTTCTTTTACAAAGTTCGGCAGATTTTCTTATTTACTTTCTTCTATTTTGAAGAAATTTTGCAACAGAATCTGTTTGAAGAGGAAGGCAAAGAAAGTAGAAAATAAAGAAATAAGTTCTTTGACAAATCTAAGCAAAACATAGAGAAAGAATTGTTAAAAGGAAAAATATAGGCAAGAGGTTTTCAATAAAATATTTGAATAGTTTAAATTTAAAAATTTAATGTTTTTAATTCTGGAATAAAACATTTTAGCTTTTTATTTGATGTTAAAAAACTTTAAACACTTAAAACAAATGTTTCAAAATCTCATTGCCATAATAATAAACATAAATGTTTCAAAATTTTGTTTCCAGACAAGAAATTAAGTTTTAAATTAATATCTCTTTACTGCAAATTTGGATCTCCAAAAAACTTAAATGTATTTGAAAGCAAAAGGTTTGATAAATTTGTATTAATTTACATGTTTTTTTCAAATTTGTTTAATAAAGGTGTCAAAATATTTTTTACACACTTCCAGAATGCCTTGTGCCAACCCAAAAATTAAAAACAGAAAGATTCAATCTTTCTGTTTTTAATTTTTTTTTTTTTTTTTTACTGAGTATTTCTTTTATGATAGTATTTTATATTTATCGATCTTAAGTTTACCATTAAAAGTAAGTTTATGATTGAAAGAAATGCCAATAAAAAAAGAAATGTACTTTTACTAAAACCATTATTTATACATCCTTACAGCTTTTAAAAAAGGGTTATTTGTAGTTACTTTAACCAAAAGTGCTGTTTGAGTTTTCATATTAGTTTTTTTTCTTAAGCTTTAATAAACTGCAATAAGTTAAATAAAGAAATAAACATTTATTTTTTAATTTTTTTTTTTTTTTATCATTAAAGATATGGGCATAGTTTGCTTGAAGAAAGTAGGCTTGAAAACCAAGATTTGTATGTGTTCTTTTTTTAATATTTAAACACTTCCTTGTTTTTGATGTTTGTTGAGTTTTTAAAATATGCTTTTGTTAGAAATAATATTGTTACCAATCTTCAAAATCAATTGCAAGAGTATGAAGATAAAGTAATCTTTCTAGAAGAAATGGTTAGTGTTTTATTAATGAAAATTTTTTTGATATAATTTTTAATGTAAAATTAAGAAATATACTTTTCTCAAAGATTTATTTTTTAATTGTCAATTTTAAATCTTTTTTTTTTCTTTTGCTTTACTGTTTACTATAATTCACCATTTAAAAACTTATGAAAAGTACTGTAAGCTTCAGCTAAGCTAATAAATTATTATTATTAGCTTCAGCTAAGCTAATGAAGTGCAATATCTTTAGCTTCTGTAAATTTACCACGGAAATATGAATGATATATTGTGATGAAGTAGAAAACATATATATATATATATATATATATATATATATATATATATATATATATATATATATATATATATATATATATATATATATTATATATATATCATATATATATACAAATATATATATATATATATATATACAAATATATATATATATATATACAAATATATATACACTAGTGATCAAAAGTTTAGACTCAGAATGAAACTTATAGTTTCTTAGTGATTTGTGATTTAAAAAAATGCCTTTTTTGTTTTGTTTTTAATTTTATTTTTAATCCAGTTTATTATTTATGAAATTCTCTTTAATATATATAAAAGACTTGAAAAGAAAAACAAGTTTAAAGTATTTTATTTTGAAAATAGCAAAATCATGTAAAAAGATATCTATAAAAATCTTGTTCATAAGTTTAGACTCAGGACTTTTCACTTTAAACTGTAAGTCAAGTTAATAAGGTATGTGACCGCCTTTGTTAGCTATGCAAAGTCTACATCTTCTTTTAATAGATTCAAAAAGATTTCGACAATATTCAAAGGACAAGCCATCAAACAACTCTTTTAAACTTTTTCGTAGTTCTTCAGCTGAAGTTACAGGAGCTTTGGTCAGTTTTCGATCAAGCACAGACCATACATTTTCCATTGGATTTAAATCTGGCGATCTAGCTGGCCACTGGAGTAAATTGATTTTATTTTCTTTAAACCAAGCTGTTACTGTTTTTGCTTTGTGACAAGGGGCATTATCTTGCTGAAATTTCCATTCTGGCTCATCTCCAAAAAATAAGTCTCTTGTTGGAATCAAATTATTTTCAAGCGTCTCAATGTATCTGTATTGATCCATTCTACCAGTGTACAAGTAGCATAGTCCGGGTCCATCATACGTGATACAACCCCAGATCCCAACTGAACCTCCTCCGCCCTGTAACCGAGGTACAATGAAACGATTATGAAACTTCTCATTATGGTGTCTTCGAACAGTTACTCTTTTTTTTCGATTAACGACTGCATAATTCGATTCGTCGCTGAATACAATTTTTTTTATATCACTATCACTCATCTTAAGAATTTTCTTGCAAAATTGTAGCCGTTTGAGTCGATCTGATCTTTTAAGCATTGGTTTTCTAGCAGCAGTATACGAGCATAGTTTACGATCAATTAATCTTCTATTTACTGTCTGCCTTGAGATGTCATTTTTAAGAGCTAGATTTATTTCTTGAGCAATTTGTTTGGCACTATACTTAGGATTTTTTCTGGCAATTCTGTATATACTATTATCATCAGTGGTAGTTGTTTTTCTGGGTCTTCCGGATCTGATTTTATCTAATGTGCTACCTGTTTTTTTCCACTTAGCTATTGTTTTAGTGACACATGACTGTGATACGTTCTTGAGAATCAACTGAACTTTTCTTGTAGAATTACCAGCAAGGTGCAAGGTGATAATTCTTTCTTTGATTTCTTTTGATACTGATGTTTTACCCATTTTCTAAATATTTTAAATGCAAATAATGAGTAAAAATTGTATATTTTGATTAGCGTGCACTAAGTTAGTAAATAATTTAATTTTTAAATGGATTTAAACATAATATTTTAGAAAATATATTTTGATCCATGTTAGAATTACAATCTTTAAAAAAAAAGGTTAAGCTCTTATATGGAAATAAAGATAGAAAAAGTGAGTCTAAATTTATGAGACACATTTTATTTGTTTTTAAATAGCGCTATTATTATAAAATAAAAAAAAAGACCAATATATAAAATAAAAGGTGTGTGTTTTTTGTAATTATGTTAGAAACAAACTAAATAAGTTGAATTAAAAAAAAAAATTTCAAGCATTATCTTAATAAATTTTTTTTAGCATTTTCAGAGCTAAGCTTAAGAGATTTTTTTTCTGAGTCTAAACTTTTGATCACTAGTGTATATATACAAATATATATATATATATACAAATATATATATATATATATACAAATATATATATATATACAAATATATTTGTATATACAAATATATTTGTATATTTGTATATTTTATCACTTATGGGGGCAGATTTTACAAAAAACGAACACTTACAGGGAGATTAGCATTATCGGGGACATTTTAGTGAACCCGTTAATTTTTTGTCCCCGTAAGCATTATTTTCTTTTTATCAAATAGCCTGACTCGCAAGGGAGTGCTGCTATATCAACTAAGGGTTTGGTTAGGCCAGGCATCAAGGTCAGGCTTAGGGTTAGGACTATGGCAAGGTTTAAATTTGGTTATATTGTTGTAATTAATTATTTTTGTAAATAGATGAAGTTAAAAATGAAATATAATATAAAATAAATAAATAAAAATAACAAAAATTAATATAAAAAATAAATTTAAATATGTATAAATAAAAATAGAAATAAAATAAAAGTTAAAAACAATATATAAATATGATAAAAATAGTATAAAAAAGTAAATATGTAGTAAAAAAAAAGGTATATATATATATATATATATATATATATATATATATATATATATATACATTTATGTATATGCATATGTATGTATTATATACTTTATTGTAGCTTTATAAAAAAGAATTAAAGCATGAAGAGGAGATACAAAAACTTCGATCATCTGAAAATAAAAATCAAAAGTTTATAGTTTCATATTTTCATTGATTTTAGTTTTGTCAACTATTTTTATTCAATTTAATTTAATATACTTATATTTTATATTGCTTTTTATATTTTTTTAAACATAAATGATTGGTTTTATAGAACTGTTATAAAGGAAAATGTTGAGTTAATTAAACTTCAACGAGAAGTAAAAGAAAAAATTGCCACTTTGCAGAATTTACAAAGTAAATATGGTAATCTTGAGGAGGTTTGTTGTTGTTTATTTTTGTTGTTCAAAATAGCACAAAATGTTCATGTTTTGTATGATATAAAAATTAAAGGCTACATCAATTATTTTAATTAAGTTTCACCAGACTGCTTTAAAAATTATTTATAAAAGATGCAAAAATAACATTAGAAATTTTTTACATTTATTTTTATAAAGATAGACCTTTCTCTTCTTCTTTTTTTAAAAACTCTGTACTTTAAAAAAAAAAAGCATACGGTAACCCCAAAATACATATTTAAATTTAAAATAAATTAACTTACTTATTGCTGTTAGAGGGACTGAGATCCTTAATATTCAGATAAAAGTTTCAGTTAAAATTGAATATTTAATTTCATATTTTATTTTTGTAACTCTATAAATTATAATAAATAAAACAACTTTTACAGAGTTGGATTTTAAATATTAGATGATGAATAAAGTGAAGGTCAGCCATGATCAAGTTCTTGAAGAAATGGAAAGTTTAACATCAAAGCTAAAAAATGTAAATTTGTAAAGTTAAATTAAATTTATTTTATATTCTAGGAATGTTTTATAATAATTTTATTTATTTTAAAATAAGTATAAATTTTATATTATACAAGAATAAGAAAAATAATCACTTGTACAACAGGTTCCGTCTGATTGTGTGATTGTATATGTGTTAAGTTGTTATTAATGAGTTCAAACTGCGATAATTGATGGTATGTGCCAACTGTGCAACCAGCTAACAATTCTCCTTATGTTAACTTGAAGAGTGGTATCTAGCACCGGTTTGATAACTCCAATAATTTTACCATCAGCATAAAGTTTAGTATGAGTACTTTGGTATTTTCAAATTTAAAATAAAACAAACAAAAGTGTATAAAGTCTGAGTTGTGTGGCACACTGGACCTGTTCAGATGTTAATCGGTCTGTAACTACTTTCTGTTGTCAACTAATTAATATTTCTTAAGCTATTTTATCAGGGTGTTGTGCTAAATTCCATTATATAGTTATATATACAAATGCTATGTCATGTATGTGGTTAATTCTTCTTTTTTTTTTTTTGAAGTTATTGAATAAACTGTCTGTTATATGATTGTCTGTTGTCTTGATTATCTTTTTAAGATTTTGGCATACAACATTATGTGCGTTTTGTAATTCTGCATGAGTATGACAGTATATTTAGACAAAATACAGTATATTTAGATAATATCTAATTTTTTAAGGATAGTTTATACCTTGAGAGTATCTTCCTTCATGCATTTTACAGTTGCAAGTTTACCATTTATTTCAAATAAGCTCATACCATGTACTTAGATAAAAATCTTCATGTAATAGCATAGAAGAACAGCTCTTGGTTAAAAGAGTCTGTTTGCTTCAATGTTGTTTCAGTTGATCAGTCTCATTAATTTTATGAGGTCTATATATACAACCTTGTAACAAAGGTTCGCCAAATTTAGTTATTAACCATACTTGCTTAATGAATTTTAAGTTGTTTGTTTCTAACCTTTAATCTAATCACTTCTGGTATATTGGTAATTTGCCTCTTCTGTTATCCCTCTTTGCTTGATGCATTTGATATCTTTTTATAGCTGCATTAGATGTACTTTTTAAAAAATATGAAGTCTTTCATGCATTGCTTTGGTAAGCTAATTATTTATATTGGTTAATGAACATGGGTTGTTTTCTTAAAAATATAATTGTTCTGGTGTTGATGAAAGTGAATATGATGTTGATAAAGGTAACTTTGAAAAGTTGGATTTTCACTTGGTAGGTTATTCATTGGTTTTAGTTTTGGTAGGTCATTATCTGGTTGTATTGTTGATTGGTGCGATAGATGACAATGCAGGTAGCTGATGTGTTGTTTTTTGTTATTAGTGCTACTGTTGATGTGATTTTGATAGCTTTTAATTGTATTTGTTGCATTTGTTGCATTTATATATATATATATATATATATATATATATATATATATATATATATATATATATATATATATATATATATCAGTACAGTTAGATAAGTTGAAAAAATATTTAATGATTATTTTTGGATGATTTTTAGGAACAATTAAAAAATACAATGCTACAAAATGAATTAAATCAAGGAAATATATCTAAAAAAACATTAGACCAGGTTAGATTTTTAAAATATTATTTTAATGTTGATAATTGTAACTGTTATTTGTCTAAAAATAGACTTACCAAATAAATTCAATTTATGAAAATTTTTTTGTAAAGCTATTAGTAATTAAGTAAATACACTTGTTTAATTGATTAATTAATTAATCAGCTCCTAGGAAAAATGATACATAAAAAAACTTTTATGGTTGTCACAAAATTTAGAAACAAGCTTACAGGCTTGGTCGGGAAGCGGGTGCGATCGCACTCGAAAATTGACCACGGAAATTATATTTACTTGCGAAAAGCAGGCCAGATTTTTCAGGCGTTTTGAGAACATTTCAGTTTATGTATGTTTCCTTGTTTAATCGCAAAATAATAAGTTCATTTTATCGTAAATTTTAAAAGGTTTTTTTTTACGGACGTACATGGAAACTTATATAAACTTGAATGTTGTCAAACATCTTAGTGCGGAAAAATAAATAAAGAATATTCGCGAACACAAAAAACCCGCCAAATTTACGAACAACTAATTCTATTAGTTCAATTAATAAATAACTGAAATTACTACGCGACTGTTCTAGAGTATTCTGTTGAATTATTTTTTAAATTCTTTTTTTGTTTGTTTTTGTTTTTGTTATGTTTTCGTTGAGAATTCTAGCATCAATTGTTTTAAGAATATACTATCAAAGGAACAATTATTTTAATACAATGGCTCATTCTCGGAGTCACATCCATAAAGCTATAAATGTTTTAAACTAACATTTGTTTACAAAAATAAGTGTTTTAAATTTATATTTTTTAACTTGTCAACGTTTTGTAAATATATTATAGATTTAATTAGTATAATCTTATTTTTTATATATAAGGGATGTATTTATATGTATGTAATGTATTAGAAATTGGTTTATTAACTTCAATTATTTTTGCTTCAGCCATTCTTACAAACTCGTTATACTTACACTTAAAGTTTTTTTTCTTCTGTAAAATACTAGTTAAAGATATAAAGTCCACTCACTAAACATCATCAGCGATATTGTTAAGCAGTTCCGCTTCCTCCTTTCAAAGTAATTTAACGTTTTTAGTTAATTTCTATCTAGCTAATTAAATTTCCACAGTAACTTAATGATTTAGTTATTTCATTTGTTCATCTTACTTAGAAGAATTGTTTCAAATATGTTAAACTTTTCAAACTACGCGAAGCATAAAACAGGTACTGAAAAACTTTTTTTATTTATAAATAAATTATGTAGCATTAGTTTTATTGGTTTAATCTTGTTGGACTTTACAGGGCCGGGGGCTGCATTATTTTGGTGGCCTTTTTTATGTGCGACAGTGTAAAAATGACTTAAAAATACCGATAGGTCCTCTTGACTATTTCTCGGCCTATAACATTGTGTGTCTCGGGACTATAGCTCTTCTTCCCCCCCCCCCCTTACCTCTTATTTCCAGCGTGGAAATAAGACACAAGTATATAAATAAACAAGGCCGGCGCGATAGGGGTGTGTGGGGGGGGTGTGACACTCCCCCATCAATGATTTTTAGTCGGCAAACTGGACCCTTAGTCGGCAAATTGGACCTAGTTAGTCGGCAAATGTAGACCCTTTCGATATAGTTTAGACAGTCGGCAAATGTCATCATGACAGTCGGCAAAATTTGAAAAACAAGGATTTTTTTTTTTTTTTTTTTTTTTTTTTTTTTTTTTTTTTTTTTTTTTTTTTTTTTTTCAGTCGGCAAAAGTTGTAATGGCACCCCCCACGTGACACCTACTCGCGCTGGCCCTGTAAATAAAAATTAAATATAATCTTTCATAAATTGAAGAACATTTGTTTCTTTATTAAACAATCATTATTAGTACGTTGTTACTATATACAAATAATGCCGCTTTTTTTAAAAAAAAAAATTATAAAAGAGCGACGTTTCAAAAATATTTTGAAACTCTAATCGTATTTATTTTGCTTAAAGTTTTGCGTTAAAAACTATTTTTCTTTTTTTTAACTGTCTCTCATCGGTCCAGTTTATCTTATTGCGGTTTTTTGCTTGTTTTTGAAATGTTCTCAAAACGCCTAAAAAATCTGGCCGGCTTTTCGCAACTAAATATAAATTCCGTGGTCAAATATCGAGTGCGATCGCACCCGCTTCCCGACCAAGCCTGAGCTTAACATTTTATTTTAATTATTCTATTTAAAATTAATAAAACATTTGTTTTTTATTTTTATTGTTTAGTTTGCAATAAAAGTTTTGTATTTCAATTTTAAACAGAACATTTATTATCTGTTTTTTTTTTTTTTTTTTTTTTTAGCTGTATTTATTTAGAAATAAAATAAAATGTGTTTTGTTTTGTTTTTATTTTAACTATAATGTTTAGAATTTAAATAAACCATTTGTTTTGTCTTTTTTTTATTTATTTGAAATAGCAAATAAGTTTTAAAATTGCGCACTTCAGCCTGATAATACTCACATTGAAGACTGTAGACGGTCGCTGATAAATATTGAGGTTTTTATAAATAAATAAAAAAAAGTCTATATATAAATATTTCGTAAAAAAAGATTGATAAATATATCATATAGATATATTTCTTAAAAGATCATTACTATATAAGAAAAGTAATATTTTCATCACAACAACTAAAAAAAAACTGTCAACAAAAAATTGCAGACTCCAGACGCTTGCAGGTCAGCAGTTAGGTTGGCATTGCCAAATGCCGACCCTAATTCCTAGTGCTGATTAATAGTATAAATATAAACATCATTGTCAAGGTAAAGTTTTTTTGTTCATAAAATGTTACTTCAGTTAATCATAGTGATTTCTATAAATGAAGTATAGTTTAAGAATATTTAATAAAATAAAATGATTGAATAAGGGTTCTATTAAAGGCATACCACCACACAGTGCCAGCCTACAAGAATTTATATGCTAGAGAGGACTGCACTTAATCAGAACAAGCTAGCTTCAATGAACTATACTGTGAAGAAAAGAAAAAAGTAGAACGATGGGTTGAATAAATCTTGACTAACTCATTTCTTATATCATTCATTGATCAACTAAGTCAAATGTATAAATTTGACAATAAAAATATGTAAATTCAGTTAGAAAGAAACTCTAAAAACATGCTGGTTGATTTTGTAATGCAGCAGTAGATATTATTGAACTTAATATCATTGCAGTTGCTGTAACAAAGTTTGGTCCTGAGAATATAGCATTATTTAATAGACATCAACTTCTATTATTCAATGGAATAATATCTTCTATGAGATTGAACTTTTGCATTGGCAAAAACATTTATCTATATATAAAAGAGTGTATAAATGTGTCTGAAATTAGTAATGTACAACTAAGCAATAGTGTGAGTAAACAGTTATAGCAAATAATACAGACTAGTGATATATTATTGGGTGCATATATTGACCACCAAATAGCACTTGAGATCCTTTTGTTATGCAAATCACTAAGTTTTTCAAGTATGTTAGTTTACTGTGAACTAAGTTATATCACATCAGGTACATAGATATGGGCATTGGCAAAGGAACAGTGATAATTATAAATTTAGCATTAATGAGTGATAAGCAACCAGGCAAAATATTCTGGTCTTTTAGATAATCATTTTATGCAACTTGTTCCCTTTTAAAAATTTGATTGAGAAAGAGTCAAAAAACATAAGATTAAATGATTGTTTGTTCACATAAAATTATATGATTGTTATAATGCTTGTACTAATTAAGTTTTTTTAAATTTCTTAAGATTTTGGAAACTGGAGTACCTTGTTTGGTGGTTTAACAGCAAATGATTGCTATGAAGTTTTTATTTAATACAATTTGCTTTGCTTGTTTTTTATATCAACAATTAACTCTAATTTATTTCTTGATTATGAATTGTAAATGATAAATAATGTAAAAGTTGCTATTCCATAAAAAGTGAAAACTGGGCCAAATACAAATCTGGAGGATTCATGACAAAATAGTTGAGCATGAAACAGCCAATGAAACAGTAAATAATTATCAATAAAGCAGTTTTGAATTATGTCCATTAATCAAAATGTAAAATAAATTTATAAATATCTTTATTTATAATTTATTAATATAGTTATTTATAAATTTATAAATATTTACATAAAAAAAAAAAAAAATGCTTAAGAGTCTATTCAAGTTTTTAATAACATTGTATGAATTATCATATTTGATGGCAAATCAATTTGCAGTATTAAAAATAAATTTTTTTAATCAAGTTTTTTTAAATTTACACACACACACACTTTCTCTCTCTCTCTCTCACACACACACACACGCACACACATACACACACACATATATATATATATATGTATATGTAATATATATATTTAATTTAGACTTTTTTTAATTTACATTAATGATCTACCAGAAATTCTTACATCTACCCTTGGTCTTCTAAGATTAATTTATACTTCCGATCTTTCTCGGAAATCATATATCAAATCTATTGCAAAACAAGTATCTGCTAAGGTTGTATCCTTTTATTGTGCCTGCCATTGTCTGCCCTAACTTCGGATTCTATTCCATATTTCTATAAATCTCAATTCTGTCTTTGTATGGAATACTGTTGCCATATATGGACCAGATCTTCGAATGATGCCCTTTCTCTTTTAGACAAGGCGCAAAAATGCATTGTAAACATAGTTGCACTTGCTCTTGCAGCCAATCTTCAACTATTGTCACATCGTCATAATGCTGCTTCTCTTTCTCTATTTTTAAAATAAAAATTCTTATTTGTATAAATTTTTTGCTTCAAACATCAGTTCTTTGGAATTCGCTCCCTTCATCTTGTTTTTCTGATTCATATAATTTGCAATCTTTTAAGTTGTCTGTTAATCGTTATCTTCCTATATAAACTTCATCTTTTTTCTTTCAGTAACTTTCAACTTTAATTATGGTTGCTTGCAGCCTTGTTGGAAGTGAAGATTTAAAAAAAAAAAAATTAATATCTTACTGTATTTTGAAAATTTAATCAAAATATAATGTCATAAAATCCTTTTTCAGTCATGAGTAAATTAAAACTTAAAACAACTGATCCAATAAAGTCCGCTGACTTTGATTGCATCCACCAACGAGTCCTCGTAAATTTTTTTTTTCAAGTAAAAATTAACTTAAATCACGTATGGCATTATATTATTTCAATAATTTATAATTTTTCCCACAGTATTAATGGCAAGCTCAATGCGTGGAAAAAAGAGAATTCTTAACTTTTTTTTTTTTATACAAATTTTCATAAAACTATTGAATGATCAAGAATATGGCTAATGAAGTTTAATGTCGTACAATTTATGGCAGTAGAGGATTAACTAACTTGAATCACAAATACTCAAAAAATACACAAATACTATGTATGATGACATATGATGACAATAACACAATAGTTATATTAGATGATATCAGTATTGACTTAGGTTTAGATATACTCATCTTGGATAACCATAAACTAAAGCACCAATAGATTCTACTTCTATAAAGCTAAAGCATCAATAGATTCTATTTCTATAAAGCTAAAGCACCAATAGGTTCTACTTCTATAAAGCACCAATAGATTCTACTTCTATAAAAGCAAATAAAATTTTAAGAAATTGTTATACATAATATACATCCAGAAATTGCATTCTTATAATGGTCATCATTATCAAGTTAAGATGTTCATTAATATAATGGTCATCATTATCAGATAATAATACAACAGTAATTGGGATTGATATCCACCAAAGTTACCTTTCTCCTTCTCATGCAATAAACAAACTAGTATATATATATATTTAGTAACTATTTATATATATATATATATATATATATATATATATATATATATATATATATATATATATATATATATATATATATATATATATATATTGGCAATCTTTTTCCTCCTTTATAGAAATATCTGTTTTTAATAATGTAACGGGTAAAAACAGATAAATGTTGACTCATAGTCAATAATTGGTTTACATTTTTTGAATTTCTGTCACAACCAACTGCACTTAGTTCTAGCTACTGCTTTTTGCTGGTCAGAGCGTTTTAGAATCGTCATTTTTTTTTCTTGATTTAATTTTTTTTTTTTTTTTTTTTTCAATGTTATACTAATGTGTTGCTGAGTACAGTTAAACCTTTTAACTGCCTGTTGTTGAGAAAGTCCGTCTTTATGGTCAATCATGAGTTTGAGCCTTTCAATGTTTGTCTCTGTCATTTTTTTAGCTTTTACTCCACTTCCTTTGAACTCATTGGTACCCAGATTTACTCTCAGCATGTTTGTTTATCTTGTAGAAAGTACTTTTCGGTATATTCTCAACTTTAAAGTGGTCATAAGTGAACTTTTTATCAGCATTTTTGTAATTTAAATAAAATTCATACACATGTTTTCTAATCTTTTCTCGTTTTGAATTTATTTTTTTATTTATTTTTCTATATAAAAATAAATAGACATAAAACATTTAAAAACTAGAATAAAAATACCTTCTAAAACAGTTTTCCTATTTTCAAAATATTATTCCTTAAAGGAGATACGTGTCTTTAAATCCAGTCTCGTTTTTTAATTGTCACCCATTACCATTTACATAAAAAATGTTTGGTTTTGTTTAGAAATACTGGTACTAGTCGTTCACTTAAATAAATTTTAAATATATGTTAAATATGTTTAATATATTTTAAGTATATTTTTTGTGAAACTAATTAGTTCAGAATATATATGTTTTAATCTAAACTTCTTTTGATTGCTTAATTTATCAATTTTAATAAATTGTTTAATTTATCACTTTTAATAAGTTACGCAATAATTATTTTATAAGTGATTTTTGCAGGGTTTTTTTATAATACAATTTATATAAAATTGAACTAAAGAAACTGTAAAGTTCACTTTTAAATCTGGTGTTGTTTTGTAATTTAAAAAGGGCCCTTTTTGAAAAAGTTTCTTTGAATTTTTCAAAGGTTCCCATGGTTTTAATTAAAATAAATGAAACAAATGCCTTATAATCTCATTAATTATATATTTTATATTTTATTTTATATATTTTATGCTTATATAGATATTTACAATTTATAAAACAGTGAAAATAGTAATAATCTATCTTTTTATTATTTTGTTATTTTTTACAGTGACACATTTTTTCTGTAAAACAGTAAAACTTTTTTTTATTCTAGAAAGAGGAACAAATAAATGATTTAAAAGCTGAAGTTCAGCTACTTAAAGAAGCTCATGAGAAGTTATTACACAGGTATGTTTACTGTGATTTTATAAGCTTTGTTGGCCATTATGTCTAAATGTTTCTCATGATTCTGTATATCATATATGTATACTGTATCTTACAACTGTATATATTGTTTGTTTAAATAAAATTAAAAAAAAAAAAGTTTAAAGCAATTTCAGCTCTTCCTTTTGGGGAAAGATGGTGGTTTTCCCAACATATTTTTTTACATAAAAATTGCATTTTTTTTCTTCTGGGCAACATATGATAGACTTTAGTGGAGACATTTTTTTTACATAAAAATTGCATTTTTATGTAAAAAAATGCAATTTTTATGTAAAAAAATTGCATTTTTTACAAATAAAAATTAAATTCTAATTTACCATTAGAATTTAATTTTTATTTGTCGAATTTTTCTCCTCGAAAATCAGTTCTTTGAAATTTGATCCCATCATCTTGTTTTCCTGATTCATATAAATTGCAATCTGTTAAGTCATCTGTTAATTGTTATCTTGTTTTATAAACTTCATCTCTTCTCTTCCAGTAACTTCCAACTCTAATAATGGTTGCTTGCAGCTATGTTGGAATTGTTTATATATATATATATATATATATATATATATATATATATATATATATATATATATATATATATATATATATATATATATATATATATATATATATATATATATATTTAACTTTAACTTTTTAACTTTTGACATTTCACTAATTTAAATGTGTTTAAACTAAACAAATTTATTTAAAGCTAAAATATTTTTATTCAAAACTTTAAAACTTTAAAAAGTTTAAGATATTTAAGATAGACTTTACATATATTATTAAAAATATATTTAGTTTCTAAAATTATATTTAAAAATGTATTTAATGTTTTTGACTAATAATAAATTGAAAATCTCCACTTAATTTTTATGAAAAATTAAAGGCGTCTACTTCCATAGTAATATGATTTAGTGGAAAATTTCAATTGAAATTCTTGGTGAAAATAATAATTCAATTCTTTTTTTTATCATATTTTTTTATCATTGTTGGCTTTCTAAACCAACAAAATATTTTGAATAAACTTAGAAATTAATTTATTTTTGATAAACTTTAAAAGTCTCTTTACTAGTATTTTTTCAGCATTTGGCATAGTTCAGTGTTCAGAAATGTTTTAAAATAAGCAATCTAATAAGTTAAATTCCTAGGGCTGCCCATTTGTTAATAAAAAAGAGGTTTAATTCCTAGGGCTTCCCATTTGTTAATAAAAAAAAGTTTAAAATTGACAATATTTGCATTTTCTGCTGCAGAAAACACCATATATATCTGCAATTTCAAATTCAGGTTTGCACAAATATATTTTTCTAGCTTTTGTTTTTAAAATGCTGGCCATAATTCAGAAACTTATTTGGTTTTATACATTTCCTTCATGCCTCGATATTACCTCTTGTTAACTTTTTTAATCTTAATTTATTATGGTTGTAAATGTTGAATTTTATCCTTTGTCGCAAAAGAAATTTCTTTGAAATAATCATTAAACTTTAGGAGCTGGTTTTTTGATTTTTTATATGTTTTTGCTAATTTGGTATACGGTTTTCTAGCCTCAAAATTTTTTTATTTTGACACACCCTCCCCTAATTTATAAATTGTTATTATTAATTTTAGGCATATATAAATTATTTTAGTACTTTTGATTTGGAGAAAGATAGAGAATTTCGTTCTAAAGAGAAGCAATATCAAGTAGGTTTTTTAAATGTTTGAAAATCAGTCACATTTGTTGTGTTTCAACTATTTTCTAATTTTAAATAAAAAATATAATAAAATATAAATTCAAATAAAAATTTAAAAAAATATTAATTAAATATGAGTTTTGTGATACAAAATATTACAAAAACTGGTTTCATACCTCATAAAATTAAAAATATTTAAAAAAGAATAATTACAATCTACAAATTTTCTTCAAAACAAAAGTCAATGATGCTCTTTTGTATAACATAAGATAAAAAAACATAAAGAATCTATTAAAATATAAATGTCGAAAAATTGAAAAAATAAAAATGCAGAGAAACTATTTTAAAAAGTTATTGCATCAATAGGACACAAAAATTAAAGTATAATATCTAAATATGATTCATAATAAAAAAACAACTATTTTTTTCTATATTATTTATTTCTATATTAGATATTTAATGAATTTATTATTAAATATCTAATATAGAATTAGAACTAAAATTATTAAAAATTTATTTAGACAATTGATGCCAAATGTGCTAAAGCATTGGCTGTAATAAGATTGCTACGTGGTAGCTCTCAGAGAGGCTGATTCCAACAACAGCTGTTAAATATCAGAATACTAACAGTGCCATGTTACGCATGGCGTTGTCCCTGTTCATACTTTTGGTGTGCGTTGTTGAGGCCATTGTTGGAGCTTTTTGTTACGGCTTAGAGCTGTTAGTAATGAATCAATTGCTTGGACTGTTAGGCAGTGTAATGAGTACTATCTGTGCTTGGAGTCAAGTTCTTTAACCAATTTAAAAAATGAATAAAGTATCAAAAACTATAAAACACAAAAAAACATTGTCATCACCATGTTCTCTAAATCTATCATTCACTAATATTTGTTGTCTTTAAAGTAACTTTTCTTCTATCGAGTCTTATCACTTGCAAAGTTTACCAGACCTACTTGCTCTTTGTGAGACTAATTTGAGTTTAGCTGTCTCATCTTGTGATCTTAGTGTTGATGGTTATCTTCTTTTAATTTGTAAAGACTCCAATAGTCATATGCTTGGTCTGGGCATTTACATTCATAAGAATTCACCTACTTCACAGTGGGCTAGATGGTGGACAAAATCTCAAAAATGAAAGTTTATTATTTAAAAAATCATATAATAAAACATAATCGTAATACTCTATTGACTTATTAAAACATTTGTTTGAGTTTAATAGTATCTTTCAAAACCACATAAATCGATTGTGGTTCCATGTATAATAATTTTATTTATTTTTTTATAAAAGCGCGATTTTTTTTCATTTTTGTGCATATCTTTTGTTAACAGTAATTAAAAAAAAAATATGTGTATGCACAATTAGTTTATTTATTTTAACTATTAAATTGTATAGCTTTATGAAAAAAATATAAAGAAAAAATCATTTATAACACATTTATAAACTGGCTTTGTTATAAAAAGGTAAGTTTATAACATTTAATACTTTTATTTCGAACAAAAAGTGTCAGATAAGTTAGGGAACCTACCAAAACCTATATCGAGTGCTTGAGCTAGTAAATGCAACATGTCTATAACCTATTAGAACTGTATACATTGCCCTTAATTACCCATTTTGAGTTTATTTGATACTTTAAAAGTACGGGTTTCAAATCGTATTATTCGCTTGAAATCGAAATACTTATTTAAAACGTCATATTTTTTATTCACCCAAACAATAACAGATGTTATTTTTCCCCAATACAATTCAATGCAAATTGTACTGTTTGAACAATACTTTTTTTGTTTTTTACTTTAGTTATAATATGAAAATTAGTGAGATTCACACACTTATAAGACAAAACAAACTAGTTCCTAAAGATAAATCATTTTTTTCATCAGTATTAGCTCTCCTAGCTTCAGTAGATATTAAACTAAACAATTGTGAGTGTAAAAACTTTATAAAAGTATATCGTAAAAAGTGGATAGCTGCAAATAATGATGTAAATTTTTTTGAAAAAAACAATGAAAATTGGCTGGCTCAAGATTTTCAGTTTACATACATTACGCTAAATTCTTCAGTTAATGACGTTGGAAGACCTTGTTGCTCTTTTAAAAACTTATGCAACAAAACAAAGAATAGAAAACTTAACAATGTTATTAACAGTTTATCTGGCGCTGAATTACTTCATGCAGCAAAATTGAAATTTAGAAATGAGTTGAAGTATGAGACTGCTAGAAAAATTGCCGAAATTTTAGATGACAAACCAGTTAAAAATCTTATGAAGTACACACCGGATGAAGGTCTAGCATTGATTATATGGTGGTTTATCACAATCAATATACCAGCTTTTACGAAATGGCGCAGAAGAAAAAGGCCGCCACATTTATCCTTTATATAATGATATACGATTTTCAAAATCTAAATGTTATCCCAAAAACGTTTATGTAGATGAGTCGTAAACATACCGCTAAAAGACCTTCTTATGCACACTCTTGAAGTCTTTCTGCTAGAATGTTCCCGAAAGTTCTTGAAGTCTTTATTTTGCGCCTCAAGGGCATCTTCTGACATTATTTCGATTGGTAGGAATTGTCTTTCAATTATGGCATGACCATGAACCAAAATTTTGTGCACAGATTGTGACATATAGTACCATGAATAATTGGATATATAATGTTTTAGAGCGGTTATGCAAAAAACTTTAAACTTTATAGTATCTATTTCATATCCTAATGACAATTTGACTAAAATAATATAAAAATAATATATGAGTTTCATCAACTTTTAATATCTCGGCGGTTAATTTATAGTTGGCAAAAGTTCTGCGGGCAGTATATAAGGCTACAGTACATAAGCAGCTGTGGCACAGTGGTAGCGCACTTGCCTCAGAAACGTAAGATCCGTGGTTCAAACCCCACCTCTGGGCAAGTTTTGCGACATCAGTTGGGAAGGAGGCGTATACTTCCTATTAAATGCTCTTCCGCGGTGCTCTGTGATAAGACCGTAAGAACTTCTTGTAGCACCTTAATCAACTTTAAAAAAAAAAAAAAAGGCTAGGATCAAGACTTATGTCAGTGCTCAGTTTCTCCACTCTTACTTTCTGTGGAAAAAAATCAATCTTAATTGATTGATTTTTTTCCACAAATGAATGGAACTTCACTAGTCCACGAATGGATGATGTTCCACAATCCGCAAATGAATAAAGCTTCACAAAATTACAAATGAAGCATTTATTATAATTTAATAAAAGTAGTACATTTATGATTTAAAAAAAAATATTTTATTTATAAAATAAAAACATTTTTACTTTTACTTTAATTTTGGCTACTTTTATATTTGCGGTCAATTGCCAGACACAAAAAACTGTGGCATTTTTTATTTCTTGCATGTTATAGTCACATTGTAGCATAAAGAGTATGAATTTTTAAGTTAATGATATTATCTTAAAGTTCTAATTTAACCCTAAAGTTCTCATATTTCTTTTATTAAATGTTTTGTAAAGATAATTTTGTTATTGAAAATCCAGATGCTAGAGTATTTACCTATGGAATATGCTTACTCATAATGTGACAAAAGGAAATAAAAAAAGTTGTAAGTAGTTGTTGTAAAAGGATTTTATAACTATTAAAATCAATTTTTTTTATATGGGGCATGTAAGTATAGAGAAATCTAATTTACTTAATTCATAAACCTATATATATATATATATATATATATATATATATATATATATATATATATATATATATATATATATATACCCATATAGTGTAGCTTTAAGAGCATTTTAATGTAAAAAAAGTCTCTTACGACTACAATTTTAATTACCTCGTCTCTTAAGCTGTTTTTGATTGTCATCGAAATGTCAAAGCAATTAATTTATGCGGAAGTACATTAAATTTAATTGTTTTTTAAAAAATTTTTGAAAAACCACAATTATAACGACTAGAAAGTTTTTTTTAATTAGTGGTGTTTTTGTTATTGATTTAATAAAAAACATTTTTTAAACATGCGTAAATGTTGCTACATCGACTATCTTATAGCCTGACTCGCAACAGAGTGCTGCTACATCAACTGACAAATAGCCTGACTCGCATTAGAGTGTTGCTACATCGACTGACAAATAGCCTGACTCGCAACAGAGTGCTGCTACATCGACTGACAAATAGCCTGACTCGCAAGAGAGTGCTGCTACATCGACTGAGGGTTTGGTTTGGCCAGGCAGTCTATCAATTAAAAAAAAAATTTAATTTTTAAAACTTTTTCTGGTCTGGTTTATTAACGCGCTCTTTAAAACTACAGTTTATGGGAAACATTTTTTGATGCCACGCAAGAGACATGCAAGAGTATATATATATATATATATATATATATATATATATATATATATATATATATATATATATATATATATATATATATATATATATATATATATATATATATATATATATATATATGTATATATATGTATATATATGTATATATATATATGTATATATATATATATATGTATATATATATATATGTATATTTATATATATGTATATATATATATATGTATATATATGTATGTATATATATGTATGTATATATATGTATGTATATATATATATTAGGCACCTGCAACTCAAAACAGTACAAGATGAAACAAGAAAAAATATCATTTTGATAAAACCAGTACAAAACAAGTTTTTATACAATATTGCAAAAAACGATACAAAGTTTCTGACTTTTACAAGAAAGACTAATATTTTTACAACAGATAGGGTTAGCATAAAATAAAAAAGTAATTTACTTTTATATTGTACCAATTTACGCAGATATTTTCGGTTTTTATGAGAAATTAGTTTCATTTAGACTAAATTTACACTGAATTCTTTCTTCTAAATTTATGTTAATATATAATAAATTTAAAATTTCATAATAAATTTAATCTTTTTCTCTAAGAGAAATCAACACATCTTTAAGTTTTAGGATTGACTCCAGCATAAAGCAGTTAAAATTCCACCTGGTTTTTATAGGAGCAATGATTTTAACATAATTTACACAGAGCAACACACTATTTTTCAATAAGTTGACAAGCTAAGATAAACCTGTGAATTTTGCTAGTTAGTTGTGTGGCAATAGGCCAGGTGAATAAAAAAAAGCAATTGCTTTTACTCATTAATTGGTCAGTTTTACGTGAATAAAAACTTCAGCTTTTTTGCTTAAGATTTTATTCACATAAAGCTGAGCAATTAATGAGTAAATTAATGAGTCTTTTACTTCTTGCACTTCGTTGCTATCATTAAGTAGACTAGTGTTTAGTAGATGGTCTGCACACAACAGTGATTCATATTTTATTTTGTTCATGATTGACACAGCATGTTTCATGTTTGTCGCTGCATCGTGGACAATGACTTTCTTGGCACGGCATCCGACACCTGATACTTTTGGATCATTTCTTCCAGAGGCTTAAACAAAAATGAAGATAAATTAATGATTTTTAAGATAACTTATACAACTTATTAGGTTTTGCAATAGATTAATGATTTATACAATAAATAACAAAATCTTACGAGAATCAAGCTATTCTAGCTGAAAGATTTTTGAAAATTATTTTTATGGTAAAAAATTGATTTTTACAAGCACTAATTATTACGACATAAAAAAAATTGATTTGCTAATGTGGTACCCAGTGTGTCTTTCAACAAAACTGTCAAAGTTGAGGATTCTTCAGTTCAAACTGACTATTGATATAAAGAAGAGTAAGAGTCATATATATATATATACTCTGTCCTAGAGGTCCAGCCATCAGTGGTGATAGCTACCTGTTGACAACTGCAAACTTCTTTTTTAATTAGGTTTTGCATAGTATCCATAATGCTGTTATAAAGTAATGGCAGCTTGTACCTTGAAAAAGTCGAGGAATTTTTCACAATTATTTTTGGATTTAAATGTTCTACCATTTCTTTGAAGCATGGTTCATCTACTAGAGTAAATGAACTGCTTGACCTGGCAATGTATAACATGATTACCATGTCTGTCTCCAATTGCCTGACAGATTGGGAAGAATATTTCCAAACAGTGTTAGACATGAAAAATTTCTTTTTATAAGGAAAAACACTATTTTATGAAAAATAATTAGAAACTTACTGTATGCATCATTCAGTTCAAAAGACTTCCTAATTTTGTAATTGTAAAAAGACTTCTTAAGCTTCTGTAATTTCTTTAATCTCTTCTTTTCTTTGGTGCTCAAGTTTGATTTGGGCTCTTGGTTTTTTAGATGGTACCTGATACCACTAGTAGATCCACCAGTTAACTTGATTTGGATTAGACACTTTTTACATTCCTTACACTTGACACAGTAACACAGTAACACATGACACAGTAACCTTGCTGAAATAATTCCATCAAATTGTAGCTTTCATAGGCATGATTATATGATTAAGAATAACTATGGTAATGATCAAAAGAAGGAAACAATCAAAATGATGACTCAAATCAAAAATTCTTTTTTTTATTTAAGTGGAAATTTATTTGAATGTTTAACTAATAAGATCAATTCCAAAAATGTTTACGGCAGATGAAAAATTAAAAAATTTTCATAAAATGGCAGTTTTAGGATATTTTTAGGAGGAATCAAATTTTAAACAATAAATTAATTAGTTTTGCGTAATATTGAAAGTTAACGAAATAATCTCATATTTAGTAGGTTCTCTCCTTTATATAATAGAATTTGAAATATTTCATTCAAACAAAGATTGCAAATTCTTGATTTGAGCTTATATACATATACATAATTTATGTCTAGATGAACTTAAAGTTAACAAATTGTTACAGTAAAACCTACCTACAATTGACAACTTCTTTGTTATCGTTTTTTATTGAATTATAACGTTGTATAAACGTTTGCAAATTTTCTTAGATGTACTAAACTTTATAAAAACGATGCTATTGCATTGCTTTGTTAATATACTTTTTAGTTAATCTTTCGTTTTTGAAACATTAACTTAGTAAGTATTAAACGCACATTTATTCTGCTTGAATGTTAAAGTTTATGTATTGCTCGGGGGTGTGGGAATTGTGAAATATCTGTTCATGGTGGGGGAATTATGAAATGTTCTGTAAAAACAGATATGAAACAAAACAAGTTTATTTTGCTTCGTAAATAACGATACAAAATGAAACAAAATTTTCTTGTTTCATAAAAATACCGTATGAAACAAAACAAGCTTTACTTGTTTTGTAAAAATACGATATAAAACAATGATATTTTTTTGTTTCATAAAAATGGCACAAAACAAATTGTTGTTTTGTACCTTGTTAAATCGAATTTCCGAGAGGATACGAGAAGACGCAAATAACAATACAAAACGAAACAAAATTTTCTTGTTTCATAAAAATACGGTATGAAACAAAACAAGCTTTACTTGTTTTGTAAAAATACGATATAAAACAATGATATTTTTTTGTTTCATAAAAACGGCACGAAACAAATTGTTGTTTTGTACCTTGTTAAATCGAATTTCCGAGAGGATACAAGAAGACGCAGATGCTTAATATATATATATATATATATATATATATATATATATATATATATATATATATATATATATATATATATATATATATATATATATATATATATATATATATATATTAAGCATCTGCATCTTCTTGTATCCTCTCGGATACCAGAGGATACGAGAAGACGCAGATAGCTTAAATTGCTAGTTTAGATAAGCACTCTGATGTCATACTAAAATAGCCTGCTGCCGGAGGCATTAGTACATACATCGACTGACAATTTTTTTTTAAACAGCAAAATTTAATGAAATTAGGTTTAGTCATATTATACTTTCATAAATAAAAGTAGTAAAAAATATAAAAATAAAAAACGATCTAAATATACATTAAAATAATGTATATATAAATGTAATAGGTTTTTTGGATTTATTTAAATATAAATTTTGATTTAATTATAATCTGGAATATACATTTATTAATACATAATACAAAAAATACAAATACATGAAAAACATACAAAAAGCTGTTTTGCATGAAATGTAAACTTTTTTTTTTTTTTTTATTTGTGCAATAATTGGAAGTGCTGCATAGACAGATGTGCAGATAAAGTTTATAATATTTTCTTGCAACAACTAGTTATGTAGACAATATTAATTATAAATATATTATTAATATTAAATATAAATATTTTTTTTTTTTATAAATAATTTTCAAATTAATATTAAAATCTGGAAAATGCAGCTTATTAGTTTTTAGCACATTAGTTATTATATGTATAACTAAATCTTTAGATTGTAATTATTGCACCAAAATTGTTGCAATTAGCCATTAAGTTGGTATAAATTATTATGATTCTTATAGAATTATAGAATCATATACACAATGTAACAAGTAATGAAATAAATATTTATATTTTGTTTATTTGTAAATAAAAGTTAATAACTATTTAGATAAAAATTGCACAACTAGAAGCTACAATCAAATGTGATGTCAGTGAAAAAAATGAAATCATAGATAAATTAACAAGTGAAAGAGGTTTGTTTAACAATGTTACATTTGAAATAAAAATTTTGTCCCAAACTAAAATTACTAAAAATAAAGAACAGCCTAATTTAGTTTTTTTTTAAAGTGCAAAATTATAAATTTTATCTCTTCAAACCTTAAAAAATGTAAATAGTACATTAAATCACTGAGGTATTTTCTTTGTATGTAATATTTTTCTAAATGTGTTTTTAGAAAGATTTTTAGATATGTATTTTTGATTGTACATTTTTGAGTTATATTTGTTAGATTTTATGATTATTTTTGTTAGATTATATCTGTTAAGATTATTCTTATGTCATTTTTTAAATTGAGCTAATTTCATCCACAACATAAAATTCCTATTCCTACTCCCTTTTACCTACATATAATCCTTTGATTAATAAAAGTACATTTTCAAAAAAATGAAATATCTCAAACATTTTACTCTTATACTTTGTTTTGATTTAAAATTATATTTAGGACCTTGTTGTTTGTTTGTTTGCATAACAAAAACTTGAGTTTTTTAGAATGTCTCATTTTATAAGTAGCTTGAGTTGTGCTTTTAATCAACTTAAGTCCACACTTGTCTATCATCGACATGTGTATAATCAATAAAGGTCTTAAATAGAAGTTTGAGTTAAAGTTTTTATTAGTTTGATCAACATTTGCTTTCGAATTCACAATTACTGATCAAAACTTATCACAATTACTGATTGATTTAAACTGACACGTGTGGATAAGTTACTATTATTGATTCGGTAGATTGCCCAAGTAGTAGTATTGGTAGTCGAGTTAAAGCTGGTATAGTCAAGTTAGTACTTAAGTTAGAGCTGAAAGTTGTGAACATTCAATGAATATTTACACTATTAGTTGGCGGAAATATGCACTCTACCCTCACTAAAAATCTCACTTAACATCTACTCGCGCCTGCTAAATAAACTTGCCCACCATTGACACATGCGTGTTTAATCAATGAAAATCCACACTCGCCTATCATCGAAACATGCATGTATAATAAATAAATGTCCATACTTGCCCATGATTGACACATACATGTATCATACGGTTAAAAAAAAAAAAAAACTCAAAGAGATTTTATATACCATAGCACAATATACTTTTTAAAAATAGAAATATTAATCAAAGTGAATTTTTTATCAATTAGATATAAGTGAGCTTTCAAAACGACAACTACGAGATTTACAAGTAAAGTACTTTGAGCTACAAGAAAATTATAACAATCTCATGGAAAAAATGAAATTTTTTAGTAACGTGAGTCTTACTATTTTTTTGTTATTCAGTTTTGAAAACATTTTTAAAAGTTCATTTTTATAATTACTCGATCATTTTATTACATTTTTTTAAATAATAAATATATATAATTAAATAATTTGTTCAAATATTATTTTATACAGGAGAGTTCTGTTGATTTCAACGAAATTCAAGAGGCTTTATTTCTTATCAAGGTTTATTTCTTATAAAGGTTTATTTCTTATCAAGGTTTATTTCTTATCAAGGTTTATTAATTTAAAGTAAATAACTTAGTAGTTAATACAATCACCTGCTTTTATTTCTTGTCATTATTAAAATTTGTAAAAAAACTTACATGTTTTTTTGTTGTTATTATTGCTGATTTTTGATGTTATGTAATTTTATGTCAAGTAGTGTTTTTGATTTTATGAAAGTATCTTTTAATATTAAGACACGCAAAGAAAAAGAAAGTCAAGATTTGTTGTTTTTAGACAAAGCAGAAAACCAAATAGATAAAGGTTTATTTATTTTAATTTTTTTTTTCAGTTTTCTTTTAAAAGAAGTTAGTATGTAGTTTTATTATTCAATTTCTATTTTGTAGATTTACGAAAAGAAATTCAACAGTTAAATGTAAGTCATGCTGAAACAATTCGAGAACTAGAGAAAACAAGAAGCATGCTTGTATTGCAGCACAACATTAATAAAGACTACCAAAAGGAGGCTTGTACCTTTTTATTCTAAATAATTTATTCTTTCATTTTTTTTTTTTTTTTTTTTTTTTTTTTTTTTTTTTTTTTTTTTTGTGCTTTTTGATTAAATCTTTGTATAGCTTAAAAATGACTTTTTGTATAGGTGGAAATCACTACTAAAAAAATGGAAGAGCTAAAACGCGAGTGTGATATTCGTGTTAAAGAGTATGCAGAACTTTTGGACATTCGTGCAGCACGAATCAAAGTAATTAACATTTTTCAAAAAAATTCTGATTTTTTATGAGTTATTTTTTAAATAATATTTTTTAGTTAATTCTTTACATTATTAAGATTAAAATAAAATTATAAAACTAATATAATTTTTTGTGGTCAATTCAAATCATTCAAATAAATATTTTAGTTTGATGTATGAACCATATGTTAAATAAATATTTTAATATAATTTAATATAATATGCCAAATAAATATTTTAGTTTGATATATGAACCATATATTTTAGTTTGATGTATGGAATTGGAGTTTAAGAGTTGTTTGACTTGATGTGGTTAACCAATATTTATACCTATACATATACCATATGTATAGGTATAAATATTGGCCCCTATATGGCCCCTCGGAATTAACCTCACCATTTAGTAATGACAGCCTAAATGCTGACTTAGAAGTGATTAAGGTCAACAAAAAATCACTGACCTTGTTTCTGTGTTTTAGATAAAAACTTTTTTATTTTTAATTTTAATTTATAAATTATTTTTTTTTGCTGACCTGATGCCGACCTCTAACAGATTAAGGTCAGCAAATTATTGCCTTATTTTTCCTAATTCCCATGGCTGTTATACATATATGTATACCAAATAAATAACTAGAAAAAAATACCCACTTATTGATTTTTAAATAACTCACTTTATAGTGAAAAATAGTGGAAATTCGTTAAAAAAAAACAAGTTACATTTTTTGGATAATTTATATTTTTATTTTATATGTACATTGTTATACATGACAATTATTATAATTACTTATTAAATATTTATATTACTTATTAAATATTCATATTACTTATTAAATATTTATACTGTTCATTTTTTTGTTTTTTTAGAAATTAGAGTCACAGTTAAAAGATATTGCATATGGCACAAAGCAGTATAAAATTAAAAAAGATGATGTGAGTATTTTGTTACCCATAAAAAATATATTTTTAAATATAAAAATTTTAAAAGACAATTTTTAAAACATAAAATTAAAGTATTTAGAAGGCAGAAAGAGGAGGGATCAAGTGATTTTCAAATAATATAGCTGATTTATACAATTAAAAATAGAGAGTATTTTGTTTTATTTTACATATATTTGTATAGTTTGCTTGTGTACCTTAAAGTGTAATTTTAAACAATGTTAGTGGTAAAAAAAAAGTGGGTTTACTGCTACGTGAGTTCACCACAAAAATTAGAATAATAATTTATTATTAAGCTAGTTTATTTATTTTTTTTCAATTTTGATAATTCTTTTAAGAAATTATAACGCAATAAGTTAATAGGATTCTATTCTCTTTTTTGGTTTATTTGCAGTAAGGTATTTTTTAGGAAAGTTTAAATTTTATTAAGCTAACCTTTTTAATCAAAAATTTAAAAATTTTTAAAAGACAACTCAATAAAAATTAGTCTATTGTTTTAATGCAACTTTAATTAAAAAAAGAGCTAAAAAATCAATAAACAAATTATTTAAAAAAAGAGTATGTGTGTATCTATGTATATTTTGATACCCGTTTGCGTAGGCCAAAGCCTATGCAAACATTTTCAAGACCAAAGACTTAAATTTTTGCCTTACGTTAAGGCTATTTATTAACAAATCTATAGGTAACAATTGCTGTAATAAAACCGCATGTTGTAAAAATAAACCAAGGCTTTGTGCAGAATTCAACAAAGTCAATAAGAAAATACACTTGTAGATATATATGAAAGCCAAAAGCAAAAATGCATAACAATAAAGAATGAAAACTTTTGATTCTTTAATTTTAGGAATTTTTATTAAGGCAAAGCTCAAAACAATCAAGGTCAAGGCTAAAATTTTCAAGGCCAAGAACATGGCCAAGGCCAAGGCCTTAATTTTTGGTCTTGGACTTTTTGGCAAGGTCAAGGAATAATAATTCTGCATTCAACTACATAATCGTTAAAAATGTTTGAAAAAATTTATAGTTTCAGATGGTAAAGAATTCCAATCATTTACGACATGGTTTGTGAAATAATGGAATCATTCACAGTTTGATACATTCTATTTTTCCAGGCGAAGGTTCTAACTGCATAGATTGTGGTGTGAAGTAGCAAGCGCTGTTAATTGTGGAGTGAAGAAGTCAACTTTTTCAAAACTATGTATTATTTTATACTGTTCTATAAGATCTCAACGTTTCCTTCAGAGTGGTTAGTTCAAGGATGTTCAGTCTTTCTTTGTAAGAAAGATGTTTGAGCTTGAGTTCATTACTCAGTTTTACTCATTACTTTAGTTGCTATGTGCTGGATTTTTTTATTTTTATATCCCATTTGATATACCAAATTCTAAGTGTGGCCTAACATGTGTATTATGAAGCGCTTTCCACAGCAGCACCTCAATTTAAACCAGCATATAAAGCTTTTTTTTTCCATAAGCTTTTTCATTGAAAAAAAAAGTTTGGGGCATTTCAAAAACTTACGTACTTTTTAAGGGGGAAAAGAACTTAGAAGTATGCATGGAAACAGGAGGGAGGAAGGGGGTCAAATTTCAAGATTTTTGGCATACGTTTTTTTTGTATAGAATTTTATAATTTGATTATATACGATGCTCTCGAGGACTTAGCAAGGTACAGATGTAGGTGAAACTGGGCTGTAGTTCAACATTTTTGTTCTGGACCCTTTCTTGAAAATAGGTGTAACATTTGATCTTTTCGATTTATGATAAACTAGTGTAAAAGGTGTAGTGAAGACAGTTGTACATAATTTATGATAAACTAGTGTAAAAGGTGTTGTGAAGGCAGTTGTACATAATTTTAGGACTCTCAGATTAAATCCATCAAAACCCATTGATTTGGATTCTATAAAGCTCTCCAGTCTGCATTGGACATCAGTGAATTTGATATTGTATTCATTTATGTTGGAAGTTAAGTTGGTTGTTTTTTGAACTCTGGCAGCTTGTCATTTACAGGTTCTAAAGCGAATACAGTTTGGAGGTAATTGTTAATAATACTTTGTAATAACATTTTTTCTGATGTTATATAACCATTTTCAGCTTCTAGTGATTTAATTGTATAGTTGACCTGTTGTTTATGTTTCATGTGGTTGTGTAGTTTTTAGGGATCAGCCATGAAACCATTGGCTATATATCTCGTAATTTGACACTGCTTCTTGTACAATATTACTCACATTTTTGCACGTTATTTTATACTCTTTCTTAATTGCTTCGTGAGTCCAAATATCAGTGCTCTGTATTTTGCCTAAAGGCTGCGTTTTTATTAAGATGCCTCTCTTACTAGTGGAGTAGTCTAAGGTTCTTTCTTATCGGCATAAAGCAATCATGTGGATAGAATAAAACATTTAATGGCTTTATTGTATTTGTTTAATAATAGGTAGCATTCTTCAGGCAACAAGCCTTCAAATTTGGATGACCAGTTGAATGCTGAGATATAGCGTGATATTGCATCAGGTTTCACTTTGAGAACTCGATCGGATTTGTCAGTGATGATTGAGTCTAACGTGTTTATGGGTGGATCAGCTCTTGTCTTTCTAAATGTAGGAAAGGTGACAACCTGAGTTGAATGCGATACCTGTAAACAAAAGTGAAATTTCTCGTTTGCTTGATGATTTGTTTGATGTCAATAATGGTAGCTGTTGCAAATCCTCACCCATGTCTATTTCTTCATATTTAGAATGGCTCAAATTGAAATCTCCATAAGTTAACATTGAAAAATGTTCAAGTAAGATATGTTTTGTTTTGCAGCTGTGATGGATTTGATTGTGGTCGTGAGGTCTGTACATGCAGACTAGAAGAATTGATTCGGAATGCAATTTTATGATGTGCCATACTTGCTTAATTTCTTTGGAGTTAAGTTGTTTGATATTAGTTTGGTGTGGCAATGCCGTTTTTTATATAAATGGCTACACCTACACGTTTTTGACATACATGATTGCTACAGAGTAGTTGGTAACCAATGAGTTGCGTATCTGATATGTCAGTGAACCAGATTTTAGCATAAAATTGCAGGTTTGGAGCTTCTTTTGTATTATTTTGTATTTTGATTGCTCATCTTTTTTGATGCTGTTAAAAGAACATGTGTTGTTAGGCCAGAATCTTAGTTGTTTGAGTTCGGTATTTTTGTTGTCAATGAAGTGCTGACAGTCTGCAGGTAGTGATTTTTTGAGTTTGACTGAGGAACTTATGAGTTTTAGGCTTTCAAACCTTTGGTCTTCAACGTCGTTGAGGAATTGAAGATTAAGGTGGCTGCGGAATTTGTGTTTGAGTAAATAGGGGCTGGTTGAGGTTGTTGGTGCTGGTGTAACAGTAATTGTTGTTGACATTGAGATTAATTAGTGGCTGTGTTGATTTGGTGTTTTTGCTAAATTATATATATATTATATATATATATATAAATATATATAGATTATATATATTATATATATATATATATATATATATATATATATATATATAGATTATATATACTATATATATATATATATATATATATATATATATATATATATATATATATATATATATATATATATATATATATATATATATATATATATATATATATATATATATATATATATATATATATATATATATATTATATATATATCAAATATTACTAAACTTTTGCCAATGATTTTATTTGATTTTAAAGTTGACTTTATGACAAATTATAATTGGAAACTTTATTTTTATATTGTGATTGAAGATAATTCTTATATCAGTTGTAAGGATTATCTTCAGTCTTCATTCTGTTCAAGTTAACGAAGTTACCATATATTTAAATTTCTTTACCATAGGTTTGTTTGGTCTATTTTTCTTACTTCTTAAATAAATGTTCTGAAATAAAAATGTTGTTGGTAAAAGTAATGTCTATATAGTAGGAGCAGAGGTTTGTCAAGCTCTGCTAGAAACTTTTTTTGTTTTCAGTATTTGTAGAAATAATACCAAAAAAGTATCCTTATCAGTATTGGTAGAAGTACAGCCAAAAAAGTTGCATCTTGCAATTAATCAAAAAATAATAAATAGGTCACAAAGTTTTATGATTTTTTTGAATTTCTTAACTAGAACAGTTAAATTAAAGAATTTCATGAAGCATTTCTGACAATCTATTTTGATTGACACCTGCATGGTAAAAGTTAGGGAATTAATAACAGGATTCAAAACTGCTATTATGACATCATAAAATAAATTCTTTGCCAGTCAAGGTTAACCAGTAGATATTTTTAAAAAGTAATAAAAAGTGAAAACAATATTTAAAATTGATAATTAAAAAAAATATTTTGAAAACTAAAGTAACATAAATAGTCTTTTACAAAATCATATGTAGTAGTGGTTTAGTGGTAGAGTACTTGCTTCATAAGCAAGAGATGTGGAGGTCAAACCCACCATGTCTTTTGAAGTACCATGCTTAGCTTATTTCTCTCTGCAACAGCGTTATTTGTCAAGGTTTTGTAACTTGAAGGTAAAAGATTAATAAAAGGTTACAACAACTATTTAAAAAGAGAGGTAATCAACTTGGAAAAAAAAATTTTTGCCGAGAAAGTTTTTAAGGGTAAAAATTAACAACAACAAAACAAAAGATATTTTGCTAAACTTTAAAATTTATGGAAACAAAAATTAAAACTGTAGATTTTTTTTATCATATATAATTTTATTTTATTAAAGCTTTTCTAGTTGAAAAAAAGTTATAAAAGTTATGTTTTAAAAAGCAGTTTAAGAATAAGTTGTTAATCATTAATTAAATTGTATGGCTATTTGTTTATATTATTATATTAATATTTATTTAGACATTTTAAAATAAAAAAATTTTAACAACTATTTCTTTAAATCTTGACTTGAAAATTATTTTTCCTTTTAACATTTTTAATTTAGTCATTTCCTAATACATTTTTGCAGAGTTTAGTAGTAATTTGAATTTTTAGTTTTAAAATATAATTTGATTATATTTTAGACACTTCTTGATGAAGATGATGATGATGGGGATGCTGAGTTCCAGTTAGAGAGAGGAGAAAATATATTTGAAATACATTTTGGAAAAGTATGCTTTTCTCTTTATAGTTAAAATTGTTTGCAATAAATTTATCTAATTATGATGTAATTTAATTATTATTATTATTTCTTTTTTATTATTAGGCGTATATAACTAAAGATGGTTTAAAAGAATTCAATGGTAGTGAGCCCAGTACATTTTTGTCTTATGAATTTTTTGAACATGAGCTGCAAACAACACCTTTGGCTTTTGGCATAAAGTAAGATTTTTACATATCCTTTGTATTGCATGCTACACATTTTTTTCAGAATCTTTAACATTTTAGGAGAAAGCAGAATAGTATTGAAAATTAACTGCTCAAAAAAATTTTTAAAAACTGATGGAAACTCATTTTAATGATTAAAATCAAAATTGAATTAAAATTGAATTTCTGATTGTTGAAAAGTAACAAACAGTACCATTATTAATAATCCAGTTAAAATTTTGGAAATTTTCAACTTCTTTTTTATTTCAATCCCTGAAGTCCCTGAAGAACTGCAAAAAAATAATCATTCATCCCATACTAACTTCCATAGGATTTAAAAACATCAAACATCTGACTCTCTTTTTATTAAATCTACTGAAAAAAATGAAATAGTATTAGTTATTCTTTCTCTAAATGACGACAAGGCTTCTGGTCTAAATAGTGTTTCAACCTTTATTCTAAAACTTCTTGCTATTGATATTTCCTCAGTATTTTCTAAACTATTTAATCTCTCATCCGCTACTGGCTCTTAACTTAACTTATTCCCCAACATATGCTAATATCAATTTACTATTTCTTGTTTTCATCACATCTAAACTATTGTTGCACTGTTTGGGGTCAGATAGGTAGCTTTCTATTACATCGTATAAACAGTTTAAAATGCACTTCCATAAAAATTATGATATTTTCTCCTTTATGATTTAATATCCAAAATAGGTTTTCTGAATAAAAAATTCTAAAATTTAGAATTTTTAGTTCAGAAAATTTTGTGTTTGATTTTCTTCAAAATAAACTACCAAATTCAATAATATTTTTATTAAAACAAGTGACACACACAAATATTATACTCGAATAACTGAAAATTTTAACTTGCACACTTCCTTCTTCAGCACTATTAAATATGGCAAGCTCTTTATAAAATATCAATGTATTTCTTACTGGATCCAATTAATACCATTTACAAACGATTAAAACTAAATACCCTTTTATTACCAACATTCTTTTTCTCAATCAAAACCAAATTAAGAAATTCTTATTTGAGTATATAATTAATGAATGTTAATTTTATCTTTTATTATTGCTTTTTTTATATTACTGTAATATATAAAACTATAATTACTTTTATTTTATACTGTTTTTTTTTAACTCTACTTCTATTATTATTATCATTAGTTTATCTTTTTTTATAAATCTTATAAATATTATTTATAATAATAGTGATAGTGATTCAATTGTAGTAATAGTTTTATGTTTATTGTCATATTTTTTGCTAATGTTATGTTTATTTTTATATTTTCTGTCATAGCTATAAACTTTACTTTAATTATTTTTACCATATATTTTATCATTTTTATAATTAATTATAATTGTTATAATTTTTAGTAAAGTTATCGTTATAGTTACTATGTTATAGTTACTATTTGTAATGTTTTTTTATTCACATAATTATTAATATTATCATCTTTTTTATTATATTATTTCAATTATTAATATTATCTTTATTTATTAGTGCTTTATTTTCCTTTCTTTTCTTTTTTTTGTTTTGTTTATTTATTTTTTGTTCTTATTTTTTTCCTCTTTATTTTATTTTAAATTTTTTCTATGTTTTATTTATAGTTTTTTTTTTTTTTTGTATTTTTTTTTTTTTTAGGTGTCACTCTATTGGCTAGTTTTAAACTATATGAGTGACACCTAACCTTATTTATGTGAGATAAAATATTATTGAAAATTTTCATATTTTATTGTGTTAAATGGATTATAAAAGTATTTATTAAAATTCACAAATATAGATCATTATCAAAAACAGAGACAAAATAGTATGGAAAATTAACTGCTCGGAAAAATGATGTCTAATCACTTTTTCTAGCAGTATTAAAATTTTATTTAACATACAAGGAGTATTGCTATATCAACTGACAAATAAGTAGAACATGCAAGGAGTGTTGCTACATTGACTGAGGGTTTGGTTTTGGCAGACAATTGATCAATTAAAAAAAATTAAATCATAATTATTTTGATATTAGTCATTTGCTACTAATTTCAATCTTATTGAAATTTTAACTTCTAATAACTTCTAAAAACTGCTCTTATTATTTTCGTTACTATTTTCACAGTTTCGTAACTATTCACAGTTTCAGTTTTATTCTCTTTTTTGATATTAATCTGGGAATTACCTTTTTGAATTAATTCAGTTTGGCTGTTTTCAATACTGTTTCTAATACTCATATTTAGGAATATATTGGTTGAATATATTGTTGGTTGAATATATTGGTTTGTTAAAATATTGGTTGGTTGAAATATTGGTTGAATATATATTAGTTGGTCTTTATAAGGGTTTCTGCTGTCATATTTTGTTTTAGTGATGTTTTGACTAAATTCTATTCCACACTAAGCTTTTCTATACTTTTTCTTTATATATATATATATATATATATATATATATATATATATATATATCATAGCTGTCCGGACCAGTATAATAAAAGTCTTCACCAAACCATCATTTTCTATACTTATCTATTTCATAGTTATCGTTTCTATACTTATTCCTTATTTACTTTATATTTTTTTCAACAATAGAAAAGCTTAATAAGAAAACTGTTATAAGAGCAAATAAAATTAAAATATGCACCTTTTCCACATTGGTTTTTTTTTTTTAAATGCATAACTTCAATAGCTCAGTTGTTTAATGCGCTATCATCTCCATAAAAAAATAACACAATACATTTTCAATTTTTTCATTCTGGTTGTATATATTTGTAGAAAAAATATATATATAGAGCAAAAAAGATTAAAAATTAAAAATTAAACTTTAAAACTTATTAAAATAAAGTTTTAATGTTTTTGCTAGTATGTAACTGTTATTAGTGGAAAATAAATATGTAACTATTATTAGCGGAAAATAAATATGTAACTTTTATTAGTGGAAAATAAATATGTAACTGTTATTAGTGGAAAATAAATATCTATCTACTCTTTTTGTGGCTCATGATTCTTTAAATAAAATAGCTATAATCATTCACTTAGGACAGCTACTAATCATAACTACTATATAAGAAAAGTTGTTTGAATGCACAAAAATAACTATTTAAATATTTAATAACATACATTAAAATTGTTATTAATAATTTCTACCTGATATTATAAAGTAACTTATGTGGTAATAGGTTCATAAAATAACATGTACCAATTAAGTGAACATTTGAATAATATATTTTAAATGTACATACATTAAAAGTATATTATTAATAATCTCTACTTAACTGGTTTATAGGCCTTTTCAACTATTATTATAGGCATGAATATACATATTACTATTAAATGACTTATATCACTTATACATTTATTTTCCACTTTCCACTTAATTTATAAAGTTAATTTATCATAAAGTAACTTTATAAATTAGATGGAAATTTGTATTCTAAAAACAAAAGTTCAATTTTTTTAACAAATTATTATTGCATAATTTTTTAAAGAAATTTGTATGAAAACATATTTTTTAACTGAAAAGTCAATACTAAATGCTCATAACTGTGACACACAAACCCCCTGAGCCACCATAAAAAACATAATATTGGGTACTTCCAGGGAATGCAAAATAGTATGAGTGTACAATTATTTTTATTTGAAATTTGACAGGTACGTAGAAAATAGATGTAGAAAATTAAATGAACATATTACAAAAATAAATCAACTGCTTTCAATATCAATACACTTCCACAACAGGAATGAAGTTTTTAATTCCTATAAAATTATTAAAAATGTTAGTAACTGCAAAAAAAAAAAAAACATATAAGATACTTTAAACCTTCTACTTTTAAAATAAAGTCTAAGTTGATATAAGATTCTAAAAGATAAAATAACAAAACACATCCTTATGACACCTACGCCAAGCATGGTGTAAAAAAGTAGGTCACAGATTTTTACTTTAAAATCGACGCTGTAAAAACCAGATACGTACATAAGTTAGATATTTGCATACACTTTCTTTCACATTTTCTTCTAAAAAAGTGCTGTGACCCTCTTGCTATTACCTCAGTTGCAGTGGCTTCCAAGAGTTCCATGTTAAACATGCTCTAAAGGGCACTACTACTGTTACTACTACTAAAGCATTAATATATAGAGAAATATGCGCAATATCTAAATATCTAACAATAGTTTTGGTTTAAAAATATCAGACATTTAAAAAAATATTGTATATTTATTAGTTATTCTCTATTACAGTTATTTTAATGTTTACTGATATATAAAAATTTTTGCTTTTTTTTTTCAATTTGAGGATTAGATTTATAATTTAAATAAGAGCTTATATTTGAAGGAAACATCTATATTTTTTAAGTTTATTTTTTATGTATTATTTAGTGTTGATTTTAATCATACATCAACATATAAGGTAAAAGTGGATGACTTTTTTCTCCATTATTTACAAAAAGAACCAATGCTAGTTGAATTTCATCAAGCATTCGGTATAGAGTACAGAACTATTGCAAAGTCTAGTATACAATTTAAGGAGTTGCTTGATCGCAGTTATGGCCGGTTACATGGTACCATATCTTGCAGAGGTGAAAAGTTTTATTTATTTTAATGCTTTACATTCTAATTATTGAATAAGTTAATTTTCATAAAGAATACTCTTACTTAACTTTTTTATTAACTATACTTGTTAAGTCCACTTATCTGTCAATAAAGGTGTTTTTTTACAGTTTAAACTGTAAGATATACTGTAAGACATTTTAAAAAATCATTTAAGTAATCTAGATAATTTTTCTTTTTTATCTTCTTGATTATTTATTTTTATAGTTTTTTTTTTACTTTATTTTTATACTTTATTTATCTAGATGTTGAAAGAAATAAAGAGATAGCTATTGTAGAGTTTTGGATACGACTTCGAGTTCCGATGGAGCAAGCACTGCGTCTTTATAAGGTATTTTCTGGTGTTTTTGAAAAAAGTATATATTGTTAAAAGAATGCAAAAAGATGTAAAAAATACTAAGATGTATATGATGTAATAAGGACTTATGAATAATTTTCTTAAGATTATTTGATTATTTTTATATTAAAAAAATCCTTTTAGAATTATATTATAAGAATTGTTATTAAATATTAATTCTTATAAATATTGTTAGTAAATATTTAAAATTGCAAATAATTAATAGTAAATTGGTACCACCCATTAAAAAATATTTTAGGAGCGTACAAAAGCACTAGGATATATTACTTCTAAAGAACTTGATCAACTTGAGAACCCAACCAATCAGTCTTTACGTGATTCATCAATCAATGAACTGCTTATTACTATTAAGCAATGTCAACAGCTAATACCTAAAAATAAAGGTAAGACATTACGTCAACAAATTACTTCCCACCGTTATCATAAACAAGTAAATAGAAAAAAATTAAGTAAAGAGGATTTGGTGGTTTTACAGAGTTTTTTTCAGACTTAAAAGCATATAATTAAGGTTTATAACATTTAAAATTTTTATACTTTTTATTTTTTATTTTTTTACTTGTTCAGAAAACCTGATCGACTGACACCAAACAATTTGTAAAATTTTCACTTTCATCAGAAAATTACTAAGAGCTTGTACTACTTCAGAAATTATCTCTCAAAACTTTCGTTTTGAAATTTATTTTTGCTAGTTGTCTTTGTATGATCAGATCATGGCACAGTCGGTTCAAATTGCACACATAAAAAAACCACTTGATTGCAATAATAACATGTGCTCAGTATTTATTCATATTATTAAGAATTTTTATTCCAATATAATTAATTTACTTTAGCTTCTCAGTGGGTATGCTTCACTGTAAGAACGTCTGTACACTGGGTACTTTTAAAAAACTTTTTTTTTTTAAATTTTTCAAAAGTACCCATATATATATATATATATATATATATATATATATATATATATATATATATATATATATATATATATATATATCAAATCCGTTGCAAAATTAGCATCTGCTATAGTTGCATCTCTTTATCGAGCTAAACACTTTTTTACTCTGGATTCTTTTCTCTATTTCTATAAATCTCAAATCCAGCCTTGTATGGAATACTGTTGCCATATCTGGGGTAGATCTTCTAATGATCCCCTTTTTCTTTTAGACAAGGTACAAAAAAGCATTGTAAACATAGTTGGACCTGCTCTTGCAGCCAACCTTCAATCATTATCACATCGTCGTAATGTTGCTTCTCTTTCTCTTTTCTACAAATACTATAATGGGCACTGCTCTAAAGAGCTAGCATCTCTTGTGCCATCTACTAAAATTCATTCTTGTGTTACTCATCATTCAATTAAGTTTCATCCTTTTTCAGTGACTGTTCCTAAGTGCTCTAAAAACTCTTATTCGTCTAGCTTTTTTTCTCGAACATCAGTTCTTTGGAATTCGCTTCTTTCATCTTGCTTTCCTGATTCATATAATTTGCAATCTTTTAAGTTATCTGTCAATCATTATCTTGCTCTACAATATTCATCTTTTCTCTTCCAGTAACTCCCAACACTAATTAGTGGTTGCTTGCAACCTTGTTGTTTAAAAAAAAAAATGTGTGTGTGTGCACATACGCATTTGTTATAGGTAAACACCGATATTTCATAATCTAACAAGTACAATAAACTCTAATCACGTATAATATAATACAAAAGCATATAATATAATATAAGCACATAAATTATAATATAATCGAGTACTAATAAACCAATCTAATTTAAAGAAAAATGTTTTTAGTCGAATTTTGTATTAATTCAATTAATAATTAATAAAATTGTGAAAAATATTGTAAATATAACAGCAATATGGGGCAGACCACAAAATAGATTATCAAATAGCACTAATGATAGTAGTAATTAGGCATATTAAAGATGGTGTTTCAACTTATTTGGATGTAGTAAACAAATTGAGAAGTTGATGGCAGCATGAATGGACATTCACATTTGTCAAAAAATTTTTATAAGTCATGACAAATGTAAAGCAAATTACAACATATTTTAACAATAAGACAGATCAATCATTTCCTGTAATTGTTTCTTGTATTGTTGCTATGTGACTTGTAATATCAACAATCTTTGCAGCTTACTCCTAAAATCTTCGAAAATTATATTTAAATCTCTAAACATTATAAAAAAAGTTGTTATGGACTATGACATTTTAAAAAAAGTTGTTATGGACTATGACATTTTAAAAAAAGTTGTTATGGACTATGGCATTAAAATTTATTAATTGACATTGTTAAAAGTTATCATTGGAGATCAATGAGGAAAAGTGGTATATGAATGTTTATGCTAATGGCAAATTTTTTTGAACATAAAAAAATGTCTGAGCAGATGTTTAAAAGTTTTTTTTAAAGATAAAAAATTTTAGTTTCATATTATATTAAAACTTTTTAATATACTTATAATAAATTTATAAAAATTATTTATAAGCTATCTAAGTATATACACATTTTCTTCTCACCACAGTTGGATTGACATTATCCTAGCATTGTTTGCATATTTTTATTTTAAAAATGATGATTTCAATCAAGACTTCTAAAAAGAAGAACAAAAAAGGTTTTCCCATGATGTCCTTCATATGTAGATTGTACATGCACAAACCCAAATCCTCAATATATACTGGCGTATGTACTGAAGCCACTACAGATGGTTATTTTTGCATGGTGTTATTAGTGATGCTTCAAACAGAGCTAAATTGGCATTTATATATGCATGTATCAATGCTGAATATATATATGTATACATATTCAAAAATTTTCTAGCCTTGTAAAGTTACTTTAATTTCTTTACCAAAGGTTGAGCTTCAAAAAGATCTGTAGAACTGATCACAACACAGCTACTTTTTCTCTTTACCAACCTCTTTCATTTCTTGTATAAATTTAATCTAAATTTGTTTCTAGTATAATTGTAAAACTATCTATTAATCTAGTATAACTGTAAAACTTCTACTATATTATTAAGTTTAAATTTGAATTTTTATGAATTGAGCATTTTTTTTTCTCTATATATGCAAATATTTTATTTTTTTTATTTTTTAACTGTTAGAACCAACCATAGGTTTACTAATAAAAAAAAACTTGTTTTTTGAAAAATATATAAAAAAAAATACATGCGCACGTGCGCGCACACACACTCGCACACATAAAAAAATGATTAAATTATGAAATGTTGATTTTAGATGTTCAACCGTCATCTTATTGTGTTTACAAATTTTTTGATTTTGCTGATCATGATACAGATATTGTGAGCCATTCTAATTCGCCTCAATTTCATGATAGTCGCATATTCCCTGTTCCAATGACTGAGGAACTTGATAACTATTTAAAGAATTCGGTAAGATTTTTTTTTCAGTTTTTATTAACTTATATTTGTATTTTTATTTAAAATAATAATGTAAATGTTAGCGAGTGAAATATTAAAATCCTTGTTCAGTTTATAAATTAAGAACTCATTCCACATCCTCTTTCCTTATTTAAAAAAAGCATTTACTCTAAGTCCCTTTAAAAAAAAGAAAATGTTGGAACTTCATTTCCTTTTTTAAACTTCAAAAGTTTATATTTATCTGTTAAAAATAAATTTTTTATCCTAAGCATAAAGTATAGACATTAAATATCTTTTAAAAGTTGGTTTTTCTCCTTGTAGAATGGAAATTACAGTTTTTTTACATAATTAAAAGATACACTAATGTATAATGACTAATGATTTAAACACAGATAAATAGCTTATTGTTAGTCTAAACAAAATATACAAGGCATACTCTGTTTGAAAAGTGTCTGCATTTCTAATGTATCTGGGTCTAGCTTAACCCTGCTGTTTTTCATTGTCACCTCTCCTGTCCCCGCCCCCTCCCCCTAAACACACACACACTTAAAAGACTTTTATTGGCAATACTGGTAGCAGGAGTGCCCAACAATGTTCTAGCAATCAATCCTACTTTAGAAGCTTTTGTTCAGGCTTATTCTCTTATCAAAGTTGTAATTCATCACATAAAGTAAACCTCATAAAGTTAACAAAGTTTTTGATGTTTATTAACACCATTTCTGATTTGGTATGTTGTTGTTTTTTTTGTTGTTGTTTTTTGATTTCAAACCACCTCCCCAATGCCATGAAGGCTACTACAGTCAAGAAGGCTCCTTTAGTTGTGGTTACAATACTCTCTCAGCTCTATAACTCCGAAACACAAACCTTGACAAACAAGGCTGCTGCGCGAAGAAACAAGTTGAGCATGGTACTACCATGAAAGTGGTGGGAGAACTTCTTGCTTTCAGGGATTATCTTTTTCCAGATATTTCCGGAATTCCGGATATTTTTCTCAACTTTTAGTTTTTCCGGATATCAAAAATGTTTTCTATACATACAAGTTTAGGAATATATTTTTGTAATATATTTGTTTTTTAAGCTTTTTCACTCATTACTCATACAAAACTTAAGAAAAGTTTAAAAAAAAAATTAAAAACAGCTCAGCTAAAATCAAAATTATTAGGAATATTAGGGAAAATATATTCTGGATGTTTTACCCTACTGATTTTCCGGATTTTTAAAATATGACCTGGATAATCTATGTGTTTATGAGGCAAGCGATCTACCACTACACCACTACCACAAATTTTTATTTTTTTTATTATTTTTATTTTTATTCACCTCCTCAAGGCCGAGAAGGCCACTACAGACGAGGAGGCTACTTAATAGTGGTTATAACCCTCTCTCAACTCTATATCTCCGAAACACGAACCTTGACGAACAAGGCCGCTGCGCGGAGAAACAAGTTGAGCGCGGTACTAGGAACAAATATGCGATGGTATTGTTACAATATAAAACAACGTTCAATGTGTTATTGTAGTGTGAAAATACAAAATTTGCAAAACTTCAAATCTTGTATTAATTCAATTGTAAGTATTATTCATTTGGTTCAGTTTTAAATCAGCAGTTTTTAAGTTCAAATCAGTTTTAAATCAGCAGTTTTAAAGTTCAAGTTTGTTATGGTTATATTTAAGGTTCTAGTTTTATTCGCTTGGTTTGTTTGGTTTGTTTTCCATATTTAAGTCATAATTTCCTTATTCTTGCAAATCAGAACTTTTAGATTCTAGAGGATATATCAATTATTTAGGAGGTAGCGATGTAGTGGTTTAAGGGGAAGAAAAAAAACGGTTGCCTCCTTGAAAATAATATTTTGGTACCAAATATTACGATAATAAATTTTTTAAATTATATTTAATTATTTATTTTTTAATTTGACTTTTTTTTTAATTATATTTTATTGTTGTTTTAGGTATTGTTATAGTAACCTAATTTTTAAAATCAACACATTTTTTAAGATAATTATTTTAGTGATTTTGATTGTTGTTTGTTATAGTCACTTGAGGTGTATGTGTTTGATGATCTTGACACAGATTTAACATCATATATTGGATTGGCTAGTATTCCTCTAATCACTCTTACTCAAGATAAACCTCTCAAAGGAAAGTTTGAGTTAACCAGTGTAAGTTATATGCAATGTAGCAACTTTAAATAAAATCAGTAAAAGTTATACATCAGTGTAAATTTGTGTAGATAACAACTTATTGTAAATTTGCGTAGATAACAACTTGTTGTAAAATCAGTGTATGTAACAATTTATTTTAAAATCAGTTCTCATTTTAAAATCATTACTCGTTTTAAAATCATTGTAATGTAGTTACCTAGTGTAAAATCAACTTTAGTATTATAAATATTTTTCTGTTATCAAAATATTTTTATTTGTTTTAATTAAGATTTAAAATTTAATTTTTCAAGATGTTTTTTAAGATTTATTTTAGTTTTTATCTATTTCGTTTAAGAGACTAATATTATGATGTGTATAAAAATTAAAATAACATTTTATTAACTAAATTAATATTTATTCAATATGGTTGTAATATTATTTTAATATTTTTGACTAGAGTGTAAGCCATCTTTCATAGTATAATCCATTACAAAACTGAGAAAAAATGTTATTTTTTTCAGTTTGATAATGGGTTGTACTATGAAAAAAAAGATTTTATAAAAGCGATCAACATTATTAAAGTTACAAACAGCTTGCATTTTTTGTCATAGCTATAAATAGCTTGCATCTCTGCATTTGTACCAGCATAAAGTTTGTGACCAAACATTTCTTTAAAGTCTAGTTTGACATCAAACATTGTCAGACTTTATTTTTAATACTTTTTTGCTGCTTTTCAGTACAATTTGGGTATTACTTTTTATCAATTTATGTAAACAAGTATAAAAATAAATTGAATAAACAAGTATCAAAACAAGTCGAATGAGCAAGTATCAAAAATAATAGGTAATATATACATTATATTATCTATTGTTGTTATAAAACAATATATAAGCAAGTATCAAAACAAAAAACAATGTTATTTCAAGATCAAGATCTGGTACATATCTGAACTAGCTTTTAGAACCAGAAGATAATATAAATCCTATGTATGGATGCTATATACATCTTAGGTAATTTATACTATGGCTGGGTTGGCTAGATGTGTTTCGGGATTAGATGTTTTCACGCTGATTTCTAGTAATATAACTATAATACTTGACTCTATTGTACTCGGACATTCAATACTTTTTTCAACAACCATTGGTATGTGTGTGCATCTATGAATATGTATGTATATAAGTATCATATTATTTTTCTGTTAAGAATATTATGTGATAATAATTAGTGCTAGTGTATAGCAACATTCGATTTACTGAAATATATATCTTGAAATAACAATGTTATTTCGAGATCGAGATCTTCTGTGAAAATGAATAAAATGTCAGAATTAAAAAAAAATTTATATTAACTTGTGCATAAAAATTTGTTATATAATTATATTTATATTGTATTATAAGTTTTTTGTTTTATAATTTGTTATATAATTATATTTATATTATATTTAATTATAAGTTTTTTCCTGGAGGTGGTTGTAGGTGGCCAGAGATTGGCTGGTCAAGAACCCTGAATATTGTGTGGCGAAAAAACTGTCTACTTTTTTTCCCCTCTGCTTTCTTTCACATAACAATAGCTATAATACTTCCCTAAAATTTTTTACTTTTTACTACCATAATTTTTTTACTACCATCATTTTTTTCATTTTCTAGTGTTAATACTTTAACTTCCTTTGAATTAATAAAATTTTTAGCACTCTTAGGTGTTTCTATGTTTTACAATACAATAAGTACCCATATATATTTGTAAGTTTGGTAGCTTTTAAGTGTGAGCTAGCAAGTTAATTAAGGTTTGGAGATTTAGTAAAAATTAATAGAAAAAATAACTGTGACTAAGAATGTTGACAAAATAATATACAAGCAGAAAAAAAACATTATTCTAGAACTTTTCAATACAATTGATTATGAGTAATTCTATATAATATGATTTCTGGGTCACCATTTTAGACTTACACCTTCTGTAAAGTTTATGGAAAAAATGATTTTGTTTTTAACTTCATAATCTTCAAGCACTCTAAAAATTATTTGAAAAGTTACTCAAACGATAACTCAACTCTATAAAATTTAAATTCATTTCAGGCAATTTTTTTTATTTTGAAAATTCTCTAAAATACTTAATCTTAAATATATAAAAATCAGTATGATGTTAGTGATCCGCCTCAAAACTATAGATGTTAACTATTATTCCCTTAAAAAAAACTCCAATTTTGTTATATAGTAAGTATCTCTAAAGCGAATTTTTATTTGAAGTAAAAATGTTTATTATTTTTGAAAGAAGTCAAAATCAAAGTTTAAAATTATTATTTTTAGTGTGGCTATAAAAAGTAGTGGCCAAGTATCTTTTTATTTTATAATGATGTAATCTCTATTGAGTACATACAAATATATTTCATTAGTTCTGATTGATAATGGGTGTTCACATGAAGTCTGGAATAAATGGTAATAACACCATTATTTTGCATATTTATTTGGATAAAATATGTTTAAAAAAACCCATTGAAGACTTAATTTAAAAAATATTGATTTTTAATCATGTTATTTTATTGATTCAGAAAGATGTCATACAAGGCTTTGATTAACTTTTGTAAAACGATACTTCATTTTTCTCTTGAACTCATCAAGATTCTCTGCTTGTCATCCATCTTTATAAGCTAATCTTATAAATTTTTATAAAAGAATCATTAATTAGCCAAATGGTATTTTAATATAAAAACAAACAAAAAAATATATATAAATAATCTTGAACAGATTTAGTATAATGAGAAGAAGATTTTGCCAAAACACACATGGATCGAGGAAATGTTCTTTTATAAAAGTTTAATACTTTTTCTTTTATAAAAGTTTAAATCTTTTAAGCAAATTTTTTTATTGGTTGCAATATCGTTTCTTTGGATTAAGTAATTTCAGTATACCTTTACAAGTAAAAGACTAAGAGTTTTGATTTGTACTTAAAAAATTTTTAATATTCAACACTGGAAAGACACTTTAATGTATAAATATGATTGTTTATGATGTTTTATAATTTAAAAGATCTACATTTAGAGTTTCTAAAAGCAGTAGAAAAAATAGGAAATGCAGTATTTTTTTATTTTTATTTAAAAATGATGTGTAACATTAGATGATGCATCAGGTGTGCATTCAGTGTCTTTTCAAATATACCAATATTCAAATTAGTTACTTTTGCAGAGCCAGATAACATGAACTATAAAGAACTTTTTTATAGTGGTTAAAAAAGGGCTGTAAAAACAGTGGTTAAAAGGTAATTTTAGGATTTTTTTTAGAAGAGTTTCAAATAAGTTGTTTCTATGATTGAAAATTTAATATCACACTATTACATTTCAATATTTTCATTCTTTTATAATCTATAAGAAAGACAAAATTATTGTTGTATGAACAAGTAAGACAAAATTATTGCTGCATGAACAAGTAAGATAATAAAATATGTTTATTTTTATGTATTTAAAAAATATCATATTTATCTATCATGTTTATTTTTCAATGAAATGTTTAATTAGACCAAGTTTTACCATTTGGACACAAAAGGAAATCTAATTTTTATTGTTTTGAATCAAATTAAACCGAAATAGTTTAAAAATTCTTTTTTTAAATGGATGAAAGTAAATTTTTTTTGCCTTTTAATTTTTTAAAGATTGAGGTGAATTGTTTTGATTACATATTACATTTTATTGGCATTTTTAGAAAAGACAGTAAATTTCCAAAACAAAATAAGTTTTTAAGAGTTTAATTTTTCAAATAATTCTCACTTTAGAGCAAATAGAAATATTTGAAATTTGAGGAAAATTTATTTAGGTATATCTTATAAGGTATAAGTTTCTAGAAAACTGAGATATTGACCTGGGAAATTTTCCAAATTAATTTAGCTCATTTTATTTGGAATGACTCATATAATTTATTATAACAAAATAATAATTGTTGTTTTCAAATAGGGAGTTGATGGATCATTGACAGGCATCATTGAAGTTTCACTTTCTTGGCAATACACTTACCTTCCAGCTAGTGCTAAAAAAGCAAGAACTTACCCTCAAGTATGTCTTTTTTTAGAGTGTTTTTTATTAATGTTTGTTTAAAAAAATTTAATTTATTTCAATATTGATTTGCTAATAGTTAAAAATAGTATTTATAATTGTTTTTAAATAAAAAATATTTGTGAGACTGTTGGTCAGAATTTACTTTTACATATAAAATAAATTATAAGTCCAATCCTAATCCTATAAGTCCATTTAAATTAAACATTAAAAATAAACTCTAATCCTATGTGATTTAAAGAAAATTTTATGATAGAGCTGTGTCAGCTAAATTTCTGACAATGTAAGCAAAAATGTTGTTGGAAATTCCATCCACCAAGTGCTGACTTTGTTTATGAAATTACTATAAAAATTTTTTTTACAGTGTTGCATTTTTGAGTTAATCATTCTTTTAGTGATTTTCAACTTATTTTTTATAGATGATTTTCGGAAGTTGACTTTTAGAAATTAGAAATTTGCCTTTATATATTTGTTTATATATTTTTATATATTTTTTTTTTTTTTGCAATTGATTTGTGATAAAAGTATATAAAATTTTAAAAACATCAATAATTGCGTGTTAATTTGTACGTGATCAACTATATTTTCTTTTAATAAAATATAATTATAATAATCTATTACAATAATATAATAATCTATTATAATAATAATAATCTATTACAATAACAATATAATAATTTGTTATAATAATAATATAATAATCTATTACAATAACAATATAATTATTTATTTAATAATCTATTATATTATATAATCTCGAAATAAAATAATTTTTTTGTAAAAAAAATGGTTATAGAATTTTTAATCATTCAGATTAAATGTTTTGAATATTGGGAGTTCTATTTTGTAAGAAGTTATTGGTTGGAATTCTACTTTTAAAAGTTTACAACAGTTTTTGATCAGAAATTTTTATAAATATTAAAAAGAAAAGTTTAAGTATTTTTAAAAGTTTTTATTTACTTGTTATTATGGAAACTATAAAATGCAAGTAAAAAGCAAACATTTTACTTGCTTTGCAAAAAAAAATATTTTATAATCTTTAACAAATAAGTTCTTGATTGTAATCTTGCACATAGTTGGTCATAGTTGCACATTGATTGTTCTTTTATATATAACAATAAAACTTTTTTTTTTATTTGTGAGTTAGATTGTCAAAAATTTTGTTTTTCCTGTATTTATATTATTAAATAAATTGTTAAAGTCAAAATACCTACTAATAAAGTCAAAAATACCGACTAATAAAGTCAAATATACCGACTAATAAAGTCAAAAATACTGACTAATAAAGCCAAAAATACTGACTAATAAAGTCAAAAATACAGACTAATAAAGTCAAAAATGCCGACTAATAAAGCCGAAAATACCGACTAATAAAGTCAAATATACCGACTAATAAAGTCAAAAATGCCGACTAATAAAGCCGAAAATACTGACTAATAAAGTCAAAAATACCAACTAATAAAGTCAATAATGCCGACTAATAAAGTCGAAAATACCGACTAATAAAGCCGAAAATACCGACTAATAAAGCCGACTAATAAAACAAAATGAAAAAATGATCTTAAAGCCTTAAGGAGCTGTTGTTATGGGTAAATATTGTTATAGGTAACTGTTGTTATAGGTGATGCTGAAAATAAAGTATTATTAAAGTTCAGACAGTGTTTTGTAAAACAGACAATTATTAAACCGCACATTTTTATTATCATTCTATATGGTGTTAGTATTTAAAGTAAAATTAATTTAATTTAAATACATTTTAAGTTATAATATAAGTTTTGTAAAAAGTTTTTCAGAATTTCTTTGTAATTAAAAAAAAAAAATCTAAAAGTAAAGTGGTAAATTTTGTAAATTGTTGCATGCAGTTTTGTGTGATGCTAATTGTGTGTTGTTTAAAGATTTGTTTTTTAAATAATCCATCAATTAAAAATGTGTAAATTTTTTAAGTAATTTTTATCAAATATCAAGTACATTAGTGTTTGGTCTGTAATTACTAAATACTAATTGGATATTGGTCTGTAATTACTAAGCTGATCAGTTTACCCTATTTTTGTACTTTGTACTTTTTTTTTTAACTGTCTTGAGTGCTTTATTGGTTTCTGGTCTGCATATTGTATCTTTAATAAGTTTTCAACACTTTACTAGTTATACTGGTGTGCAGTCAGGAAGGATAGATGTTTGCATCTGAATTAATGAATCTGAATTAATGAGCTTATTTTTTATTGCAAGTACAGCATTTTAATTTTTGGTTGCTTTAAGCTCAATGAGGTTCAGGTTTACTTTGGTTTACATTAAATAGGTTTATTTATGAAAAGGCCTGTTTTTTCTATAAATATTTCATTAATCAATATATACAAAAACCAAAACCATATGTTTCAAAGGTTTATTGAAAATTTAGGAAGCTTTTTGTTTGAGCATGTAAGTATTGCTGAATAAACTAATTGGTAATAATTTAAAATTAAGAAAGTAAAGTAAAATCTGCAAAAGATACATTAACAACATAAACTTAACTGATTACTTGTAAAATAAGCAGAGATGGTGCTTTAGTAACAAGTGTGATAAGTTGTTGACTTCTAGCTGTATTGATTTTGAGAGATCAGTAAGCAGTTATCAGTAAAGCGGTTTGTATTAGAAACTTTCACAAGATGTTACGAATTCTATTTCAATTTAAAAAATTTATAAAATTTTATCAGATATTACTGGCTAAAGAAAACAAACTTGTTTTTTTGATAAGGGACCATCCATAAAGGACGTCATTCAAATAGGGGGGGGGGGGCTACACCTTTGAAAAATAAAATTTTTAATTTTATTTTTCAAAAGTGTAGCAGCAGATTCAAACATATTGCAAGATGAAATAAATTTTTTTGGAGTTAAAAATAGGGAGGGGGTCAGGATTTTATGACGTCCTTTTTCAGGGGGTATAGGGAAAAAAGACAACTGGTGACGAAGGGGGGGAGGGGGTCAAAAATTGGCTAAAAAATGGTGACGTTCTTTATGGATGGCCCCAAACTTACATAACCGAGCGATATTTATCGGGGATTTTTTATATCTATTATTCGGAGTTAGAATTACGTAACAAAAGTATTGAACTCATTCATTGAAAAAAATTAATAAAGGAAATTTTAAAAAACTATTAGCACTTTCCCTGAGTGATTTTACATAACATTTATGAAAGTTATCAAGAGCAATTTTTAAAAATTATTTTAGTATTACAACTTTATTAATACTTATTTGAGTTGTTTAAATAAGAAAATCTTTGGTTTGTTGAAGTTTTTACTTACACTCCTTATGTTTATGCGTATTGCCTTAAATATGTTTTACTTTTTAGCCCATTGACACAAGAACAGATCGCATAATGGATCTAAGCAGTCAATCTCAAGTTCATAAAAGTGTGATGGTACCGATGGTAACATCAGGAAAGCTGTTTGAACCTCAAGTTTCAAAGCCTGATAATGATATGGATTCTGAAGTAAAGCCAACATCTGACCACAAACCACTTTCAGCAAAGTTTAATAAAGAACCTCCATCTAAAGAAAGACATGTTTCTATTAAAAAGTTTTCTGTAGCTGATATAAAAGATGATGAAACACAATTTACAGCAAATAGTGACGATACAACACTCAATAAATCACAATTAAAAACAATGAATATTGACGAACTATCTTCAAAAAGTGTTGTTCAACTAAACAAAAGTGATAAAATATCGAATAAGGTTACTCCAGATTACATGTAGACATTTAAAAAGTATTTTATATTTTATAAAATATTAGTAATATAAAATAATTTATGTTTTAGATTGAAGATGAGCATACCGCAAATGCAGAAACTCTCAACATGGCTGATACAATGTTTGAAGAGTCAGGTATGTGTAATTGCTTCTATTGCATTTGCATGTATATAGTTATTAAAAATAAATGTTTGTCATCAAAATACCCTTTCTGTTGACTATGATGTTAATAAAAATAAAGCAAAGTTCTCTAGTTTTTTTATAGGATAATCCATAATTCATTTTTTAGTTTTTTTATTTATTTTTTTGCTGGTTTTATTTTCATTGATTTATAAATTTTTTTGTAAGATATCTCCTACTTTTTATCCTATTACTTATACAACAACTTTATTTTTTTCTATTGTTTTAAAACTCTCTCTCTACCCTACCAACTCCAAAGCACTTGACAAAACACTAAATCAAGTTGAGCGCAATACTATCATGGGGTGTAGTGGAGTTAAAACATGGAGCTTTTTGCTTACAAAGTAAGTACTCTACCACTACACAGGCTTGGTTGGGAAGCGGGAGCGGTCACTCTCAATGCTGACTATGGCAATAATATTTAGTTGCGAAAAGCTGGCCAGATTTTGTAGTCGTTTTGAGAACATTTCAAAAAGCAAAAAAAAATAGCGCTTAAGATTAATTAGACTGATGAGAGATCATTACAAAAAAACAAAATTAGGAAAAAAAATATCTTCTAACGCGAAAAAACTTAAAGCAAAGTAAATTACGTTTAGAACAAATATTTTCGAAACATCGCTCTTTCATAATTTCTTTTATAAAATTAAGCGACGTTTTTTATATAAAGTAACATCTTACGATTGTTTAAAAAGGAAACAAATTCACAATATCGCTGATGATGTTTAGTGAGTGAGCTTTTTAATTTTAATTAGTATTTAAAACAGAAAAAAGTATAACGAGTTTTTAAGAATGGTTACTGAAGCGAAAATAATTAGAGTTAGTTAACCAATATCTAGAAATTTTACTTTATATCTAATAATTTGCTGTATATATGTGTTCTGTCGTAACCTTAGGTGCGGTGTTTGTTCATCCGCGAGTTACTTTGTATTCGTTGTTTGTGAACCAATATCTAGAAACTTTTCTTTATATCTAATAACTTGCTATATATATTTATGTTCTGTTGTGAACTCAGGCGTGGTACTTGTTCATCCGCAAGTTACTTTGTATGCATAGTTTGTGTTTCGTAACCAGAAACTTCGTATATGTTTGCTACATAATTAGTTTTATTAACATTAATGATTATTAATAACTTCATTGAAAACTTATTATTTTTGTAAGTCTTCGTTTACAAATTAAATAGATAAAAAACAGATACACAAAATTACATTTACATAAAAAATACATACTCTTTAAATAAGTATATACTAATAAAATCTACAATTTATAATAAACTTTCAAAATTTTGACAATTTAAATAATATTTATTTAAAACATTTATTTTTGTAAACAAATAATAATAGTTTATAAGATTTATGGCTTCGCAGATGTGGCTCCGAGAACGAGCCATAGTATTGATAATATATTCTTAAAACAATTTATGTTAGAAATCTCAAAATAAATCGTTATTAATACTAATTCTAAAACATTTCAATAGAATACTCTAAAACTTTATTTCGCTTAGTCAGCGTATTTTTTGAACCAATAGAATTAGTTTGTTCGTTGATTTTGGCAGGTTTTTAGTGTTCGCGAATATTTTTTATACTCTTCCGCACCAAGATGTTTTGAGAACATTTAAGTTTTTTATGTTTCCATGTATGTCCGTAAAACAATTTTTTGTTTCGTATATAAACTTAAATGTTCTCAAAACAGCTAAAATACCTGGCCAGTTTTTCGTAACTAAATATAATTTCCGTGGTCAGTTATCGAAAGCGATCGCTCCTGCTTCCCGACCAAGCCTGACTACACCACGTGCCCTAATAAGTTGTGAACTCTGAGCTTGGTCATAGTTAATAAATAGTTGCATATTCTTTATTCAGTAACTTGTATAAATTTACTTTATTTTAAGTAATTTTATATTTAAAAAAAGAGTAATATGCTCATTTAAAATTTTGTTTTTTTAATATTCTTCTACTTATGCAATTTTTGCATAAGTAGAAGAATATTATATGCACCTTTACACCATTGCTCTAATTTAATTTGATAAAACTTTAAATTTTTTTTTATAAGCTGTATGATGATAATGATTTAAATGGTTTTGAACATTTTAAATAGGTTCTGATAGTGATGTTGTTATGGTCTCAGCTCGTTTAGTGAAATCTATTATTGAAAATCAGATCTCAGACGAAACAGAAGACACAGAAGATGATGCTGTAGTTGCTTCTTCTTTAATAAATGATAGAAAAAAAAGTTTGACTCCAGTAAAAATGTTATTTTACAATTATGTTTTTATTTTTATTTATTTATTTACATTAAAAGTGTTACTTCTGTTTAATTAATTTATTTATTTTTCTCCGAAGGTATCGCCTACCATTGTTGTTGAAATATTAAGTTTAACACTATTTGAAGATGCTGCATTATTAAATATGGAAAATATTCAGCAGTTGTTTATTTCATACAAGTTCCTTGATTATGATCCAGAGGAGTTGGAAACACCAATGTCTCTACCAAAACCCAAAGCCAATAGACCAATATCGTTTAACTTTAGAAAAGGTTATTCTCATAAATTTAAGTGTTTTGCCTTCAGTTGTATTAAATTTTTTGTTTTTATTTATTTATTTTTTTTTTTTTTTTTTTATTTTTTATGGCTAGTGGAGTGAAATTAGTAAAAAAGTATTTACCCAAAAAAAAAAAATATTTTCAACAAATAGTTATAAGTGCATTTTTTCCGTGAGTGCATCACCAAATGATTGCAGATAATCAGTGTATGCATAAAATTTCAAGTAGTGAATTGTTGTATAAATTTCATTCTACCCCTTCTACCCTCATAATAAACATCTTTACAACTACCTAAACTGGAAATAGCTCATTTTTTCATTAACTCATTAATTACTAACCTTAACTGTGACCAGTCAGTGTTCTCACTTTTATCTCACAAAATCAATTAACCATTTATTGTATGCATTTATTCATACATATGTTATCTATAAGTCATGTATATAACATACAATTCAGGGGTGTGGAGTCGTAAAAAAAAAGTAACAACTCCGACTCCAGTTGTTGAAATTTTTTGTGTCAACTTCGACTCCAGTTGTTGGAATTTTTTGAGCATAACTTCAACTCTGACTCCTACTCCAACTCTTAAGCAAAATTTTTGAAAATTTTTTTGAATTCTTTAAAAAAATTACGTGGCAAGTTAAAAATTTCTTTTTTAAAAAAATTTATGAAACGCTCTTTGAGGTTTAGTATAAAAATAAGGTTAATTTAATGTTTTGTACATGCTGAGAAATTTTACTATTGGAGTCGGAGTCGCAATTTTGTTTAGCGATTCCAACTCCGCTAAAAATGTTGTAACTCCGCAACTCCGACTCCACAGCCCTGATACAAATTATGTAATCTAATGTATACTCATCTTATTAAATCACAGACCACATAAAATCAAATTATTTGAGACCATGATTATTAATGACTTTTATATCCATTTATTTAACTAAAAATTGAAAATTACAAAATTTTATAATTTTACAAAATTAGGTACAAGGTTAGGTGTCACTCATATTTAAAAACTAGTAATTGGAGTGACACCTAAACAATAAAAATAAAAAATTCAGCAGCAATATTAATAAATAATAGCAAACGTAAATTAAATCGATTTAAAAAAAAAATGATTAAGCTATGATAAATTAAATAAAGAGACAAAATAATGTGAAAACACTCAATTAATAATAACAATAATTAGCAACAACAGCACAAATAATAACAAACTTTACGCAAATGAAAAGGAAAGCACAAAAACTACAGAACAAAAACGAAAAATTACATAATGAAAAGACAAACACAAAAACTTCTACAAAATAAAATAAATTATATTTGTTATTCTTGGTGGAAAAGAAAAGCGTAGAAAATTTGTACCAAATTATTTTTGTTTTAATTAGTTCCTTTTAATATTTTTTCAAACATTTTTTAAACTTCTTTTGTTTTAACTTGTTAATTCGCTTTTAATTGATTATTTTTGTTTTATTTTATTAAATCTATTTGTTCATTTTACTTTTTTATTTATTTTGTTGGGTTTTTTTTTCTTTTATTTTTTAGTTTGTTTAATATTTTTAATATTTTTGTTATATTACTTTATTTTTAATTTATCTTTTTTATTCTTTAAAATAATTTCTTTCTTTTTTCCTTTTCTCTTTTTTACCTTTTCACCGTTAACTAAACGCTTTTGCCATTTACGATGTCAATCCAAAGTAGTTTTACTTTTACCATCAAACCTTTTTATTCTTTAAAATAGAGTTGAAAATTTTGGGAAAATTTCTGGGAAATTTTGCTCAAAATTTCAGGGAAATTTCTGGGAAATTTTTATAGCAATAAACTTTATAGTTATTATATAGTTTTATAAAATTCATTTCTTTGTTTCAAATATATGTGTTTTATCATCATAGTATTTAGGTATTCTTTAAATATTTCAACAAAAATATAAAATAATAAAGACCCACAGCAAAAAATGCACATCTTTTAGTCAAATTTTTGTAGACAATTTAAGAATCACGCATTTTTAAAAAAAAACTATAAAACGCTCAAGTTGTTATATGTTACTTCTACTTACATTACTTTTGTAAAACAACAAAAGTAGATGTTTTCCGCGTTAGCTTATCTTTTGAGCTTGTGTATAACATATATCTAGGTTTAATTTCTCTCAACTATGATGTAAAACATTCAAAAAAAATACAAAGAATTAAGTCTTTTTTAGATAAATTTTATTGTGTATTATTTTTGTAGAGTGTTTTAAAGAAAAAAAGATTTTTTATGCGTATATATTGCATACAAAGACAATTTTAGGGGGAGGGTGTGTTGGGGAAGGGGATATTTTACCCCTTCAAAAAAGTCTTTATAATGTCTTTAAATTAACAAAAAATTGTAAAATACTGCAAATATTTATATCAAATTTTTTTATATATAATTTTACAGTTTTCAGTAATTTGTCGGTCAATTTAATAGATATTGACAAATATGGCAATGAAATTCAATATGCATAGCAAATAACAGGATAAAACAATTTTAGAAAATTTTAAAACAAATAATCATAGTTGAAAAAAAACTCAAAAAAAGTGTTTTTCAAAGGGGGTTTTCTAAAATTTGGATGATTTGCTTCACAATATTTTACCGTAAAATTGTCCATAACAACTACCTAACTAGGACATAAAATTTTACCCATTAATTATAAAATAACTTGTCTTTTTTTGAAAACTTATAAAATTTCCGGATAATTTCCAGAGTTGAAAATTTACGGAAATTTTGCAACCCTACTTTAAAATAATAATCATTTTTATTGTATGATTTATGTGATGATTAAATTTATATTTACATAATGATTATTAATATATTTACACAATGATTATTTTTACACTTAAATAATGGTTATTGATTTATTTACACAGTTATTTTTACATTTACTTACAATGATTTTTAATATATTTACACGATGATTTTTTTTACATTTAAATAATGATTATTAATATATTTACACTTTTACATAGTTATTTTAAAGACCAGAAATCACCTCAAATACTTCTACATATAATACTTTTTTAATACTTTATACTACCAAATACTATAAATAATTTATTGTTATTACACATATTCCTAATTTGATGTTTATGATACTATAAATTATAAAAATTTGAAAAGGAAATTGTAATAATATTTTAAAATTAATTTAGTGTTTCGTTTTGATGAAAATTCAAAATCTGTTCAACATTTAATCCATCTTCTGATGCCAGAGCATCCTAATGAAGGAAGGTACTTTATTAATTTTACAATTTTTTATAATTTTAAAGAAAATATGGTTATATAGTAACAGGTTTAGTATAAATTGTATTCCATATGCTCTGAAAAAAGTATTTCAAGTTTCATCCATGTCATTTATTATATGGTAGTTTAGAGCTTAAGATAAATCCTTTTTGAGATTCTTTTAAAGGGGAGGGGAACGATTTAAATTTTGGTTTCTATGGTAGCTTAGAATTTTTTTTGTTGTTTTTTTTATTTGAAAATTAGCAAGTTGCAGCCCAATTTACGTTACCACCCAGCTCTGCTTTTTAGCGCAACTATTCTAAACTTCTATTTTATTTGCGAGTATTTGGAGTTTTATTTTAATCTTGTAATTTATTACAAGTTTTTTTTTAAGGCTGTTTTTTACTGTGGTTAGTGATCCTGCTGGTGATAGTGATGGAGATTGTGAAGATGTTGGTATAGCTTATGTGGATCTAGTAGAAGTAAGTTTACTTTTTTTTTTAAATAGAAAAGTGATTTTCAATCACTTCAATTTGGTTTCCAACTTGTTTTCATTTAGCTTTTTTTCAAGTCATCTAAAGTCATCTAAACCGCTTTGCCCATGATTGGTATAAAAAACATATAGTATGAAATAAGTTTGCACTTATTTCATTAATGCACAATTTATTTAAAAAGAGATCTTATTAGACTCATTAAAACTCTTCACTATAATATATATATATATATATATATATATATATATATATATATATATATATATATATATATATATATATATATATATATATATATATATATATATATATATATATATATATATATATATATATATGTATATATATATATATATATATATATATATATATATATATATATATATATATATATATAAAACTAAAGCAACTTCTTAGGAGACAACTTGATTAAATTAAAAAACTTCATTTATAGATAGAAATTATGTGGGTTTTTTTATTTAATTTTGAAAAATCATTCTTTTTAAATACAATTAAAACAAATTCTTAAAATATTTTTATCTTTAACACCAAAAAGTATAATATACTGCGTTCAAAATACCTGTATTAGTAATTTAAAAATTTTGAATAGACTTCAAAACAAAAAGCAACTTTGACAATAAAACCAAAGTAAACAATAATTTCACCACAAAAATTTATGTAATTTTTGTAAATAATTTTAAGTAGATTTCGTATTTTTAATTGGTTATTTTGTTTTGAAAGTTGAACTTTATTATTAAAATATCATTTTATTATAACAATAAACTTTGATATATAATTCTAACATTTTAAGATTAAATAATGGCCACAAATAAATATAATACCTTATTTTAGCAAAACATAATTGCTGGTTTTAGTAATGGAGTTCAACAACATGAACTATCTATCGAGTATAATGTGGAAAAATCAGTGATCAACTGATGAATCAGCATATACAATGTCAGAGGTTTTGTCGAAACAAAACACAATTGAGATCGCTCCCCCAAAACATCCAAAGCTACTAATCGTAGGTTAGTGTGATTTGTGAAAAAGCAACCCTTTGCTACTGCTCGAGATATAGCAGGGATATTTAGTTAAAAAATAGAAAGGCTAGAAAGTGGACAGTAGAACAATGAAGTCACATTTTATGGAGTGACGAGTCAAAATTTAACCTGCGTCATTCAGATGGGAAAAAAAGCGTAAGACGCTCAAAATACAAGCTCATTAAACCCAAGGTATACAAGAGCTGCTTTTAAACATGGTAGTGGTAAAGGAGTAATGGTTTGGGGATGTTTTTGGGTGTTTCCGGTTTAGGACCGTTATTTCAAATCAACTGTATTATGGACCGTTTAGTATATAGAGATATTTTGGAAAAATAAATGATTCCTACTGCTAATGATAATATGCCTTTTAAGTGGCTTTTCCAGCAGGACAATGGCCCTAAACATGCATCTAAATTTGTTAAAGCCTGGTTTAATACTAATTAAATCAGTTTAATGAAATGGCAAGCTAACTCACCGGACCTCCCCATTGATAACCTTTTGAAGCCATCCGACTGAAAGAAGCAACTAATAATGGTGATCAGTTGTACATCGAGCTTAAACAAGCATAGAAGAACTGTAAATAAATTACAAAGTTATAAATTGATTAAATCAATGTCATGTTTTTGTAGAGAAGTTATAAAAAACAAAGGATATGCAATTGGTTATTGATATTAAAATAAGTTTGAATAAATCTTTTAGAAAAGCGCATTTAGCAATGTTTTTTTTTAAGTTGCTTTAGTTTTCGAAGTAAACAATTTTACTTTTTTTTCATTGTTTTTTACTTTACATAAATATATTTTTTAATATTTTTTTTATTTATTAATTATTGCTTACTGTTTTTATTTATATGAAGGAAAAAAATATTTTTTGTTTCTATATTTTTGTATGTTTTATATATGACGTTGAAAATTTGCTTTAGTTTGTAAGTACACTGTGAGTATATATATTATTAATATACTCTCAGTGTACTTATATTAAATATTATTCAATGTATTATATTAATTTGTGTTAATTGTTATTGCTTTTCAGATCTTACGAAATGGAAAAGATATCATAGAAGAAGACATAAATATTTATGATTTGATTGGAGATAAAAGTGCCATCATCGGCTCACTTACTGTGACTGTAGAGGCGTTAAATATGTTGAAAAGTTTATATGAGGATTAGTCAATTAAATCATTGTAGACTTTTTTGCTAGTTTTTAAATGTTGTTAAAATGTAGATATGTAATTATTTATTAGGCTGAAAATTATTTATATTTATTTAAAAATATGTTTCTAAAAAGTGAAAATATGTATCTATTAATTTTAAAAAACATAATATATAATTATATATTTATATATGTATATTAATATGAAATTACTTTTTTACAAATTCAAATGTATCTACTAATATTAAAGTTATTTTTGCATCAGGTTGATAATTGAACTTTATTTATTAAAATCATTTGTACTATCGATTCGTTATCGATTTGTAAGGTAGGCTTATTAAAAAATTGTGTTTCTTCTTGTAAAACAAATAAAGAATGAACCAAAGGTTTATTCTGTATTTGTTTTACAAAAAGATTTTGTGTTACATTTGACCGTGTTTTATGATTGACATGTTTATGTTCTCGTATAAATTAAGTTAAGCAAAGTAGTTATTTTTAATGATTTTTGGTTTTACAGTTCTTCTGCCTTCTAATACATTACAAAATTTCTTGCATTTAAATATATTAATTAATTGCAAGCAATTTTTTATGCGTAACATAATTCCATAATCGTAATTTCAAAATTTTATACGTTATAATTTTTTATTTTTTTTTTAGGTTCTGTAGAAGTTGCATGCTTTTTTCTTTTTGATATCTTTTTTTGTCGTTAATGTTCTTCATCAGTTTCAAATCTGAAGTAATCGTTTTTTTCGTTTATTTTTTTGCTAATTAGATTTTTTGTTTGTTTAACAATTTTTGCACCGTTTATTTATCAATTTTCAATCACTCGCGACATTGCTTCGTTTACTTATAGTATTAAACACTTATTCTTTATTCGTATAATAACAAAAAATAAAAAATGATAATAATAATAAAAAAAGTGTATAGAAAAATTGGAGTTTTTTCTTAAAGATTATCGAAACCTTTGTATTTATAGAGTTAAAGATGGATCACTTCAAATTTATAGAGTTAAAGGATAAGGATCACTTTAGAATAATACCATTAGTGAGGAATTCATATTTTTAATTGATTATGTTCATCAATTGCACTTTAAGCCCTTATTCCTTTTTCAACATATATTTGTGTGAAGTCAGGTTTTCAGCCATGCTGTTTAAAAAAAAAAAATACTCGATACCAATGCCGATATCGGATGTGTGGTCAAAAAATATTAAGTAATTTCAACCTTTTCTAAAGGTTTGGCAAATCAAAAACCAGGTAATATTATACATTCAAATAGGTTCAACACATGATATTTTATGTAAACTAAATGTATAAACTTGCAGGATTTATAGGACAAAAAATGAAGCTGCTTTTTTTTTGTTTATAAATATAGTCCGCCATTAATAAAAAAGGACAAAAGCTGAGGCCGATGTGTAGAACAAAAGTTAAAAATGCAAGTTTAAAGCATCAAAAGTTTCCAATAAGTTAATGATAATTCAAAATCATGTTTTAATAATTATAACATACTTATTCAAAGTTTTTATGAGCCTAGGTTTATTAATAAAGTATTATAACTCATAAAAATGCTTTTAAAATGTCTGTCGTTTCACTTTTCTATTCAAAATTTTAATCTTTTTCTAATCAGAAATTAATTTAGGAAACATAAATTATTATTTTACAAGTATTCTAACACTTTTACATAAAAAGTATTTATATTTAAAATATTTTTTCTTCATTTAAAAAAAGAAAAGTTAATTAATATTTGTTTACAAATTTAATCCAGCATTTGTAAAAAGGGCGAAAACGGCTTTATTTTTCCGATCGAAGTTAAACATCTAGTTTATACTTAGACCATTAAAACTGATAGACACGGCGTTTTCGTAAATCTTTGAAGCCAAAATTTTTCAGAAAATGTGGCGTCACTTTGTGGCAAAAAACTAGAAAAAACAAACTAGTAATAAGGTTTTATTTAAATTTTTTAGAAAAATTCTTTTCATTAGAAATATATAGAATATATTTTTATGGGATATATTTTTATAAAGACTAAATATAGTAATTACAATGTCAATTTTTTAAAACTATTTATTAACTACTATTGTAATAAATACAAACTCTTATCCGTGAAATAATATATCTTTACCAGTTTTACTTCTTATTGTGCAATTATATACACCCTAATTAAGATTAATTTAAAAATATAAGATAAATGCAAAAGCAATCTCGACCTAAAAATGATTTTTTTGCCACAAACGGACGTCACTGAGCAAAACTTTTTTGGACTTCACTTTTAGATTAGCATTATAAAGCTAACGCCATGTCTATCAGTTTTAATGGTCTAAGAGTTTATATAATATATCATTGGGTGGACCATGTGCTTAAGGCATATGACATTTGTTCACCTTGTCCGAGTACACAGTTGGTTTAAGGTTGACATGCGTTTTCTTGTTTTATTTTTATATTTTGAATTTATCTACGAAGAAGTTCTCTCTAAAACTTTTTAACTTTTGAAATACTTGAGTATAAAACATCAAAAATTTTTAATTTATTTTAAATATTACATTTAACTAAATAAGTCTTCAACTTTCAATTAAACACGCTTAATGACGCTTAAGTTTAAACTTAATTTATTTAATTTTCTTTTCTTTTTTTTTTAAGAAAAGTAATTGGAAAATATCGACGGTATACAAGGGAAATGTACCAAGTCCATTTTTAGCAGTAGGGAGTTATTAATACCACTTTTTAGTATTTTAAATTCTCTATAATTTTTTTTTTTTTTTTGTTCTTTTAAACTTTGCAAATATGTGATTTTTTTTTTTTTTTTTTGTTATTGATATTTATTTTGTATTGAGAATTATCTGTATTGAGAACATGATT